GCAATATCCTGGCGTCAAACGGATACCGTATAACGGTAAACGAGGCATTGTATTTCACATTCGATAATTTTGAGTTTGAAAGCTCAATAATACGCATCTAGCATATTCATACTTCTTCGCAAAATAGAACGCTCCAGCGATAACTCGAGTCAAAACGGCACATGTACATTCCCTACCATTATGATTTATTTTTAACCTTGCAAAAATTCTCCCTCAAAATAACACTATCCGCCAAAGTAACGTCGCGAGGGGAGAAGCACAAATGTATAATATTACTATAGGCACGTTAAGAGTTCATTTTAAATTGCCTAACGAAAAGACTTCCGTCTGAAAAGCTTCATTTGTTTTCATCCTAATACACATTACATTGCAAAAATACAGGTGATAATGAAAATAGGGTAATTTGAAGAGAAACAGTAGAAGGCAATTCAGTCAATGTTCCAAATGCCGTTTTTATCTGGTGTTTTATGGATTTTATGAAACTCCTAATGTATAATGAGAAACTTAGATGAAATAGTTATGGAATAACATATTAAACTACGACCAAGTTCCTGCATAATCCTATACATATTTCCAAGATCTCCTTACAGAATGTAGAAGAATTATTAAGTATAGCCAGCATCGTCAATGAGTTCGGTAAAAATCCCATCTAAATCAAGACCACCGAAAGGGTTATAGTTAGGCTTACCATATTTTTGATACAAAAAAAACGGGACAGTGTGGATTGGACAAGCCAGTCTCGATTTCAGAGGCTTAGTAATAGTTCAAACGTTTTCCACACCATTGTACGTAGATTACAGGCTGTATTTTGATGATTCAACGACAGTACAATTGTTTGTTGAATTAACGCATGGTTCCTAACTATGACATACCAATTGTTTTCTTTATCTGAACTGGTGAAGTGAGAGGCAAATCAGTGAAAAAAAAAACAATTAATAGAAAAATTATTTATGACTGCCATACTGAAAAACCGGGACATTTAGGTCTGCGGCCGGGACGGCGAAAAAACTTGCTAAAACCGGGACTGTCCCGGCTAAACCGGGACGTATGGTAAGCCTAGTTATAGTGACTGTTATACAGATACTGGAAAATCACGTACAAATAACTACTAGGCTACAACGCCATATTTATAGTGTTGGGAATAGAAGGCTATTGTACTGCCACATAATTAACAAGTTTGGCGTTTATTGCAGTCGCGCAATAAATATATCGATCAATCAATTTCGAATTTATTTGTTAATATAAGGAAACGACACTATTGATGCCTCGTATATTTCGAAATACCAGTAGTAATAAATTAACTGCTGCTGAAAAACTGCGATTTCAATAAGATGCCGATGGTGACGTGCAGATACTCGTACATTATTGGGCCCATAAGAACAGCGTTTCAATAAGCTGCATTTGCATTTTGCCCAAAATAAATAATATATGATGATACTATGTTAAAAATTCATAGTGATGTATTTCAAAATTTTACATTTTATTCGAAATATCTTGTTTCAACTGATTTCATCTAAACCTGTATGTATGCAATTCATTCGTGTTTATCTGACTATTCTAAATCTCTTGGATTAGAATATAACTATGACCAAAAGAGGCTTATGGTTTCAAGTCACGTCAAAGAAATGTGGTTTCATCCAAGTTATTTTGTAAATTTTACAATAGACTTTGCCAGTTTGAGATTTGCACATTCGCCTGTCCAATAAATTGTTTATAATTCAAGCGACTGTCGCAAGAACGTGGTATTGGTAGGCAACGGCATTTCCTAACCGTCTGCTATTTTCCTACCATGGTAACTTTGTGAATATTATCAAAATTTAAGTTCTTGCTATGAAGCATAAACGGGAAGCAAATGTTTGGCACTAGATTGTCCTACTTGTGTTTCCTGCAGAAAACAAGATTCCGAAACAAACTTTCAACTGCTCTCTCTTAATTAAACAAAATTGTTCATCAAGTCCCTGAGCCCTTTATGAACGTAATAGCCTTACCATATTTCCGTTCGGAATAAAGAGCGTCCAACTTATCGCATAACTTTTGAACTAGTTTAAGAGTGTTGCTTATTCTAAATGTCTTGCCTTCAGGTGATGAGTGGAAAGAAACTGCGAATTTTCAATACTACACAATCAGCATTGTATTAATTTAATAAATTATGAATTTTTGACATTAACAACATAACGTCACGCTGATAACCGAATTGCGTAAGTCATTTTTAGCAGTTTTGAGAAAAACGTAAACAACTTCCTAATGATATTGTTATGCCATTGAGAGTCAACAATTTGCCATGGTTCAATTTTTTGATCGTAGCCGGATTTAAGTTAATTTGTATGACGCAGTTAAGTGACGTCATAATGGAGCACTGTGACTTGGGCAGAAATGTGTCTATGACTTGGGGACATACGCAATTTTGCAACTTTACTATATGCACTAGACCTAAAAACTAAACATTCCAAAAACGAATGTAATTCTCAGTATCTACAATGTCTAATCCCCAAAATAGCTAATCAGTTTCAATTACATTATTTTTTATGATTAAAAATATATATTTCATCAATATAGCATGTTCTGCACACCCACCAAAATAAGACTAAGATTAAATATAAAGAATAAAACAGCAATGCACCCAATATAAAAGCCAACCAATGTGTATTGGACTCGGACAGTGAATATCAAAAGCGCACGCCTTCTAATACTGTAGTATAAATTCAAATTAATATGCGCTAAGCTAGAATCCGAGATGCAAAAACTCGAAAATACTTCGCCGAGGTTATTTTCCTTTGTGACGTCACAATAGTTCGGCGGTAAAAATGATAATTCATTATGACGAAACAATTGCACAAATGTGCATGTCATACTAAATCTCCATTTTTATGGGTTTCGGAATTCTTAAAATAAAATCTGAGTTAACAGTCAGATGCGCAGCATCACATTAATACCTATTTTATAAAAAACTCAAAATCGCCAAAAATGACTTACGCAATTCGGTTATTAGCGTGACGATAATATATATATGTTGATATATACTCAAATTGTCCAGAAGTTGCCTATTACATAAATCTTACAGTTCGTCAGAGTAACAAAACAGCTCAATCTGCTGCTCATAATAACGCTTAGAAGCAGTTACTTTTTCTCTTTATAAGCGCAATGCAAACAAGAAAAGGCCTTGCCTTCCTCGATGCTTTCCGTCAGCTAAAACGAAGCCACAGTCGTGCTACATAAAGGAATCAAAGTCGAATATACCCACTTCGCTATTAAGTAAGCTGTAATATATCTTGGCCGCGCAAAATTTGACCAGATTATTGCGTAAATATTATTCATTTATAAAACAAAAGCACACTCTCGTTTAAGAATGGTTTTTAAATGTTGGCCCTAGGTATGTTCAGTTGTTTCTTGATAATTCGCAATGTGAGGTTTGCCATTCGTTGTAGGAAAATTAAGTAGTTTCTACGTAATCCTTGGGAAATATACCATACTCTGCAAATAGGCTCTTATTCAAATACGTAAGCTTACGGTATCTCCTAATCGAACACCTTCAAACGGTTCGACGTTTAAAGGATTAAACGGGGTCGAGTTCTTGCAATATTTGGTTTATAATTAATTTTGAATAGAAGTTTGATCGAATCCAAGCTTTGATAAATAATTCTGTCAAGCTTGAAGTCTATTTTTGTCGTGTATATGTTCATAATGTATGTATTTTTGTAATTGTGGAAATATGGTAGATTTTGGACATTTGATTAAATATTAACCCGCTTGTTTGTGACTTAAAATAGTTACCTTTCATCGGCCGGTAATGAATCACTTATCATCGAGGTTTTGAGGCCAATGGCGAAGATAGACTGCTTTGTCAGGGGTTGATTGAATACTTAATTTATAATATTCCTCATTGCGACAAATAAATCAAAATAAACCTATCATACCTATTCTATAGCCACAAATATTGAGATTTTACAAAGGCAGAATCATGTGATACAACAGTTTCATGCTTACAGCTTTATTACTGCAACACAGAATGAATCTGCAAACATATTATTATCTGTAACGAAAGGCACCGTCAACGAATTTATCATGAACAAAGGCCAACTGTTAACTGTAAATATATTATGGTCATACATTGTTGGTGATGCGACACTATACGAAGCAAAAATAAAATTGAACAAGCGCTATGATTCGTATAGATTTTGTCCAGAACGTGGTGATTTTGCCTCTGGCTACGGCGGACACTCTTTTGCTCATCATCTCCTTCAGGCACCACTTAGAAGAAACGAAAACGGATGAACAACCACGTAATCAAAATAAATGCAGGTTTTGATCGAGAAGCCTTATCCAAGCAGTCCGACAAGTGCAGCGAATAGCTCGATCGGTGTCTAGCAGTCACGCTTTGCGACCAGTAAAGCTTTCTTGTTACGCTGTTGAGAGTTATTCGAGTCATTCGATGGCTCCGTGCAAACATCGTTCCCTTGTCAATTGATCTGGCCTCAATACGCTATTTATTACTTCATAAATCAATGGAACCAAGATTATACGTCTATCCAATAAAAGCTGCCCAGCTTATCCAACCAGCTTAGCTTCTTGTTAATGTAGAGCTCTTCATTCTGCATAAATGTTATTTTGTGATACAGTACAATGGCTGTAGCTTTCTAACTCAGGCATATACGATAACGATCAAGGTACAGCACGAATCAATTCCCTACACCTCATAAATATACTGTATCAAGGAGCAAAATATGACTATGGATTCTAATCGTCATTTAGCCGTGCCATCCACGGAGGTATGATTATGAAAAATTTATCTTATCCCAAAGATTAAAGTTTAGCTATCCCTTTACAGCGCGGTTTCCTCCTAGTTTACCATATCCCTAGCTACAGGATCTGCGCAACACAAGAAAGAGAAAAAGAAAAGTGAGCGCAAAGTTAATATTACACAGACTGGTTCATTGCGCGTAACGCGAAAAATAAAAATAAAGGAGGTTGACTTGGATGATGTATTGTATACAAAGGCACTCTTGGCAAATTACGCCGTCGGGTGAGCTCAACCGCTTTGTGATGTTCATCTCTCGTCTCTCTATTTACTTCTCTCGATTCACAGCGATCGACGACTAAAGAGTTTGCTATGGCTTGTTTCAACGAAAGAAGACGATGACACGTAAAAGGCAACAGCAACACGCGACGCCTTCTTCGCGTTTCATTGGAACGTCTGACTAATCGATGAGTGCGCTTTTGAAGAGGAAGCAATGTGGATCGACCAGTGCGTTTGCCAGTCAGCTAGCTCGCTCCAGTGATAAATAGCAGTTGATAGGCAATTTGATAACATTCATTCAAATATTTTGATATGTCTCGAAGAAAACAAACTAAACCTTTCAAAGTTGAGGGTAAGATTAGTGGGATTTTCTTTTATTATTATCTTGATTGAACCTAGAGCGGCGGTTTTGACGTCCCATTTCGGGCATCCAACAAAAAATTAGGGAGGTCGATCGCTATATATTTTATTTATAATGTAGTATTCTCTCTATTATCCAGTGATACTCGCATCATCCGACGTACTACGGAAAATTGTATTTCTAAGATGACCGTTGAATATCTCCGTCTCGGCTCCAAATTAACTTTTGAAACCCGAGCGTGCGAATACTGTGCTGGGCGGTTGGCTATGTTTCAGTCAACTTCTGATACTTGCGTCACGCGGCGTGTACTTTTGTCATGATAACGAACACGCTTGCTCATGATGATAAGTTTAGAAATCCAAAGCTGTCAATGCTTTGGACATCAAGCGTTTACGGATCAATAAGGTCTGCACGCAAAAATCACTTATACAACATATTCACGAATGATTTTAAAATAGCTTTCAATTTATCACGGAATGGTAAATTCTGACGTGATGAACGAGCAGCCATTTTCTAAAGTTATGTGAGCTAAGTTCTTTTGCCAATCCGAAGAATCTGAACAGGCATAATCAAGATGTCGAAACCTAACAGACGGCGGATATTCACGCGTCGTTTAATAATGGAGGACTGTAGTCCCGAGGCGAATGCGGATCATATCGCACGAATTGTTTGTGAGCTTTGCTCTTCTATTCAGTGTCGCTCGTGAAACAACGCCCCGCCAGAAGGCGACGTTACATTTTTTACAGACGCTTGTCGCTTGCTACATTTAATACAGGGTTCAAAATGAGGAAATCTTTCGTGCTGTTGGCAAGCTCGGCAATCGTTTGCGCTTGTTAATTGGCTTAATTGAATGGAGCAATTAAATAATTCTTGTAAGAAATTAATTCTTAATTGGGAAGCCAGTTCTACTTCTTTATATATACACTGGTATTTGGACTGAATAAAACGATTCTATAACGGCTATTATATACTTTGTCCATATTAATTAAAAAAAATCAGAAATTATCTTATATTTTAGTGTATCTCATGTCCATATGAATTTAGCTTATATATGCATCCTGGGTCAGTAATGGGCGCATTATCCAAGAAGTTTAAAATATTCCGGATATCGCATCTTAGATTATCCTGCTTTAGTTACAGGTTTGAATCCTGTGAGATACAATTATGTACGATCGGGTCGCATTAATGTAGTTTGAACATCCATTGGTCAGTTTTCACCTTCCAAGTCCATACATTTTTGTGAATGAATTTTCTTTCAATATTGCAGAAAAGCCGAGTTTGAAAAGAGATAAAAAGCCGAAATTAAGAAATAGCATATCGAAATTATCAGAGGAACATCGACCATCGCAACGCGTTTTGAACAGGTTAACATTCATATTATTGTATTTAATATTATCATTATCACTGAATTAACATCATTGGTATATCAGAGCCAGAAATCGATTCTAGCTTTCCCTGATTTGCAGCTAAAATTTTAACTCCTGGAAGAGTCTTGATTTCATGTTTTACTGATCACAGTTCAATCAAATCGATCTGAACATGACTCTGCGCAAGCAGTCGTTGATATGTATGCGACTACTTTATTTTGAAAGAATTCCGATATATTTTCGATTTGACATTGCCTATCCAATTTATGTGGAATTCCTGCTCTTTTTATGATATATTGAACTGCTTACATTAATCTGCCTTTGCGTCATTATGTAGTTTCAACTTTTATATTATTGTGGTTACGCATACCTTTGATTAGGCATGATTCTCCTTCTTCCTCTGAGTGAGTGTACATGAACTTGCGTTAAGAAAATTCCAAAAAATAAATAACCCAATTATAAAAAAAAAATTACAAAAAACTTTCAAGTATTGAGATAGGTTTGGGTATTAGATTTTCGAATGTATTTTTTGAGTGAAAACTTGTGAAAAAACAATAATTTGGCAATTGGGCTTTGTATATATATATATTTATATCTGTCATGCTATACTGTTCAGTCATACAAAAGAGGATTTTTTTACATTGTGGGGATGGGCAATTCAGGATAAATTACTGTTGTAACTAATTTATATTTCCTATGTGGGTCTATTATGCCAAGTGCCGTCATTGAACCCCTTTTTATTTTACCATTATACCACATTGATTACAAAATATTGCCTTATTGAACAATAACATGAAAATTTAATTGATTTTTACTTATTTTTTAGTGGAATCCTCAGCGATGGTGATGAAACAGGTATGCAGGAGGAAATTGAATTCATATTAAATTATGTGGTGTTTATTGTTTTCTGCATGCCTGTGTTGTGTAACTACCGTAATCATTGTACCAATGACTACCTAATGCAAATGAATCTTTACAATATGGAGAGTCATTTTATTGTTTGTTTTCTGTGCCTATTAGTATTGTACTCTTGTGAATATTTCACTGCAATCATAATGTTGCTATATGTACACTCTATAGCAGTGATCATCACACATTTATATTTCTTGGACCCATCCAAACACTTTAAAAACTTGTTGTGACCCCCTGCTTTTTTATAAATATACTTACTTTTAACACGTTTCTATCAGAGGTTTTGTGCGCCATGTTTAATACTGAAAAGCCAACAATTGGAAGCAAATATATAATGCATTACAGTTTAAAAACAAACAAATTACAACCAATTTACTTTAAGTTGGTGTAGTCATCGCTTGTAGCTCATGACCTTCGCTTGTAAATCACAGAGAAATGCTGTGTGCCAGGAGGCTAAGTTTGACCCTGCTTTATGGCGTATTGGTTGAATAAAATTGGCGGAAACATACTGTGATTTATTGAAAAAAAGAGTATTTTTACAAAAGTGTGCTATATTCCTAGAAAATGCATGACTTCATGGCACATTTTGAAACTCTGGTTTATGTATTCACACTCAAACATTGTGAATCATTGCGAACATTGTACTGTTTTATTTTATCTCTATATATTATACTGAATACCTTCATATATAAGTTCCGAGGCCAAATGGATTATAACTTCAATACACGATAAAATTGTGTGTCAATCGAAAATAAAATGAACTTGAAATTTTTGTATACTGCACGAGTACTATCTTATTCTTACACTTTTGGTGTACGGTGTAACATAAAATCAAGTATGAGAATCGTTCGTAATCATTCTTTCAATAAATTCACAGCAGGACGATCAAAGCGCGGAACAAAGTGCAATCAATGTGGAAAAGTTTTGGCATCATCGTTATCACTTGCTCGTCACAAGTTGACACATTCGGAGAGTAAACCGTATCAATGTCCAAGATGTGATGCTGGGTTCAAGACATCTTCTAACATGCATCGGTAATACTCTGGCCCTGTTCACACTTCTCTTAACCCTCCATAATTATATTTCTTGGGTTCGCATTCCCTAATTCTAAAGCACTAGTTACCCTATGCTCAGGGTAGGTGTAATTTCAATGCATTGCCTATGTTAGTTATCCTGTTCACCAATCTGGATGAATGAGTGCGATTTGTGTAAGAGACTATTGCTAATATTTACATTAGGACATTTTGGTTTCGTCTTTATGAAGTGAGAACTTATTTACAATTAAAAAATGCCAATATTTACGGCATTGTTGCAACTTATCTCACTCAGTACTCTTATGCGGCCCCAACAACAAAAAATCTGAAATGTTCAATATCTTTACCATTCATGTAGAATTTGAAAATTTTCAAAATGGTTACAAAGCAACTGAACATGTTTAATATATTATTATGGAAATGAGAGGGTTTTTCTTTTCAACCTAAAGAATGCTCTATTTGACCAAAACTGTTTCTTACTAAAGAATCATTTTAAAATGGCCACTGTGAACCAGGAAAAGCATAGGATGGTAATCAGTATTGTTTTTCAAATTTGTTTTGAGATGAAACTATTTAATTTTTCATACAGGCATCTGCGGATTCATTTCCGAGAAGAAAAAGAGGAGGAAGTGGATGTTCCGTTACCAAGGCAGCAACGGTCATCATCCAATCAAAGAACGCCTCGACAAAACATGCGCACACCCAACAAATATAAAGAATTCGATGTAGATCTTGTCGGTGTTGGGCCTCGTGTAAATGATAACATGGTCACGAATGCAAGATCATACTCTAAACCGAGAGATTCTCATAATTCTAGAAATCAGGTTAGTATTTTTTCAACTAAAAATTCATTACATTTATTACAAAAATCCAAGAATCCTCGTGTGGATGGAAATGGTTTATTTCATTTTGTGCATGTTTTTGCTCCTCCGAGAATGAGAACCGAGTGGCTAATGTGTTAGATCAGAAGTGTGCAACTTGCGACCCAAATGCGTCCATTAAGGTAAATTAGTGTGGCCCACGGAGAAGCGCTACATTCGAATTGTGGGAGTCTCGCGAAAAGACTTTTAATTTCATCTATTATGTGCGAGTAATTTCAATTCTGTTGTGATGCAAAGCCTTTATCTGAGCTTGGGCAACACATGTCAACCAGAATTTTTGTGTCTACAATTATCGTTTTATAAAGCCTATGTTAAGTAAAGGTGCGGCAGGCGGTTTCATCCAGTTATTTGTATATGGCTTTTGTGTATTAAACGTTACGTTCCTCCTGCGTTAAACTTAAGCCTGTTAGAATCGCTGGTTATACATTTCTGGATCAAATTCCATCCGTATACCACCTCACCCAGGGGGTGATAAATTGGGTAAGCAATGCCGAACCAGGAAGGTTTCGCTCCCACATATCGTTAGATATCAATGGATGCTTTGGATGCCTGGAGCCTTGTTTGGAGCGGACGTATGAATGAGCTTCATATAAAAAAAATTTTGGTACTAGGGTTGCTCAATGTAATCATTAAAGCTTTCTTCAAATTTAGAATGCAGGTGTATTAAAATTATGGTATCGCTTCAAGAACGGTTATTCAAACATTTTAAAACGATTTTTCGTGAACCTTTTATGATTTTCAAAGAAGCTATAATTCCTCAAGCTGAAAAAACATTTTCAAACTATTTTTTTGTGTATAATTTCTAAGTTTCATTTACTTTTTCATTCAGGCATCCAGAAAGGATAAAAATGTAAATATGGGATCTCTAAAGCAAGAGGAAAAAGCTCACAATGATAGCAGTGAGGATTTACCAGATTTGAACTTACCAAGAAGACGTGGGATTTCTGAATCTTCAAAAGCGGCTGAAGATTTAGTATGCCACGTATGCAATAAAACATTTATCTCCAAATTCGGACTTCTCACTCATGCTATCACTCATCCAGAGACTGATTCAACGACAAAGTGAGTTCAATTGAGAAGTTCTTAAAATAATTTTATATTACATGGTATGTGAGTTAGTTCAATCACAAATCTGAAGAATCTAAAATAGGCTAATTTGAGAGAAGGTTTTCATATTTATCCTGTGGAGAGAAAGGCCAATAATGCGGTTTATTCATATGGCGTACCATGGTCTCTCGTACGGTTGCCAGTCCATGTTGGGTATCGGATTAGTTAGCCAGTTATTTGTTTTCAAATGAGTGGACTTGATGGTGGAGGAAGCCGTAATTCACCATCGGTTACGTGAACCACCCTGCTGCATCGAGTAGAACAATCCTCTCACACATAATTAACCCCCACAGAATTTGAACCTGTGACCCCACACAGAGTAATCAGAGATGCAATGCCAAGCATATTCCTAACGATGCGCTAAGCCACCGCCATTGCTAATTTTCTGTGGGCAATTTTGAATGAGGGTTCAGAAATATTCAGAGGGCTCCGGAAATATTCATACCAAGATGACGCACAACCTGAACAACCCCAACCTAATACACATCCTATGTTCAGGTTGTGCGCCATCTTGGTACGAATACTTCAGGAGCACCCAAGCAGGAACAAACTATGTTGAAATCAATTTTATTACAAATTATACCCAACTTTGTTTATATTTCCTACCAGGTGCCATCTTTGTGATCAAAGTTTTTCCACGCCCAAGGGTTTAACAGTTCATAATGTTATTGTTCATAAGATTGCAAAAAACAAGCAACAGGTGAGTAATTTGTTTGTACTTAAAAGAACTTAGTTTCCATAGTTACCCAAATAAAAATTTTAGACTTCTAATAGTGGTAATTATGACAAATTCAAATTTGGTCAAAATAAAAAACTAACCGAACTTTGTCATTAGAAAAAAGTGACTTTAATACGTCAATACTTTTTTTTTTTAATTGGCGAAAGGTCATTGGTCAAAGATATTCACCCTTGAGCTGAAAACGGGTTTTGCTAAATAGGTGATTTTGTTCCTTTTTTTTTTGTCAAATATTGAAAATACATAGTTTACATATCGTTTCAGATTTCATTATGTAATAGTTGTATTGTTTCCTCTACAAATGGTTTGCTTTTTATATTCAATTTGTTTTAACATTTAGAAACTTCTTGACAAGCATGAGAACCGAGGATTTAAAGATATCTCTATAGTTGATTTCTCTGCAAATAAATTTCCTGTTGTTGCAGAGGTAAGTACTTTTACATTAACTTTCTACTGACCATTTGTAGATGTACATACACCTCCTAATAGCACTCTTACAGGAATTTATTGAGACATAGATGAACCTATCCCTTCATTTAGTGTCTATTCTGAAATAATTATCTTAACTCCATGATTTGTAATATTCCAGGTGTATTTCAAACTCTGACATACCCATATTCATTTATTACATTAGATTCAAAATACATTTTTTATGATATGATGTATTTCAAATTGTAAGTTTTTTTTTTAATTTGTACTTTTATCATTTTTGATGTCAAAATCATAGAGTTTGCTGCATTTAAAACATGAAGCAATCTTTAAAATTAAATTAAATCTTCAAATTCTGCTTTTGCATTCATTGTTTCATTGTAAATAATTCTATTCATAGAGAGTAACTTTTATCATTCAACTTCATAGTGCATGGCTCGCATGCCAGGGTATGAAAAAAATTGTCCCGTATTCCAAAAAAAACTTTGTCCACCTTGAATGTAGATTTGGATTTTGCAGTGTATTCTGATTTATGTTTCAACTTCTGGTTATTATTCTTCAGGCCGCTTGTACCCAGTCACATCGAAGTCAATCACTACGAGATACTCAGCATATTTTCGTATGCAAGAAATGTGGCAATGCTTTTCCACTTTTGCAAGCTCTTGAACTCCACATGATGAACGTACATTGGAATAGCAAGAAGGATAAAGTTGTGCCAAAACTTTCTGAGCTCACAAACTTTTTTACCTCATTGGATCTATACGATACCTCAAAGACAAATTTAACACCAAAAGATGTAAAACAAGTGATTGAAAGTTGTTTTTACTAACTTTTAGGTTATCAAGTTTTGAGAAATACTTTTTATATGTCATTTTTTCCCGCTCTTGTGACTATTTCTTTAGAGGGCTATAATTTATCCAGTTTGACCCTGCCTATCCAGTTTATTTCACCCTTCGTGAGATGCAGATCATGGTATTTGAATCTTGAGTGGTATTTGAATCTTTGAGATCATAACTTGCACTTTACTTGCTAGTTATCATATACATTTTCAGGTACTCCCGTAGTATGTGTACCAGGTTAGGCAATAATTTTATTCCGATTTTCCTTATTTTAGTTCTATTACAAGTTCGGGGACTGTCTGTGTTAGCCAAGTGAATATAACCCCTGCCCATAGCATAGGTTTTAGTCCATTTACACTTTTAGTCCATTTACACAACTGGATGTAAAATAGGCAAACAAAATTAGTTACCTCCACATTGGTACACATACTTTCTGGAGCGCACAATTTTATGTCATTTTGTACCTCTGCTTCAAACAAGGCTACAGAGAAGGTTTTTAATGGCTTGAATTATATCGACCATGCCTTTATGTTTTTGTATTTAAATATTTAATTTGTTTTTTAGGTTATTTCTTCTAAAGTGACTCATGGTATCGATGATGACTTCATTTACACATCTGAAACTGTCGCCATTGAAGATATTCCATCTTGGTTGAAAGATCATCCTGATCTTGACGCATCAAGTTACCTGAAAGGTACAATATTTTTTTTCTATGGTTCTGCATCCATACCCATCAAGTCGTTAGTCAAATTTTGCACAGACTTTTATTAGTTGTTTAAAGAAATTGTTTTATTAAGCTGTCTAATTCTATGAAATTCATGAAAACGTGCAGATATTATTTGATGAAAATTGGTTGGGCAAGTTAATTTCTATTATAGGAAAAATTCAGAAAATGTCTGAAGCAAAAAGTATTTAATAAAAGCTATTTATTTAGCCAAACTTATTCTATTGCAAGTTTAGTGAGAAAATTTTTGATACAAACTATTGATCTTATTATACATAAAGATTCATTTCTATTGACAAATTTGTTCTCCATAAATATCAATACTTTTGTATTAAATATGAATGAACAAGTGAATGTTTCGTTTTTTCGGCATTGTTTTTTTGATTTATTTTAATTCAAATTAAAAGTTGTCTTTGTTCAAAAAGTTACGATAGTTGGAAAATTTTTAAGTTAGTCTGTATCTCCATTCAACTTATTCTGTTTCATTATTTGACCTTGTTTGGAATGTAGGTTTAAAACATCTCATAATAATAAATAGTTTATGTCTACATTTTACTTGGTGCAAGAAACAACAAGTCGAGATTATAATAGAATTTAAAAAATTTGTAATTTCTTTATTCCCATTTGTTTTTGTATTTTCAGAAAGTGAAGTTGAGTTCACTCCTCCTCGTCTGCGACATATCAAACGTAAATTATCATCAAATAACTACGACGACAGACTAGTGACGTATGTTGAAAGTGATGATGGAAATGGATACAGGTGGGTGCTTGGAACTAAAGTGGAAAACGTTGCATAATCAGCGTAGCAATAAAAAAATAATATCTAGGAACAAATCAAGTAATATGGCATTTTGGAGAGAAGACTTAAAATTACATTTTTGATTATATTGAATTGAGGTAATCGAAAGAGAGGGGTCCAAATGAAATTCTAATTAAATTCAAAAATTTTCAAATTTTTTACAAGTTTTTTGGATTGTGTTTGCTAAATAAAATTTTGAAAAAGATAAATAATACGTTTTTTGGAACACCTGCGCTTATAAAAATATAAAATATTCAAACAGTTAAGGAAATTTTAGGAAAACTAATAAGATAAGACTAAAATTTAAATTATTTTGCGACAAAACAACTTTATTTCTATTATTTCAATCAAAATTAATGATGGGTTTCAAGGATAGCTAACTGTTTAGCTAATGATTCAGTGTGTGGCGGTATACAGCCCTACGGCCATTTCAGGATTTTTTATCATGGTTTGGGTGAAAATATATTTTTTTCTTGTGCTTGAAACATAATTTTATACCTGATTTTTTATTCAGACTTCAATCTAAAAGAAAATCCAGAAATTGTAAGTAAATTTTGTGTTTTATTTCAAATTTGAAAATTTTGGTGATCACTTATTTGAGGTTTTTTTTTGAATTAGTGGGGAAATACTGTTACTGTGAGAATTAAGTTATATTGACATTCATAAATCATTTTTATTTATTTTAAGATGCGAGCCCTGGAACCATTCCTCGAAGGTAAGTTTACTTCTATTTATAAAGTTTGGATGTCTGATAGTCTGCAGCATTGTTTGGAGCAAACATACCGAATTAAAAACATCAGATTACTTCCATATTTTGTATTTTTCTGGTAATGCATTATGGTATGTAAAAACACTGCATTTATCGTAAGTTAGTCGCAAGTAAATTACCGGTAACTAAAATGTTGCGAAATAAAATGTGGTGAAAGATCTTGAAAGACCTGCCTCATTTTAATATTTTTCTCTTATTTTTAGATTTGAAGATTCTCCGCAGCAAGGCGATAATAAAGCATCGGGAGAACGAAATGTGTTTTGGTGTCGAATTTGTAATTATTCATCCCATGAAAAAAGTGCTCTTGTTAGGTATCATCTCTTTTTGGATTGGATTTATTTTACCAATTAGTAAAAGTTTGTTTATGGTTCCATCAATGCATAAAGTAGGACATTGTTAGCTATTGTTAAAAGACATTTATCACAGCTTTAACCACTAGACCAGGGGTACGCAAACCAGGGGTCGCGACCCCAAATTGGGTCGGAATGATAAGTAGGTAGGGTCGCAAACCGATCACAGGGTCGGTGGGGTCGCTGAGTTATGGTAGAGGATGGATGTACAAAGCATCTAATATTTGACAAACCATGTTAAATTTAGCAGTTTGCACCATGGCTTACTGTAAAACAGGCCCATAGGCATCGCTCTATGCTTATGCTATAAAAAATGTAGGTGATTATTGTGACATCACCGTTTAGTTTTAGCTTATTTTACTTAATACCACCACATGACCAATCTCAAAAGCCCAGTGAAAGAAGCTCTAAAGTTTCATGAATATATATATATATTGACCTGGGGTCGCACTGGACACATGAAAGTTGTCTTTGGGGTCGTCCCGAAAAAAGCTTGGGAACCTCTACACTAGACTATCGCATCGACTAATTATTTAATTAAATCATTAGCTTTGTCAAGTTTGATGTGTACTCATTCAAGTTTTCCCCTTTCCATGTCAGCTTGAAATGGATGATTCTGATAACTTTATGTTCACTGTTACGAATATTGCCTCGTAGTTTGGTTAAGATGAATGATATATATATTTGTTACAGGCATTTACTCACACACAGTGGAATTCGCCCTTATTTTTGTAAGATTTGTGACTATGCATTTACAACGAAAGCCAACTGTGAGAGACATGTACGGAAAAGACATAATCGCATTGGTAGAGCTGAACTGGATGCAGCAGTAAGTGTTGGTCTACTATGAAGTCTATATTTCTAGTATAAAGAGGTCTTTTGTTTTTTTTGCCTTCTATTCTCATTCACTCTAGATATTGTGTTCAATTGTTGATCCCTTATTTGTGTTTTTTTATTAAACAAGTATGTATTGGGATAGATTCTTAGATATTTATTCTAAGGCAGAGGAATATATTACAGACTTTAGAAATTTTTCTAAGAAACTCTTTGTCTTTATGTCCAGATTAAAACTCCTAGCGAATATGGTGATTCTGATTCGATACCCATGAGTTCGCATACAAGTTTAGAGCATTATATCTTAACGCTGTTGTCTTCCTTGAAATTTTTCAGAAGCAACAATTACATAAATGCCTATTCTATTTTGGATTTATCAAGCTTGCTCTTTTTCGTAGGTCAAATGTGATTGGGAAATGTTAAAAAACGCTCCAAAAGATGATATTTACATGATTTCTGGAAGTAATTCTTCTTGTCCTGTCTGTAACAAATCTTTCTCCTGCAATAATGAACTCAAACAACACCTCAAAGAACATGAAGAAAAGCAGTAAGTGTCTGTTTTGTTGGTTCCAGGGGCCAAAAATAAGAATCATAGATGTGTAACCTGCTATGCCAACTCAGTTAAGTTTTAGTCTCCAACTTTGTGGACTATTGTGTCTACACAAAATTAATCCTCTCCATTAGCGCTCAAGAGTTCATGAAGATCCTGCCTTTACTATTTCAGCACACCCACTTCATTTTCCACACTCTCGATAAGGCTGTTAGTTTGATTTACCGAAGCAAAAATCAATTCTCATTTATGCTTACATTTAACTATTTGAAAATTTCAGATTCATCTGTCAGGTTTGCAATATAAGATGTACAACACACAATAACTGCGTTCGACACATCCTACAGAAACATCCCGATATACCTCAGAAAGAAATTAATAATATCATTATTTTTACTGGAACGAGAAGTAGAAGACCGCATTTGAAGAGAGGATCTGATGCTATGAACGATGAAATGATTGATATCAGCAGAGGTGTGTATGTGGAAATAGTGAAAAAACTGCGACATTAAATAACTAAACTAAAAAAAAACGAGGACAGAAAACGCATGTTGCTCCAACAGAAGCCGAGACTTGAATGTGGTAGCGTAAATAAATTCGCACAAATACAGATGCATGGGTACATAGTAATAATAGAAGTAAAATTAATGATTACATTAACAATTTGGTACTGTACTTAATTGAATAAATTGTGTAATAATACTGTTTGAAAAGTAATTCAGGAATTAGAAATTCTCGCATTTCAGTAGTTGTCAACCTGCCAGTAACTTTTTTCAAAGATAAGTCTCCTGAATAATGAATGCTTGGTCTGAGAATTTTTTTTTTTAAATAATCAAAAAAGTGAAATTACTGTTGTGTTTTTGGCATTTTCGCATTGAAAACAAGATTTTATATATATATTTTTTCAAGGTCACCTTGGAAGAAGAAAATCTCTGAAGCACAGTTCATCCATGTTGAAATCCAGGACGAAGCACTTGAGGTAATTATTCGATTCTTGACACCAGCAATCCATCATCCGTGCAAAACTTCCAGTCTGTATTCTTATGTGAGCGATATACTGTGACTGTGGCTAATATTGAATCATGCTCACTAAAATTCTTGGGCATCCCCAGTTTATAGATCATCGAAATGGAAAAAAAACTTGTCTGAAAGAGTATTTTCCTCCGTGGTCGTTAGCGCTCTCTGGATTTTAGTTTTCAAATTAGTTGATGAGAGAATGGTGAAAAATGTGAAGAGAATAAAAATGTGAGGTAACCTACTTATGGTTTCACTGCCACAATATGTGGTTGTGGCCAGGGCTGTTCTATGTTATGAATGTAATAAAATTTGCTTGTACTTTTTAACAGCCAAGATGGACCTCCATTGAAACAACAGCGATTATCTGCTAATGATGACGGCGATTCTCAACAAAGTAATATCGCTGATGATGAAGACAGCAATATACCAATGAGCTTGCCAGAAACTGGTGAATGGAAGAAGCAACATGAACAAACGACCAAATCTCAGAAATTTCTACCTCTCATACCTTTATTAAAGGTTAGAAATTTTGTTTCATTTGCTGTTGTTTTTTATCAGGAACGCCAGTTATGTGGAATTCACTGCCTCGTATCTATTTTTCTGATTGTCATGGCATGAAGTGCTTTTAAGTCGGACCTCCTGAAGTATGTGCACCAAGATGGCGCACAACCTGAACTCGGGGTGTGTACCAGGTTAGGGTTCAGGTTATACGACATCTTGGTGCGCATAGTTCAGGAGCACCTTTGGGTCAATATTCATTAACATGCAAGTTTACATTATAATTCTTTATAGTCTCTGTATCTCTTGGCATTTTAGTGGTAAATTCGCTCGGAGATCAATCTCCTTAATTCCTGAGCGGAGCCGCACATAACCTCGTTTTGAGCAAACTTCCTTAAAAAAGATCCATGCCCCACCATCATCTCACCCAGGGTGTAAAAAATTCATTTCTGAGGGGTATCGCACGTAACCTTGCTTTTGAGCAAATTTTCTAAAAAAAATAACCCATGCCCCTCAACACCTCACCCGAGGTGTAAAAAATTATGAACGCAATACCAAGACGTAAAGATTTTGTTTGTTTGAAAATAAAGTTAGCTTATCACCTATCAGTGGTTTCTTGTGCAGAGCCTTGTTCAGGGCTAAGCTATAGAAAGAGGTTATATTTAAATGTAAAAGAAATCGTCTCTTGTACTGCTGGACCAATTGCTTTGTAATTAATTCAGTAGTTAAAGATGGAAGTGTCACTTAAAATCCATATTTTCTCTGGAAACTTTCATGCAAACGTTTCTACTCTAAATTTAGCTGAGATTTGAAAAATTGTCCCATTATTTCGGATTTCAGAAGGGGGAATGCTCAAATGAGGGTACAGGCGCCAATCATTTCTTATAATTGGATCATGTCATCAAAAAAAAAATTTATTTTTCATTTTTCAGATAAAAGCTTACAATGAAGCAGCTACTAGATCATATACCGACATGGTTGCATTTTATCAAAATCTCAATTTCTTCAATAATAATATTAACGATCCATTGGATGATACGATCGTACCGATGGCCGACTCTCCTGTCTTAAATCAGGTGTGTGTAATAACTTCATCTTAGTTTTATAATTCAATGATCTGAAAGTAAAAAAGTAGATTTTGATTCAAATTTGATGCTGGTGTCATTTTATTGTGAACAGTAATTAACCTTACACATTGGGATATTTTATTTGTGGTTGACTTATTTTGAAAGTGCACTTATGTGGTGTTTTTGATTAATATTAGTTGAAAAATCTGGATTAATTTCAATTACTATTTGTAAATGTGAATGTTGTAAATTGTGTAAATTGGCACTGTAATATGAATTTTCATCTGATAAATTTTGGGACATATTATGCATGTTTTGAATGAAATGCTTTCTGTTATCTATACGTCGTGGTTTCGCATATGACTATAATTCATAAAACACTTTATTCCAAAACAAAATTTCGATTATGATTAGCTTTCCGTCGATTGAGGTCTGTTCGTTGCACCGACAAATATTTGTCTGATATGTTTATGTATTTCGCAGTATCTGTGTGAACTGAATACACTGTCAAATGTTATTAAATTCACTATTTGACAATCTAATCAATCCAGGATGAAGAAAATATGCAAGGAATGGAGACAGCATTTATTTGTCAGTCATGTTCTACAACTTTCAACACAGAAGATGAACTTACTAATCATATTCTTACATGTACAGTTGATAATGCAGGTACTATAAGAAAATATATGAATGAATAATTTAATTATTAAGTCATCATTGGTGGCCAAGTGGGTAAAGCGTTAGACTTACTTGATGGCCTCGCTAGTTAAAATCTGAGTTCAAATCCCATGCCCACCACCTCACCCAGGGTGTAATAAATTAGGTGGCAATGCAAACCAGAAAAATTCTGATCCTTCCAAAATTAAAGTAGCCCTTTACGAATCAATTATGGCTTATGCAAAGCCTTGTTCGGAGCGAGTCGAATAAAAAAAATTGGGGTTATAACCAAATAATCAACTATCTCAAATACATTCAAAAATAATTAATTTGTTGTTTCAACTTTTTTTTAAATTCATTGTTTTACGTTTACATTGTATTGAATTATTTTCAGATGTTGATGATAACATAGTGGAGAAATACAAACATCTCATGACTTCAGAAGACGATTATGCCAATAGATGGAAAAGGGAAGATTATTTTGGTACCAAGGCTGATAGTAAGTAATGCTTATTATTGCAATGTCAAAAAAAAACAAACATCCAGGTCATTTGGGACATATTTCAGATGGAACAAAGCATCCTAGATTACTAAAACTTTTGGGTATAATCATACACAAACAACATGTGTTGATTTAATTTTCCTCATTTTATAGACATAAATAAGAAATTTATGGGTTCAGTTTTTTTGGTTACCCTGTAAGCTGTAATCCATAATGGCTGGTTGGTCATTATCAGATAAACTCAAAACTTTGCTACGATGCCTGGCATCCTGTTAACATGCTTTGAATGACATTTGAGATTTGCGTAAATACGTGAAGCATCTAAAAAAACTTCCATGATCTTAGAAGGAAATTTGCTATTGTGTCGGATGTTCAGTTAACTTGCTTTAAATGATATGTGCGATTGGGAGTGTATAATAAGTATGATGATGAGAAACCTTACATACAGTATATTATAGTTTTGCTATGTATGAACCATTATTACTAGCAAGTAGAAAGCTTCTTAAGAATCTCACTTGGACTGGGCTAGCTCCCAAATCTTTTCACACTCTGGGTTCGGTTAATTTGATGGGGCATCGAAGCGATCATCTGGGCCTCACGAGCAAAGGGTTCATCATTAGGTGTCATTCACAATGACTGTATTGAATAAATTATTGCATTTATTATTTCGCTTTCGTTTGTTAGCTTTTTTATTATTGAACGTGGTGCTTAAAATACCTGATGGAAACCTTTTGAACGCGGAACTAGGTATTTTCGTAGAAAAGCAGGAGTTCACAATTGGTGAGAGTCTTTGGAAAGAGGCCAAAGATCATGAAGTTTTAGGAACCATTTGGTTAAGGTGTGTTACCCTAAGAAGAACTGAATAAAATGACCATACGTTTTATTTATTTCAGATATGAATGATGAATGGCTTACTTCACAGTCTGAACAACAGACTCCTTTTTGGGAAAGGAGCTCGAATGGAACTCCTGTAAAAGGTCAATCAACACCAACTATGAATGATATTTCTTTGCTTTCACAAAATTTGGAATCTCCGTCACAATTGAACGGTATTCTACTCTTTGTGTGATGTTTTCGACTTTTATAGATGAACATGTTGTCTGTAGTATTAAAATTCTGAGTTTGCAGATTTTGTTGATTTTGATATGATCATGTTTTTTTCTGCTTGAATTGGGGCGAAGTTACTTATACAAAAATGCATTTTTGATCAATCAAATTCTTAAACTACAATCTTGAAGTACCGTTTATCTTCGCAAATAGGTCGAACTCGCATACAGGCCAACCCCCTAAAAACAGCCTTAAAACGGTGAATTTATAAAAACTCTCGTATAAGCAGACCCTACAAATCGTAACACTTATTAACAGCACACATACTATTTGACACGGCTATTTTTGGTGAAAATTCTGGCTGTTTATCGTCAGCACGAGTGTCATTTAGTTCATCGACATCGTTAAACTAAATTTTGCCATAACCTTACGCAAGTATTAAGTGTTGTGCTACCACAGGCATTAATTTTAATTTTGCTCACGAAAGTATTCATTGGTTTTGAAAAACGCAAATGTTATAACACGATCATCGTCGTAATCAAATGAGTAAACCCGATTCCCAGCCACCGATGATGGAGTATGTAGACTGAAAATCGAATATGAGCCCAATTTTAATTGCAGTCAGAGTTATGTGCATATAAACTGACCCAACAGTTTGCCAACTTTTTTTGTGAGTTTTAAACTCGACTTATATGTGAGAATATATGGTAGTCTTTTCCTATCTTAATAAAAATTTACTTCATGCTTGAATAAGTTTCCTTATTTAATGACTTTCTAGCTATTTCCATTCAAATCATTGAATTATTTCATTTCATTGAATCACAATAATTTTCATTTTTTCAGTGTTCGAAAACAGTCAAGTTGTCGAGCAATGGATAAACAATTCTAGCCAATCATCATTTGCCGATAAATCGATGGACAGCGAACCTGCCCAGGAATTTGATCCGTTGTATAATGTTGATGGTCCGAGAGTATTTGCGTCTTCTTCAACCCATGCAACCAAAGAATCATCTTACGTGGAAGATAGTCTTCTGATGTCAATGTTCGGAGATGAAGGAAGAGAGAAAGAATTTGTCGATGATGATACGGATATAAACAAGTATGATAAAAGGATGATTGAAAGCGAATAATCTACCATAATTTTTTTGAATATAAGTTGGGTCGTGTCCCTCAAAGAACACACGGTATAACACACACAAATAAAATGTATATTTGATTCGAAATATCAATAACAATTTATATCCAACTCACAAACTCAGATGCAGTTAAAACCCCCGACCCCAAATCTCCACCTATATTTTAAACGGGTATTGTGACGTCACCATTTTTGTGACTCTGACATTATATTTGAATAATGATTTTTTTTTTACTTGTTTTTAAATTTGAGTTATTACACTAAATAGTTTCAAATTACATATTAATTTACTGAGTTTTTATTTTTCAATTTTTGTTTACAGCCAATCAAGCATGGCAATATCAAGATATACTTCCAGTTTGCCAACAATGGTGAACATGAAAAGTGCCGCAATGTCCAGGATGAGATACCAGGGTACGTTTTATGCTTAGCCAAATTTTATCGTCCTCTAGGTTAAGAATTAGATACTGGTTTCGATATTCCAATCAGGACAACTCAAAATGTCAAGAATTTATAGGACTAATGTAAAATTGATTTCTTTGGTTGGGTTGGGTACAAACTCTTCCTGTTATGCCAACATTTAAATAATTATTTCATTGTCTTCATAGTATTAGTATAAATCAGTGTTCCGAATACTTGGTGACATAATAATTTTTTTGGATATGACTTAGCCCAGGGGTGTGCAACATTCAATACAGGAGAGCCAGATAGAAATATCTGGGTGAAACTGCAGACTGCACCCTTTTTAACATAGGCCAAATATAAATCAAATATCTGATTCGTTGTGGTCATTCATGCTTCTAACATGGTCTTAGGCAAACATCTACTCAGACATCTACCTCTATTTTGTTTGGAACGACCATATCTCGTATATCCCTTTTTGTCTTTAAATGTTCAGCTTCATTCCTTTTTCAGGTGGTGAGAATCAATTTGGATCTACGGAAAATTCTGACGATAAATTGCTTGCACCAAATAAAGGAAAATATTTCTCAGGGAGAAAATGTCCGCAGTGTGATAAAACTTTTCCATGGGCTTCTTCATTAAGACGTCACATCATGACGCACACTGGTTTGAAGGTTGGATTTTCTTTTAATTTTAATTGAAACTGTAATTGAATAATTTACTATTCTAAATACATTCTGATTTTATATTTTTGAATATGAAATATCAAATATGTTATTAAAGTAATCATGCTTGACGGATAAATTTGCAAAAATCATTGTAAATTTGTGTAAACTTATTTTAGTAACAGTAAGATAGATTTTGTCTTTTTTGTTATTTAGTGTTATAAGTGAAATGAAGTATATGTCGGGATGCTTCACATGACCATTGCTTTAGCATGACTTTTTTCACAACTTATATCCAGAATTTTGGAACTTTGAATTGGCGAGCTATTTCCATTTCCAAACCAAACCTGAACTGTATAATCAGTCTAATATGTGACATGGGATCCTTTGAAATTGAGTTGTGTTATAGACTTTCCCAAATTAATAGACTTGAAAAATTTTACCCCCAAGTCCAAAGAACTGCTTCGAATGTGTCAAAAAGGGGATATGTGAATGTAGTTCCTATAGCTGTAGAGAATTGTTAACTGCAACCCTAAAAATTCTTCATAAAACAACGATTTGGTAACTTTAGTTAGAAGGTGGGGATGGTTGGGCGTCTCAATATCACCATTTGAACAGCCTCCTCTGTAGAGCGCCATAACTGCAGCAGGTTGATTTTTCGGGTAGCTACACAGTACGTGCTTTCAAATCGAGTGGAATGTTCGCGTAAAGACTTTTTATTTGATTGTGTTAAAATTTCTAGTGTAAATGAAAACATTTAGACATGCTAAATAAAAATATCAAACTATTTTCGTTTTCAGTTATACATGTGTCGTTTATGTAAAATGAGATTTACGACAAGATCAAATCTGATCAGGCACGTTTATCGTCGGCATGGTATGGCCAAACAGCATCCTGACTTTTCATCATGCTTAGCCAAACTACATCCTTCTGACACATTACTGAGAGAAGTAGAAGCAGACGTTCGTCGTCGAGTCGACGGAAGCAAAAAAGGCAATTCTATCATGGACAGCGTTAACGGTGAAATTGAAAGTAACGGCAGTCTCGATGATGGTGATAATCAAGAAGATAATATGCAAGGCGTTGTTAGAAAGAAAAAAGGGTTTGCTTCGGATTATCAATCGATGTTGGAAGAAGATCCAGAAACTTTATTAGTTGATCTGGATTACAGTCCGAGAGATGAACTTGGTAATGCTGTTGAAGGAAAAAAATTGAAATCACCCTCGGGGGTAAGAAATTTTTTGTTGTTGGCGTGTTTGTATAATACTAAAGAAGGTTGTCTATAAACTAGTCTTCTTACTACAACTTCCATGATTAGCATCAAAAATGATTCAAATTCATTCTATTCCACAAGGGGGGCGGAGACAATTTTTTAGGGGGCGTGGAGCTAAGATTAGACTTAGAATAATTGAAAAATGGAATAGCCATCTTTAAGTAATTAAAATTTAAAATAGAGTTTTTTTTTTTCACAGCAGCTGGCATTGACATAAATGTGATTTCATTAGAAATTTTATTCTAATCACCTGACTTCTCTTTATTAACTTACACATCTTCTGTAAATTTGCATCTTCTTTTCTAAATTTACAGGGGAAATCGACACCAAAAAAAGAGAAATTGGAAGAGCTGCAACCTATAGATGACCAAGAAGACCAGAGTACTGCTGATACCGAAACAGAAACATCGACCAAAGAAAAGGATTCCAATAAGCCCTTGTCGCAAATGTCAGATGACAAAAATATGGCAGAGGTACTTTTGATATGATGTTTTATCACAACAAGACAGCACGCCAAAAGTTATGTCTCATACGCTCAATTCTACATTGACTCATGTTGAAAACAACTCCGACCCCCTGATTAAGAAAAATTTTGGGAACTCATATAGTGTGTATACCAGGCTAGAGTTGGACCATAATTTTATTCCAATTTTCCTTATTTTAGTTTAAGTACGAGTTTGGGGACTGTCTGTGTTGGCCTACCCGTAGGTTTTGTCCCTTCACTCTACTTGATGTAAAGTGGGCGAACAAAATTAGTTACCTCCATATTGGTACTCATACTTCTGGAGCACTGTCACCGGTACCGGTACATATAATCAAGATACTGGTAGAATTGAATTGTGTCGAATATACACAACGCTTATACTGTGATAATGATGTAACAATTGGTGGTATCTTGAACAAGAAAAGGGAAAAGCATGAAATTTTCAAATTATTCAACTTAAGTTCTGCGGGCTATATTGAATCGTAACGTGGGCTGCGGTTTGGATAACAACTGCTTTATAATTTATTTTATTTTAGGTTTAATATTAAATTCCGCAATATCAGGGTTAATGTTGTGTAACTGGAAAGTTTTTTTTTTCAGGCTCTTCAGCAAGCTGAAAACAAAATGCAGTTGGTGCCTCATTATCACAGAGGAAAGAATCTCAGACGAAGATCTGACAACAAGTCACAATCACCAGCTCCAGTAGATTCACCGACAAAAAATACGCCCGAAAAGGCTGAGGAAGTGAAAGAAAGTCTTACAACTACACCTACTATCGAATCCGGTAAAGCAAAGGGACGAAATAAACAGGTAAAATTATCTTGTATTTTCATGCAATATAATCGAGAAATTTCAAAAGAAGCGAAGCACACTTAGTCTGAAATAAATGAGAATCATCTCAGAGCGAAGTAACGGGAAATCACAGGAATGTCGAGAGAAACTAAAACTATATAGAACAGGCGGACCATGTTAGTGTGACGTAAAAAGTTACATTCCAACAACAATATTTATAGTGTTACAAAGGCGAATGCGAAAAACAATAAGCCTCGTGCCAAAACTAAATTTAATCGCAGTCTCAACAAATTCCTTGAGCAATTTTTCAGCTAAAACATCAAAATTTGGTTTTAGTTTAGTTGTAGCAGAATCAGGCGGGCCAGATTGAACTACCCGACAGGCTGGATTTGGCCTGCGGGCCATAGTCTGCCCATGTCAGATATAGAAAAATGGTTGAGGGTTGCATTGCGCACCACCAGCGAATGCAATTGACTTGACACTTTGTTTGGAAGTCAGTTTTGGTTTTGAAGTAGTAACCTTGAATGCAGTAAAAGAATCTTTTTTGTTAAAAAGTGAAAGTTTATTGTTATATGACCAGTGTAAAATAAAATTCTTGGTTACCGCTATTACATAATAATAGTGTCTCTTACCTGAGATGTCATAAAATTAATGATATTTGGAAATACATTTTTGGAGAATCCAGATAACTGAAATTCCTCTTAGAGAACTAAACACCATATTTCAGTGTAATCTTAATCTATATCAAGTTTTTTTGAGTGAAATTGAAAAAATATATTTTTTTGACGAAATGGATGTATTTGAGATTTTTGAAAAATTAATTCTAAGATAATAAGTTGGCCGCTACTGTCAGTTTAATTTTATTTCGGTAATAACAAGTATTTGGTTTTGGACATTCAAATTTTTTGCCCTCTCTTACCCTTTTGCAATCTTTATTTTAATTAATATTGTTCATTTTTTACAGTCTACTCAATATGTGTGTGGTTTGTGTAAGAAAATATTCAAGACCGTGCCAGATTTGATATCCCATCTTGATATACATGATGTACCACATGCATGGCATTGTCCAGAATGCAGCGTACCTTTCACAAACAAGTAAGTCTGGGTGAGAATGTAAGTCTGGTAAAAAGTTGGGAGTCGTAGAATTTTGTTGTATGTATACAATTATTATTTACTACAGCGATTTATGTTGAGATGGTAAACGCGGATAGTAGGAATTTGCATTTAGTGTTTTATCTATTTAATCTTTATATGACAGCGACTATTGAGTTTTTGGAACAGTTTGATTACTCTGGGGGTCAGGGTCACCCAGCCTTTTAGTGTGGCCCTTTTTCATTATCGAGCATAAAATCTTAATCCAAAAGTTTGTTTAAAAAGACGCTTACATGGATACAAATACATGTTTTTTGCTTTTGTCGCTACGTTTAATCTTCTGCCGTTTTGCCAGTTGCCTTTATTACTGTAACGCTAAGCGATAGCCACATTCCGCATTTTTGTGCGGCCCAGCTGGTTGTCAGAAGTTGGTTGAATGGCCCACCGACGAAACATGTAGCATTCTATTATGTTTTTAAAAGAGTGAATGATTGTACAGTCTTGTCTGTAATGTTACCCAATTCATATCACACCATTCTAGATTGTCCATTATCTTGGTGAGTCTCTTTGGCGAGGTCAATTTACCTGTGTGTTTCGAAAAATATCCTCATAAATAATGGTAATTCCAGTTTCGATCTAGTCAAGTGACATATTTTATAATTCTGCATATTGTATCTGGCGAAACAAGAATCAGTAAGAATCTTATAATTATAGCATGTTCTCCAAAGATATCAAATTTCAATTTTACAAACAGGTACAATTGCCAACGTCATTTGAGTCGACGGCCACGGACGTTCAGACTTGCAACCGATATATGTTGAGGATTTAAAACATGGTCCACGGAACGCTAGAGGACGTCCTTTGAAATCTATCCCAGGTAACTCGATCTATTGAACAATTCCCAGCCCATATCCTTTTCCTATTTAATAAGCACGAGAGGAGAAAATGAGGGCGTGTCCATGTACTATCTTCACATCACACACAATAAACCCTAGATAAAGGCTTTCAACCTGTGGTTTTTTTTTTTGTAGAAATTCCCACTATAGATAAATGTAGTAATTTGAATTTAACTTCCATCATTTTTTTTTGTATCACAACTGTAATACATGTGCATGTGCGTATAAATGTCACATACTGCTACACAATCTAACTAGCTTGCTTGTTAAATTTTTTCTTCGTCTATCGCCAAAGTTACGCTTCAGGGACGTATACAGGGGAGGTGGTTGAGGGTTGGAACCCCCCCTTTTGAAATGTAAAAAAAAGAGGAACGCTTTTTAGACCCTCAAGACTTAACCCATGTTTTCGTGAGTTGTCACAGTCTAACTTGGCTTTCAGAAATTTCTTTTTCTTGTTGTGTACCATAGACTTATTCGGTAACGACGACAGGGGTGTATGTAGCCAGGAACTTTCAATAGGGGGATTGGAAGTTCCTGGCTACATACACCCCTGTCGTCATTACCGAATAAGTCTATGGTACACAACAAGAAAAAGATAAGTAACCCTAATGGCGTGTCTTTAAAAAATATTTTGGCTAATCAAATAATCAATGGGCATCATCGTAATTATCGTGATTTTCAGATTCTCCATCAGGCAAAAAAGATCGATTGATCGAGGAGGATAAGTAGCTGAAACCACCATTTCTTTATTATTTATTAAAATCGTAATAATTTTTTTTTATATCTTCAATATTTGAATCATGTCATAACTTTTTCATTGCAATGGTTGATTAACTTGCAAATGAAGCATTATAATCAAAGATAATTGCTGATTGACATGTAGCGAAGTAATATGTATCCATGTGAAGAAGTATGCAGTGGGTGATTCCAAAGACAATGATTGGTCATTTATTTTTCTTGTCACATTTTTATTCTGTATGCTTCAGTTATCAGAAAACAAATATCAATATTTATAATTGTGACAAAAAGTGTGACTGAGGAGCAACTTTATGCTTGAGTTTTGATATATTTAAAGCCATATCCCCAATATGTTGCCTTTTTGAATGTGTTATTTTTTACAATAAAAGTTTGATAGTTTTTTTCAATGCATTATCAGGCATGCTGCACGACTTGTAATGAAATTTTAAGTCCCCAAAGCTTGGTAGTTTTACAAAATTTACCAAATGCTTTTATGGATGTGACAAAAATTGTTTTTTTCATGAATTTGCCGCACTTTTGAAAAGTTTTGAATGAATTACAAAATACTTGAAATAGAAAAAATTAAACAGATAACCCTTTTTTAAGATATCATTTTATTATTGTTGCAAGATATCTATGAATTACTTGAACATTTGTATTTATAACCAGCATTAGTTTTGATTTTTTATTGCTCATTACTGACAAACTACTTTTGTTAATTGTTCAATAGACCCCCTTTCTGACTGCTTGAATCCCTTTAGCTTGAGTTTGGATTTTGACAATTTTCATCTGCAATCAACGGCAAAGATTTGAGTATACATTCAGTCTTATACAGCCTGATAATATCGGCTTTGATTGATACGAATTTATCAGACCCCCTTTCTGACTGCTTGAATCCCTTTAGCTTGGGTTTGGATTTTGACAATTTTCATCTGCAATCAACGGCAAAGATTTGAGTATACATTCAGTCTTATACAGCCTGATAATATCGGCTTTGATTGATACGAATTTATTCAGGCCAGTTAATACAGAAGTAGACATTTTGCAATACTGCATAAGATATTTCGTTATGAAAATATGAATTTCTTACTTCGTCCTCAACTGCTTTTATATGATGTTACATTGTTAGTATTTTATATCAGTCGATGCAAACGTATTTTGTTTGGTCAGTCATGAAATTAGTGTAAATGGGTTTCAGCCATTTTTCATATACAATGGATTGAGGCTACTCTATAAGGTAATTCGTACTTTGCGGGAAAAATGAATTGAGTATAATTCAATATACGACTCGAAAACATTTCTGTAGTGTTTTAACTCTATATTTTTATCTCACGATTGCATTTGAATGAATTTCTAGATTGTTTTTGTAGTAAAATTCCTTCAATTTTTGCAATTTACGCTACTTGCTTAATTATTACTTACTTGCTTAATGCCTAGACATGTGTATTATAGCAAAGTTATCCCAATGTATAGTTGCGTGTATTCTTGTTACTGACATAAATTTCCAATATTTTGAAAGATAGCCTGTTTTCGTAATGAAGCTGTGGACTATCAAGAATTATTAGGATAGAAGCTTCTTATTTATTCCAGAGGGGAGTGTCCATAAGGTGCGCAATTGCAGGGCGATGCCAGGCCTTTCTTTCCCGCACCAGTCTATGCCAAGTTTGAGGACGAGGCCATCCTCTAAGGGTTAAAAAGCAACTGAAATATATATTTGTGAATATTAAAATCGTTAGAAGGTGCGACGCTGGTGACACACGATTAGAAGGTAATTGAATTGGGGAATGATGCTTAAATCCTCAGTTGTCCGGACACTCGTGCGATACCGTCTGATCGTACCCGGTACCCAGCATACAGTCACTCATGAAACGAGTGGGAGATACGGATAGTCTAGTGCAGTGGTTCTCAAACTTTTTTAGTCCCAGAGCCGCATTTCAAAGCTCAAAGTTATCAAGAGCCGCACACAAACAACGTAAGGTAAATTAGAAACAAACCTTAAGCGCGTATCTAAAATACCAAGTCTTCGTAACAACAACACGCGTAACAACTAGGGTTGGGCAAAATATTCGAATAATGAAATATTCAAATAGCATTTTACTATTCGAATATCCGGTACAACGTGACCTGCGCCGCTCTGCTTAGACACCGAACTCGCTCGTCTCCAACTCAATCGTGAATTGTGCGAGATTTCCCAACGGAGGTCGCTATCAGAAAAAAACGACAAATTTGAAAAGTCGTTGTCTTTGCGATATGGTGTTATATGCTTATCTTTGCACTTAACGTATCGTTTCAATTCTATATTTTGACCGTTCCGTAATTTTAGAAACGTCAAACCAGATTCGGTATTTAAAATAAATTTCTCAGATTTTAAACTCCGCATGCTTGGAGACATGTCATTAGACATTTCTTGCAAAACCGAACATAAAGTTGATTGTAATTGAATGTTAAAGTGACATTTTGGCGTTTCATTGTGAAAAAGGCGATTTTAGGTCGTTAGAAAACTCCAGTTATATAAATAGCATGAATTTAATAATGACCAAAAGTTTTTCCATGGTATGAGTTACTTGTATGAAAAACACTCATTAAGTGGTAACCAGATAAGAAATGTCATGTCTTACTCCATTCAAAGCACTTTGTATTAGCCATTTGGTGATCGCTTCCATCCTTGGCCAAGTAATGTTTCGAATATGTAAACATTTTACTCGACCATGCATGGCCGTTGAGCATAGAGTAGAACGTAAAATCAATCGTGAATTTCGTTGTAACAATGCACACTGACTCGTTCACGAATTGTTGCATCTATTACCATCAAAAATGATTACCATTGTTAAATTTTAATGCATTTGGGCAGTGATAATTACGGTAAGCCTTAAGGCATGACATAATCATAATTATTAAGCGAAGTGATGAATTTGCAAATTCCGTAAAGAAAATTGAGCATTGCTCAGTAAGTATTTTAGCTATAATAACCATCGGGGTGTTGTTTTGTTGAAAATAAAACGTCAATTAAAACTTGAAAGAATTAGTTATAATTAGCATTTGACCTTCTATTGGGCACAAAGGCCTAGGAATGCTTTTATTGCCAATTTATTTAATCGCTATTTTAAACCAACATTCAGGATTCACGCAATCGTAAATTGGCTACGTTTATCTATCTAATAATACTAAAATAACACGAACACCATAGAAAAGCATGAGAAACTCAATTATCATTTTAATAAATATCTGCATCTCGGTTACCGTTCACTTCAAACAGGCACGGTTAATTTACAAGCGGTGATGGGGCAAATCAAATCCAAGGCAGAGGATAAAACTCAGAATAAAATTAATTTGGTTTTGAAATCAGCCCTTAATGTATTTAACAGCTATCGCTGATGTGAACGCAAGGGTATACTAGAAATATGAAACTTCGATATCCGGCGACACCTTATTCTTGCAAAAATCGAGGAAAGTCGGGAATATCGACTACCAACTTTAGGTTATCGACGCCGAAACGATCGCGGTGACAAAGACAACCAGCGATTATGATGGGATTAACCATTAACCAGTAAAAAACGCTCTATTGCCGACTTTTCATTGTTTCTATGAATTTTCCAAATGAAGTATCGACCTTCTGGACCCCTGTTATGTATAAAAATTATTTATTTTTCGACTATTCGGTATTCGTTAAAAATATTCAAATTATTCGATTCGAAAAAAGATTCGATTTTGCCCACCCTAGACTAACAGCCATTTAATTTGGCTTTGATTTCGGATAAGTTTGTCAAAGAAGGTCGTAATCGTGGAGGATGCAATGTGCAGTAGCTGCTTGAGTGATCGCCAGATATTTCGGGACTATTTTCGATTACTGAAACAAAATTAAAATGCTCTATAAATTAAAATATTCATTGAGTTATTTGATTTATACATAATATTTGGAAATGCGACAAAAACTGAAACTCCACGAAAGCAAGCCAATGAATACAGCCATGTCTAAAATCTTTCTAAGTGAAAAGTGTCCGAGTGGCCGCGAAAACGCTTACTGTTGCGTCACTATTGCATCTTGTAGATTAGTCAACGCTACGCAAATAAACACGGGGGAATCCATTCGACTGACTAATAGACTTCCGCGTTTTAATTTCAAGTCAATGATTAATTTTCAATGAAAAATTTTCTTTGAAAGTAATTAATTTTTAAAGCTTTAACAAGAGCCGCAGGAAAGGTTGTTGGGAGCCGCATGCGGCTCCCAAACCCTAGTTTGAGAATCACTGGTCTAGTAGAATATGATGAATCGAGGGATGAATTGAAATAAATAGTTGAGCCCGCGCGATTTATCATTCGTCCTTATCTCCCATTCATTTCATGAGTGATTGCATGAGTACAGGTACGGTCCATTGAGGTGTTATATACACCTCAATGGTACGGTCAGACGGTACCGGTATCGCAAGAGTGTCCGGACAACTGAGCAGTTGAGCGGCATTCTCCAATTCAATTACCTTCTACAGTCTACACGTAAAAACAAATTTCCCGAATTTTCGTACTCAATCAAATATTCTCTTATCAATATTATAAATATATTACTTCTAGTTGAACTTGTAGCAATGAGAATTTATAGAACATTTTCGTTTTGAATTTATTGAATATTACTCAAGAAAATCAGTAGTGAGTTAGAAACCAAGGGAACACCGTTTGTACGCGTTTGATTATGCATGACAACGTTGGTCCCAAGCAGAAGCAAATTTTCTTAAAATAAAAACGCATGACAACGATGGGCCACGAGGCGGCCCAGCGGCCCATTGTTGTCAATCTTTTTATTTTATTTTTATTCACGTTTTTTTTTTTTTGTTATTCAATTTTTTTTTGCTTTTTTTATTCCGTTTTTATTTTATTTTCGTTTTTTTTTTGAATTATTTGTTTGCATTTTTTTTTAATTTTTTTTTTATGTTTTTTTACAACTATTTTTTTTAATTTTACTTTTACTTTAAGTTTTTGATTTTGTTTTTTATTTATTTTTTCCCAGTATGGGCCACCATACTGGTCGCGCTCCTGGGTATTGCCATTACACGGATAAATCTTTCTTTGTTGGATACCGCATTTTGTGATACTTTGATGACTGAATCGTCTGCGTGAATCAAATATATCCAGGGATTAAGGAAGACTATCAAAGGCCGCACCATAGTCTGTAATTTCGCGTGGGACAATCCACGACCATCTTTCCAGAAAACGCTACTTTTGCGCGAAGAGCTTATATGACGCACAGTGGCAGCAATATGTAAATTGAGCTCGATGGTTTTTGAGTGAGATACGATTTGCATTCGTGGCAAAATTTTTGATTCACTCATAAATCAATTCTAGCGGCCCACAAGCCAATTTGGCGCAGAATATCAATCACGTCCGAATGGCCGATTATCTCTATAAATAACTTTTGCGGGTCGTTGCGCTGCACCGAACGGTAAGGTATATTAATCACTCACCTGTCATATTTTCTCGCCAAGGTGATTTATATCATCGCTTTCCAGAATTAGCTATCCGTGAGCGTACCAGAGAATGAATTTCTCTGGCGTTGCAGAACAAAATTTACGAAATGCCAAAATACATAAATTTGGAAATAGCCCTAGAGAAGGTGCGGGTTGCGCCGTGCAGTACGGTACCGTATTAGACGTTTCTTGAGTCGTAGGTCTTCTGAAAATAAAGCCAACGCCTATAAAAAGTTGGATTAAACTGTATGAAACCACTGAACAAGAGCAGAAGTTGGAAAACATAAAATCTTTCCATAGCATTCCGTTATGTCCGTGTGTGCATATTGTACTTCGCCACGATCTGCCATTGCTGACTGGCTTTTGTTTTAGTGCTGACATGCTCATCCGACCAACATCTGTACAGGAAAGTGTGAGCCATGTTCGCCAGTTCGTAAAATGGAAGGTACCGCAAAACACAATTACAGCCTAAATGGATGTCTGGGAACAAGCAAGGAGTGTTTTCTGTTTGTAGTCTAGTCAAGTTCAAAATAATGAAGTAATACGTAACTAACATACCTGCAAATTCGAAAATTCAGTAATGGGTGGATTCATTCCTAGATCCAGTAGATCTGTAGGTGGAATAGTAGGCTACTATTAGAACTTTTTGCATATAGCGGGTGTGGTTAACTTATTTTTGGTTTAGATTCTGTCATTACAGCATTAGGCTATGGCAAGTCCTAGCTACATCTGTACATTGAGAAAAGCTAAAACTGTGAAATGGAAATAAATAATATTGGGTTAGGCCAGTGGTTCCCAAACTAGGGTCCGCGAAACAAATCTGTAATACGGCTATTACTGTATTAGCTTGATAATACAAAAATTGAGTGCTTAAATTTACAAATACACATTTGTTGTCTTTTGCTGCTTCACAATCACCGCTGGAGACACTGATTCTTCACTTTCAGTTTCGATCACGCTGCCCCATTGTGATGTCACAAAGCTGTTGGCTTGCGATATCACATGGCGAGTTCAATTCATGCCACCACAAGTTTACTAACTGCAGAACTGTAGCTGACACTGCCCTTCTGCACGATTACCGAATATCGAAACAGACTGGATGTCGCACATGTCATTAGAGTTGCGCTTTAATTTCTTTTGTTCGTTTCACTATACGGCGCATTGATTTTTTGTTGTGATCTTTTAACGTTTTGTTTTAGTGCACAGGGCTGGTAATCATTAAAAAAAATTGCAAGGGGTCCGTCATAGAATCTTTTTCAAAAAGTTTGGGAACCACTGGGTTAGGCTAAGATCTGAAGATCAAATTGTATGTCACCCAAGTTGTATAATTGTGGCAAAGTCACAGCATTACTGGTAGAGCAATTTGCCGTATTGCATTGCCATATTGCGAAAACTAGCATGTCAGTAGGCTATGTGCCATACAGAATTTTATATGCTTCATATGAACAAGAAAATAACCTAACTAACAGTATATTTCTAGTTTTTGTTATTGTCTAAAATTTCGAACATCGTGCCTTCGATCATGGAGGATGACAAATGGAAAATTATCGACACTCACTTGCATTCTATGATGGATTGGACAAATGGAATTAATTCTTCTAATTCGAATAACCAGCGAGAAAACCAACGCCAAGGTCACATTCATAGACGTAGCGAGCCTGATGTTGTCATGATTCGCAAGGCACAAGCATCCAGAATAAACAATGTCACAGTGCCACAATCTGCCCCAGTCCAACCAGATACTTTCGCTCTCGACTGGCCAGCAAGACCTATCAAGAAATTACCAAGTTGCGACAATGAACCTTCTATTAATGATATCATCCCCGAAACTCCCAATTTGGTAAACATGCCAAGTCGATCCACCCACAATTCACAGTTGAACTCTGCTACGGTGACTATTGCGGAGAGCCACATAACAATGCCACATCTTTCTGGGTCAGTTGCTAATACAGACCATGTATTTACAACAGTTGAGGCACCTCCGAGGCCCCCACCTTATCCGCGTTCTACTGCAAATGGCAGCTTGCACATTAAGCCAAATAAGTCCTATTTTGTTCCACTTACGATTGATGCCGACAATCGTAACACTAGCAGTAATCATCACTTGACATTTTCATCTATAAAAAATCCTCCACAAACTAATTCTTTCGGCTATGGTTCACCGAAGACTAACAGAAGAAGCTCTGTTCCTGGAAATCAAATTGATCCAAGGTAAGTCATTTTTTAACGTTGAGTGCTCTTTTGGATTTTGGAGATGATTCATGTAAAAGTCTGCTTGTACAGTGCCTCGTTGGGAGTAGAAACAAGATAATCATTGTATGAAAAAGTCCATTGATTTTAATATAATTTATATATATACAGTAATACTGAAGAGATTTTGAAACTTCCTTGGTAGAAGTGGGTGTAAATATGGAACAGTAATAGTAATTTTGCATATAATACTCATATTTGACTTTACTTAGCAATATAACCAGAAGTGCAGTAAATAATAAATTAGGTAGGTTCTATTAGTACATCGTAGAAAAATACAAAGTAGAAAAAGTATAGTAGTAATCAGAAAATATGGAAACACTTATAGAGGACATTGTTCTGTTAACATAATTTTTTCTTATTTGCAAAATGTTAGGTATGTTTCAACTACGATAAAATTTAAGTTATGCGGTCTTATTTAATTTGCATAGCACACGAACCATAGCTTGTTACATCATTTGTTCAACTTGTTTGATAACATACTAATGAATATCTCACAAAAAAAACGATATCGATTTTATTTATAATATGTATCCATTTTGTTTTATCATAGTACTGACTAATTATGAGTGCCACACCTTATCTATCTGGCTTGCATAAAATTGAAGGCACTTTTGAATTTAATCACGATTTGTATAAAAGTCTGTAGTATTTTTATAATCAATCTGTCTTCAATCTATACTTGTGTACAATTCATCCTTTCCCTTTTCTAATTTCTCATCTGACAAACTTTGACAATCGTTCATTAGTAATTCATTTTTGTACTATAGTATACAGGGTGACCCAAAAAACAGAACCTTGGAACATATACTAGAGAGAACTGCAATGCCTTCTAGATTAATAAAACTTTTTGAAAGAGTCGTACACAAACAGAAGTTCAAGTGTTATATAATTAAAAAAATGAGAAACTTATGGATTCTGATTTTTTGAGACACCCAGTATATATATTATTGCTATGGTAACTATCATTTTATGATTTAAATAAACCATACATTCAAATGCATTAAACCATTTTTCACTTTAATAAATAAATGTCATCTGATGAATCCAAGATCATTTAAAATACTCGACTTCAACTGCTGCTTATATTACATGTGTAAATTCATGTATTACAGAATATTATCATCATTTACAACACAGCTATATAAATTCCCCAAATTTACTGTAAAATAGACATATAAATCAAAGTACGGCTACTAAGGGTTCAATCTGTTACTAGACCTCAAAATACATTTATTTGCAAAGCATTTTTCCTTACTGCTTTTAGCAATTGCTAACTGCTATATTTATTCTTGTGATCATGTAATCAGGTATCTATCCCACGTATACTGTTTATTGACATACAAGTATGTACATATGACAAATTGAATCGCTATATGTCAGTAGCTTTGGTTGCTACCGTATATATATATATATATGCGGTGTGTTCTATTAGAGGAAATGGTTTGGATTCACAGTTAAGTAGCAACAGTATGTCTGACCAATACTTACGTATTTGAGGCTTATTAACACATTCATGTTCAATTTGCATATTGCCGTATTCAAATTTTTGCCAATGTAGTAGTGTATTTCTCATTAGTAAATAGTTACTTGAGTTGGATATGTTTTTATGTAAAATATTATGTAACAGGATTTGAGCTGCCATAAAAAACAATTTTCATATTATTCAGTGCAGTAAAATTTTTTTTAATTACCGGTAATACGTAGTTACTCCTAGAATAGTTGAATTTGATATTTTGTTATATAATGTATTATTATATAACAGGATTTGAGCTGCCATAAAGAAAACAATTTGTTGTGAGTGCATAGGCAAATTTTGACTATTCTGTACGTCACAGTTATGTGTGTTAAATTCATTGGCAGTCTCAAGTATCTCAGAACTATGCTCTATTCTGATCTGGTTTACCTGTTAACAATAAATTTTAGTATTAAAATTTGAGTTTTCGTTCGTTAGCAAGGACAGACAGTTCTGCTAATCATTCAGACATCATCTTATTTTGTTAATAAATTAACTCGTTAGAATTCCCATGTTGTGAAATGTTTGATCTATTCAATTTACTTTGACTTGTGTTGTTAATGTACTGAAAAGTTCGTAATGCATTATTCAACTTTGCGGAGTTAAATTATAGCTTTGAGTATGCAAGAATATTTTAAATATTTAAATGCTATTTGTTGTGGTTGTGTAATTCATATATTGTATAGAATTATGACAAAAGGGGAAATATATTAGTTGTTGAAAATTGAAACTGGTATTAATAGTCGCTAGTCTTGACTCGCTTGTTTCAGTCAGGAGGGTCAGGAGAACGAGTAACTGGTTTCAAATTCGTCACAGAGGTTCTTTAAATAAATATATATATATACGGTAGTTGATAAGTTGATCACTAAGTGATATCTTATTCCATAACAATTTTAGAGGAGGAGGATAGTTCATAAAAGAGCAAGAGTTTGTATTGAAAATGTGAGGATTGACAATAATAATTATCGATGTGATAAACTGTAAATAGTCTTTGTATTTTGTAATTCATTTGTTTACTATTCAATTAAATGAGTCTGAATTGATAGGTATTAGTATATACTATATACTCTTATTTTTATTTCCAGAGCTCATAGTGCAAGTCCAAACATAACAAGACGGTCAGCATCACATTCTGCTGCAGTTCATCGAAGAAGAACGCAGGACAATCTTGTTTTTATTCCTACCATGGTACCAAATTCGGAAATGGATTCCAATCATATTATTATTCCTTCCGTTGTACATTCTCCTATATTTGGTTCTACTGCCAGCCCAGTTTCAGCTGATCCAATGATAACTAATTCGACATTTACAAAAAAAAATGATGACCAGGAATACACAAAAGGTGTGTTATATAGCTGTTTTCAAATGCGAATTACAAAATTAGCCAAGTTCACCTGAAAAACCTGTCACCTGAAACCAAACCGATTGGTAAATGGTAATGAAAGCAGAACTTGTGTGTAATGTTTGAATGTTATTTGATGATATTTTGATGTCAAACTTGTTGCAGGAAATTTGAGATGGTGATTTTATTGTACATAATACAGCAAATTTGGATGTTGGCGCTACAAGTTTATTTAAATTATGTCTTGAAAAAAAAAGTTTTGAATAATATTACAGTGCTCAAATATATGGACACAAGAGTCAAGACTAATACATTCATTGCAACATCAGCTGAATTCCAGCCATATTTTGGAAGAAACATAATGAATGCATAATATGAAACTTTGCCTTTGCATGATTATAAAAAAAAACAGCAAACTTCTTGTTGAAATAAAGGGCCCTATCGTTTACAGATAAAATTTGAAAAAAAATGTTATAATCATCTGTCTCAATAATTTACCAAAATGATCCACGAGTCCACTGCTATCTGCTAATGTCAGTGTTAAAAAAACATTCGGTTCTGGAATTATGATAATTTACATGTAAATGCAATATTCTGACCACTTTATTTATACCAGTTCTTCTAATGACTTATTTCTTCAGCTTTATTACAACATCAACAAGAAAGAATGGAGAGATTACAAAAAGAATTAGAAGCAAAAAAGAAATTACTTTTCTCACTCTCAGCAACTCTTTCAGAAAAGGAAACTCAAGTACATGTAAGGAGAAATGAAAAGATGTCACCTTATATGCCAACAGTATGTACTTTAATTCATTTGTGAAATTTCAAGATTTGTGTTTGTGCAGTTGGGACCAGATATGTCCAAAATGAAATGAATATTTAAATCTTTTCAAAATTAGGCTTTTATAATATATTTTTTATTTTTTAATTCTTGATTTTAAGAGTAATTTAGGACAGTGGTTTCCAACCTTTTTTTAAAGCGACCCTAATCTTTAAAAAATGAATTTTGTAAAATCTCGCGACCCAAAGATATGTTGCCGTGAAAAAAAATTACTAATGCAAAACAATCATTTTTACACAACATTTATTTTAACAGAACTTTCAATCCCGCACTAATGAGATGGTTTGCCATCAGTTATTGAAATCATTGCGTCGCTTTATGCAAATTGAATGCTGACAAGTTCTTGCACTCTGATACTTTTCACGTATACAATTACTAGTGAGCAACACATCATAACCAAATATAAAATGAACAACAAAATTTACTACAAAAGATAATCAGTAACTTTTAGATTTTTCTCAAAAAAAACAAGCGACCCAAGAAGATTTGCAGTCTACCCATGATAAGATAGATCTGAATATAAACTCACTCATAGGTATTGACTCTTATGCATTTTTTGTTAACATGACCAAACCTTGAATATATTCGATGTTCTATATTTGAAAATATTATTTTAGAATGTATTTGGAATTGTCGCAACCCACGATCTTTGACCTCTGGTGTCAACATAATTACGTCCAATGCTGTAGCCATTAGAACTAACAGAGAATTCAAGAATATCAAATGTAATAAGCAACAAACTTGTCAATGTTCACTCATTTTAAATTATATATTTTCTTGCAGCTCAGTGATGTCATACGTCTTAGAGATGCAAATCTTCAAATGGAAATTGATTGTAACTGTATGATAAAAGAAGTTGATATGGTCACAAAGAGTGGTGAGAATATTTTTTTTGTCTTTTTCGTTGGCCATATAAATATTCTTGTCATAAAACAACATCCAACCCTATTTACTATGCTATTTTTTCACACCTATCCTCTAAACAAGTCTCTATATAAGTAACATTTGATACATAGCATCATACTGTTTTAGAATTGGCAGAATCTTCCTAGTGCCTACACGATTATATCCACAATGAGGTCATGAACCAACTAACCACTAAACCAGTGGTTCCGTTAATCGTTCATTCCTTATTGGATCCATATCTAGTGCAACGGGCAAGTCACACTTTGGCATTTGCACAGTTGAATAGTTTATAATGTGTCCGTGAATATGTATTGTAATATAATATTACTAAATATTATTAGTGGAACAACATAAAATGCGAAGGGTACTATTTCCTCCCCCTCCCCCCCCCCAAAAAAAATAAATAAAATAAAAAATAAAATTAATGTTCAGATCAATAGTGGGTATTGTAATAAAATAGGCAAGTATAAGATATAACTGATATATTAAACTAAAAAAGTAAAAGTAAAAAAGCATTTCGATTATTAATGCTATTTCGTGACTTGCCAAGTATTTTAAGTATACCTCAACTGTTTGTGGGGTCGAATCCAGGGTCAAAAATCTTTGCAGCTGCATTTCTGAGAAAAAGAAACTTTAAGATAATTTGCATTGTTTGCATGCTTTTGTGTCTGGGCAAGCAAGCCTATGTTAACTTGATACCGACAATATAATCGCTTAAATGTATTATGCAAAAATATGCCCTGGGGGTTTGTGATGGTATTGCCTGATCTTGAATGGTTTACCACGGTGTGCAGTGCACAAACAATTTGATGTTCTAAAATCATTATTTCCTTTGTTGTAGAAGCATGAAAATTATGATATTTCATTCAGTAAAGTATAATTTGATTCTTGACTTCTATTTTTTTGTTAATTGTATATGTTGTTAACTATTATATTTTTGGCTTTAAATAATAAGTTCTTTATTTTTCACGACTATGCAAAATTTTAAATGATAGCAGATAGGGTTTTTAATCAAGGATAGAAAAAATTGGATCATGATAAAAGCAATCAAAATCAGGCATTAAATACTATTTTGGGTCATTTGAATTTGATATACCTTTAGAGTAATGTCATGGGCAAGGATGTGAAACGGGAGAAAATTCACGATAGACTCCCGATTCCAACTTTAAATACATTCTGACTCCTGATTCTGGGATGAGAAAAATTTTGACTTTTATTTCCTGCTCAGGGTTGTAGAAAATCTAGGGTGGAAATATGCTAATTCCAGATTTTACTTTAGACGATTTGCTAATTTGAATAAATCAGATTCTTTATTAATATATTTTGTAATTCTTATTTATAGGTAATCGAGTAGGCGGAAACTTTCATGAACATATCAGTAGAAAAACATCTTCAGCAGGTCAGTGTTTTTTATTCTTGTACAAATTAATAATAATAGTGTCTTGAACACTAAAAATGCTTTGCTGGAAATTTATGAATGCACTAAGCAGTCTGATAGGGATTACTATAGTTTTTATTGATTTTTTTATTTGAAAAGCCTATATTTGTCTGGCCATCAGATTTCAGATGCTCAAATTTAAAATATGCTAAATTACTTTTAAAATCAAGATGTTCGTCGATGTTGAATTAACGCCACTGCGTTGTGTAATCGAATCGTGTTATCTGAATTGTTTTTTCAAATAATTTCGAGTCATTTTTTCTGATATTGATTAAATCTATTTAAATTGATATTGATTCGAATTTCTTCAATTCGAAATTGTGAAACTTACGTCCCCAACCCAGAGGGCAAGCTGCTCGATGGCCCACTAGGGTAGCCTAGAGCCGAGTTTCAGTATTTAGGTATTTAACTGTATTTACCCCTAATATTTTCAGCGAGCATCAAGAAGAAGTTTTCGAACCCACCAGCGTTGGGTGATCTGCCGTCCCCTCCTCTTCCTCCTCCACCAGTTCCTCCTCCGCTCGAAAACGAAGAAGAAACAAAATGGTCGTGCAAATATTGCACTTTTCTTAATCATGCAGCACTCAATAAATGCGAGGTTAGTATTCTATCCAATATTCCCAATGCATTCTAAAATACTATTTCCAAGTATTAAATATTGTGTTCGGAAATTTCGTCTTAGGAAATCTCGCCGAAGGAAATTTTGCTGCATAGAAACATTTGCCGCATGAATAATTGCCTCAAAAGCATTTTGCTGTAAAACAAGTATTTCTCATTGCATGAAAAATCGCCGCAAGAGCATTTTGCTGTAAAACAAGTGATAAAAACAGTTAGGTCTTAGGTCAAAAAACCTTTTTAAAAAAAACGTACTTCAAAACCCCAACCGTTTTTATAAATTATTTGTTTTACAGCACAATGCTCTTGTGGGGATTTTTTTCCATGCAGCGTAATTCCATGCTGCTAGTTTTCCTAGAACCATTAAATATGTTCTAAATTATACCATGTTCAACAAAGAACATAGTCAATGTACATTGAATTAGTTTAAATTTGGAAAATTTGGTATACTTGCTAGTTGCTACTTTATTTTTAGTCCTTTGAAATTGAATGAAACTTTTATGGTTGTAACTAGGAAACCTCAATTGCTATGAAACTATTCTAAGTATTCCTGAATAAGAAAAATTGAAATTTTTAATATAATCAACTTTTTAATCGATAAATATTTCACGCCTTTTGCCTTGTATAAGGCCTCTGCATACAGCCACTAATATGTAAGGTGTCATCAAGTCTAACTCCCTAACCACTACGCCGCCACACTTAAAAAATTTAATTTGTTGAATTTGAATTGAATTTGCTGGGATAAAAGAAACAGTTTTTAAATAAATCAGCTTTACACATCGACATCTTCGTGTTCGAACTATCTTGATGCACATGCTGTTGTTTATGGGTCTATTAGATTTTTGTGAGTACAGTATCTATTCTTGATGACACTTTAATTGTTAATTTTCAGATGTGCGATTATAGAAGAGAAAGAACTACAGCCGTTTCTTGAATCTCATCAGCTGTATTGTCAAATCGTATTTTTATTCTATTATTCATTGCCAGGGATTTTATTTTCTCTACTGCTCCCAAATCAAGAGTTATTTTTGTATGCTTGAATTGGATATGGAAGTGAGAGCAATGCTCAACGATGTGGACTGTGTCATGTAGGTAAGAACTCACTCGCCACAATACCTAGCTCGTGGAACACCTTTTGGCAGCACATTTTTTAGCAAAATTTTGGGTGAAACAATTGGCCTTATGGACCCCCAAAAAAAAAATGGGTTCATTTCGTGTACGATAGCAATTATGGCTTGGGCCATTATGATATGAAAGTGCAAGCTGTATTAACTTTCAGATCAGCTTTTTTGAAATCAAAATTTTGTCCTCACTTATTTTATTGATATACCTCACTCAGATATCAAATCACAAGTCTACACTAATATACAGGGTGGCCCAAAAGTAGGTATACAGTTATTTTATTTATTTTTATGACCTTCCAAGCAGCTAGAAAACTAATGTAAAATTTACACTAGATTTATTATTTAAAAAAATAAGCAATTTTTGTGGTCCTCAACAAGTAACATAAAGTGAACTACGGGTAGCTTCAAAGCATATAAAATAGTTTAATAACTGTTTACCTACTTTTGGGCCATCACCTACTTTTGGGCCACCCTGTATGTTTTTAAAATAAATGGAATCATTTCTATCAGACATAATATAGCCTGCCCAATTTATTACACTCTCAAACTGGTTATGGACGAGTTATTTGTCGCAGATTTTTAACCTGAATTGCCAGCATAGTCAAGTCATCAAGTCTGGCTTTTTGTGCTTTATTTTGTAGAATATTTGTTTCAGTTACTTTATATTCTTGGCTCTTTTCACAGTGGTGATGCATTGTAATTATTTTAATATTAATAATAATGCTGTTATGCAAAAACAAATTTGAGCCTAATACTCACCCGCGATTTTAACTATGGTGATATTTTTATGTTTTAAATTTTTCTGTATATATTCAAAATTTTATCTATAGAATTATATACTAACCTGTGCTACAATAAAATTTAATAATGCTTCTCTTGATTCTCTAATAATTTTCATCAACTAAAATATCGTAATATAGATCTCTGACACATAAATCTATCGTTTGAATTTGAAATTCTCTTAGTCTCAGTTCTCAATCTATGATCTTAACGAATCAGTGTTGTGCTGGAATTTAGAATTTCAATTATCTTCTGCTAATCCAGTTCAAAGTTTACGATTCTCAATTTTTTATGGCCGGTGCCCCCCTTCTGAAGACTTTAGAAGCGACTTTGGCTCCTGCTTTCGACACGTATTTTCATCAGTTATTTCATTTGCCACGTTTAATATTAAAAAGTGGAAATGGAAGCAAAAACAACAAATCCCAATCGATTTATTTCAAATCAATGTGGTCATCAGCAATGGTACCCACTAGGGCCTTTGCTTTTGACTCTCAGAAAACCGCTCTGTTTGCTGGTTCCCCCGTAGTGCCAACTTTGCAAAACCTATTGTCTGGCGGAACGCCCACATGTGGTGTCTTCCAGTGATCAAATTGTTCCATACGATTTTTGCTGTACCTTATTTTTATACTTCGAAATAATAAGAATTTAAAGAAAAACATGCAATGCTCGTTGTATTCTGTGTGTAAAGGTGAAGGAGTTTGTTGATAGGAGATTTATATCAATTGGGAGACAGGCAATGGTCCAGTCTTTATGTATTTCTCACCTAGTCACGTTTATGAGTGAGGAATAGTCTCCTCACCGCCGTCAGGTGGTTCACATTACCGCTGGTCAGTTACAGCTTCCTCAACAATAAAGTCCATGCATCTGAAACAAATAACTGGCTGACTTATTCCATACCCGACATGCACTGCTAACCAAACTAGAGGCCGTGGTCCGCCATATGATTAAGCCGTCTTATCGGCTTTCCCTCCTGGATAAACATGTAAAATCTATACCATTCTTAGTCCTACTTGTCCCCAAGTATTAACATACGTAGTCTGTGGATGAAACTACTTATAAGAGGACTGCTCCTTATTCTCTGACGGCTGGCATATCGTGCTAAACGTCTCCGCACCGTTTCGGATTCCCGCCACATGATTGAGTCATCCTATATTCACTCTCTTCGAGATAAATATGAAAATCTCATTCTGTATGAAGAACTACTGAAAAGCTGTAATCCCAACAAGAAGGATAAATATTCACTATACCCGAAATGGACCAGGGGTCGTGGTTCGCTTTGCGATCGACTTGCCTCCAAAGGATATAGATATCAATGTCTTGTCCATATCAGAGCAGTCATCGAATTTTACCTGATCATGTGCGCTGGACGTTAGATACAATTTTAGGATCGACGCGCACTCTTGCCTGACCAGGATAAATATTTCGATACTACCTGAAATAGAGAGGCAAATTTAAATTTGTAATCCTGACAAACACCGTTTACAATTACATAACGTTATAATATATATATACTTCAGTGATTTCCACGAATTTTACACCACGGAAATAATAATAAAAGAAATCTGATCTTCGAATGTTCCGATTACCTTTAGATTAGATAGATAATACAGAGTTCTCATTCGGAGTTGGTATTTGACTAATGAGAAATACATTTCTGCACATGACAGAGCCTTGAAAATATAAAATGTAACGTTACCCTTGGTAAACTAGGTTTCCCGGAAATAGGGCGCAACAATAATATTCAATCGTATGTTTTTATGAAGGGGTTCGGGATAAGGCGAATTCTATAATCCCAATTTTGTCCAGTTCATTTCTACGTTAAACTTATGTCTTTAATTGTTTGTGGCGTCTTTGTATTGAAAAGTGAAGCTAATTACGATCCAATTCTGTTGTGTCTGATTGGCAAAAGAATGTTGACCGAGTTTTGTGATGAAAGTATCAAACAAAGACAACAATTCGATTGAAAACTGATCCTTTTGTTTGTCGAAATGACAACACTACTCAATACTTATAAGTTCTGTATGCTATAGATAGTAGCATTGATTTATTTAGTTCCATTCACTACAGACCATGCGTTGTATGGTATACCAGAGTGTAGATCAGATAGGTATCCAGTGGTTTGTTCTCAAAAATCTGTCACTTTAGGAGCGAATTATTGCAAACCCCCTCATTAATGGGAAAAAAAATGGAACTAAACAATGTAAGGTTTGGCTTTGGAGATTATTTTCAAGAAAAGACATTTTCACGAATCTACTTTAATTTGTTTATAGGTTATATAGTGTTTATAGGTTATATACCTTTATAAGTTATATGATGTATTCCAGATCATTTCTAAGAAAAGATACAAAGAATAGTGTAAATGTGTAAAGTTTTGTATTACATCTAACATTTGGCCCACTTATTTTACCTGTATTCAGTAATGAGCTGCACAAATCATAACAACCGGAACGCACCTAATTCGCAAAAATGTAATATATATACAACACGACGCGAACATTTACAGAAAGTTTTGTCTGTCCTAAGATAGAGCCGAGCAACTGCAAGGAAATATGAAAAAAGTATCTGAAATATGTCCGTGTAAAATTACAAGAATATTCGTAGCAATTCAATACAAATGTTATAATTAGAAAGGTATAGAAAAGTGGTTCTCAACTGCCCGTCCGCGGCAACCTAGCTGCCGGTCCGCCAAATATTTTTCCAATATTAATATATTATAAGTAAATTGCAAAATACAAAGTATTGACGGCATGCCCGTTAGAGTTATGATTATTTTTGACTCTCGTTGATTAGTAGTACCGGTATTCGTCTAACAACCGAACTTGGTGAACCCTGAACGGCTGAGTGTTCGTTAAGTCTATGGTCTCATAAAGACGCCTAACGTCATAACGGAGGAGTTTGACAGCACACATTTCGTTTTTTTTTATCAATTCTAAAAAACAATGATGTCAAAACTAATCTGTAACAATCCCATAATAAAGATTTTGAGTTTCTATGTTGACATTTTTCTCGTAAAATAAAGGCGTTATTACGGTTAAAACTGTTCGGGTAATTTATGCTTAGCATACTTTGTTTTTAAAGTTAAAGTGATAGAGTTTCTCAGTGTTATATGCAAACTCTTTTATTCAGTCGTATTTCAATTTTCGCAATGTGGTTCTCGTCGCAGGGTCTTTCACGTAATGTCTCGTCGGCTGCTTCTTCCTGCGCCAACTATGTTTGCGGACGTATTGAACTAAAGCTTCAAAAGGTCTTCGTCGATATTTGTGGCGTTTCGAAGGATTTATTGCGAATAAGAAGCGCTTGGCATGATTTTACTTACATTTTTTTGATCCTATTTAATACAAAAAAATCGGTACTCCCAAAGTATGTGAACCAAATGTCGGAATCCAGAACGTAGTGAGTGTACCAGGTTGGATTTAGGCCATAATTTCAGGTACAAATGTTACGGGAGTCACTTGGCTAGTCGTCGAACTCGTAATACAACTAAAATGGGGAAAAGTAGAATAAAATTATTCCCTAACCTGGTACATATACGACGTTGCGGTGTCCGCCATCTTGGTTCACATACTACGGGAGCGGCTGTAAATAGTACAAATATTTTAAACAAAACTTATTGAACAAATCCCTACACAGCACAGTGCGGTATCTGATTGAGAACTTCGCAGTTCGCACGTTCCGTAATTTGACAATAGGCCTATAATTTAGCGAGGTTTGATAGTAAAATGGAGGAAAACAAACAACAAAGTATCATCCAGTTCTTTAAAAAGAAATACAGCGGTGAAAACTAAAATAGTGGTGTTGACATAACAGATGAAGAGACTGCTACTTCAACTTTACAACATGCGCCGTATCGACCTCGCAGCAAAGATGATATGGATCTGGTTGATAAGAAGTATTTGGAGCTGGGTTTCACTAAATCTTGCACGTAATTGACAAAAATCAATTCCGTAATTACGGCCAAATCGATTACGTAATGACCCCGTAATTGCGATATTTTTTCACACATTTAAATCTATCATAACAACCAATTGAATCCACTTCATTTTCGATTGGGACATTGAGTTTGGGTTTTCATATTCCTGGCAGTACTACACGCCGGCGACAGATCTTAAGACAAGAGTGAATTCAAATTAATTTTATTCTGATTTCTGATCTTTTGTGCTAGCTTTGATTTCCTTTATCACCTTCGCAAATTAACCGTCCTAATTTTATGCGATCAATTTTATCATTACCGACACTGGTATACGGATATTTATGAAACGATAGTTGACTTTTTAAAATCGTATTAAAAAAAATGTCGGGTTTCCAATTTATCAATGCCACGACGAGCGAATTCTCTCGTTTGATTATACTTGCGCTTGCCTCGCGACGAAGACTTGTTATTGCACCGTTTTTAACATTATTCGACTTTACTACCTAGTCAGCATTTTATAATAATTATTGATGCCGACTTATTGACGTTATTCCGATTACCATGCTTCATTTTACATTAAATCATTTCGCGGCCTAAATGTTGTAACATTATTTGCAACAAATTTAGATCAAATATTAATTATTTGAGCATAATTTAAATACCGTACTTACCCGGTATATGATATGGCTTTTCCGAAAATACAAAGTTATATCGCAAAAAAATGCATATTGTGACATTTATTTTGTACTCACGAAAAAATTAACTTATTTTCCTAACTCAAGTCGACGATCCTATCGGCCAAGATTGACACAAATTTGGTCGAGTGTCGGTGGTTTTCAAGAATCAAAATAAGTTGCAGCATTTGGTAAAGACAGTTAATCATATTTGGCCGAAATATTGCGAGGCATTGTGGAAAATATATTGAGCAAGAAGTCCGGACTGATATAAAACGATAAAACCGGTAACAGAACATCAAGGTTTTGTAATTGAAAATGGTTCTCGCACAGAATAAACACACTGGCTCATACTTGATAGTAATTTAATTGAGAATATTGAACTGTTAAAAACAAAAAAACGATCTTCAAAATTTTTAAATCTCGTTGCCTTGGTTAAATATAATCCAATGATCAGGACATTTTCAATTAAATACTGCACAAAGATAGCTATACATTAAACATTTAGGCTACAATTTAGCTTTTTTTTTTAATTTCAATCATGCATTGCGGTGGATAAATCCCATTATTTAAATACGGGTAACTATAAAAATAGAATAGGATTCGATTTAAGTATCCTAAAACAGTGGTTCCCAATCGCCGGTCCGCGGACCGTCAACGGTCCGCAAAGGATTTTAACCGGATCGCGGGAAATCCCGTCATATTGTTGTTTCTCTGCCGTTTCAATCGCTTTACCGATGCCGAAAAGACGAAGTTGCGTTGGTTCATTACGCAATTTCTCTTCCGTCGTCATATTGCTGATTTTTACAGGATCGCGGGAAATCCCGTCATATTGTTGTTTCTCTGCCGTCTCAGTCGCTTTACCGATGCCGAAAAGACGAAGTTGCGTTGGTTCATTACGCAATTTCTCTTCCGTCGTCATATTGCTGTTTGATAAGCGCGACATTAATTATCACGGTGACGTATTGGCAAGAGAGAGAAAAGTGAGAAAAACGGCTGCAAATACCGAAGCTCTAACTTCTTCTACTTTTTAAACTTTCACTTTTTACAATCGACGGAATTGACTGCTTTAAAGAGAGCTCGTTTCAATCGAGAAAGCGCTCGACCAATAATTACGACTTTACGTAATTCGTAACTTCCCTTCTGTAACTCGAAATAATTCCGTAATTCCGTAAATTTGTAAATTACGTGCAAGTCACTTTCACTATTGCTACCCATTGCTTTCCCATGTGCCAAGTCTGCGTCAAAATTATTTCAAACGACAAACTGAAAAACACAGATCCACCAAAAAAGAATATCAAAAAGACAGCAGCAGATTTCTCATTAAATTGGATTGTCCTATTTTTGTCGTAATTAAATTATTTTGGTTATGTTTTACATTTTTGGTTAATTTTGATGGTCCGCCGGTCCGCGAAATTTGTTGTGAAAATTTACCGGTCCGCAAACTGAAAAAGGTTGAAAACCACTGGTATAGAATGAATTTCCATGGGGTCAATGGTCGGGAAAACATCTATGACACGCTACTGCTGTACTAATTAATTATTTGCGTGATGTGATGGGAAAGAATTACGAATTATGATGTGACAAAAAATAAATTAATACCTAAGATTACCAGAGAGATTAGACCATAATTTTATTTCAACAACAGGAACGCAAATGCAATAAAATGTCCAACAGCGTTCCAGCTACAGCTCACTGCCTGTATTCATATTGAATACACAGTAAACAATGAAGTTCGCTTTTGCCGAGATTTGTCAGGCGACCAATGGCGAGGATTGAGGATTTTTCATTGTGATGATGTCATTTAAATTCCATTTTATATGTTTGAATAATTGAGTTTGAAACAGTAGAACAGTACCATTATTTACAGTTAGATCAGTCAATTGAGACCAGTAACGAGTCAACGCCGAAAAAGTTTATATCGAAAAATAAACTTTGTAGCTTTTTGGTTATAGGCATATTTACTTCACAAACTTCATACTGTCTTTATTTTAAGTCTTTTAATCTTTCATTGATTAAATTGGAAGTTTCCAAATACAATTTGACTTGAAGTTGGGAGAGAATTGAATAGGTAACTAACATTTTTCTTCTGTGACAGAATGCTCATTAAGAATGTAGAAGCAGATGCGAGGATTAGACTTTCATATTGTTCTACATCACTAACATAAAGATGAATAATAAACGTATCATTATCTGTGCATTTGTGTTGGTTGCTGGCTATTCAATGGTTTTCAACTCGAGTATTAATTTTTACAAAGCATATGAAGAATCCGTTAATCGGGAACCTAGCGTGCACACAGACAAAGGAAATGAATGGAAATTATTGTCAAGGCCGAAGCGTCAACTGCAAGGAGACACGGAAAATATCCAATTTAATGCAACTTTTATTGGAAATGACACGGTAATAACCACATTTACTACAGAACCTACAGTGGCATGTTAAATTGATATAGGATATATCTACGTACTAATTCAATCCTTTCAAGTCCACCTGGAAAAGGTCCTAATTATTGACGCATTTGGAAGTTGTACGGATGTTCCAGAAAGGGTGATTTCATAATACGACTGGTGGCGCGGGTTGTAAACAGACTGGATCAAATTTCAATATCTCATTAAGTCAGGTGACAAAGACCATCAACAGTATGCCAATGTAATGAACTCTTTCTTTTTTCAAGATTCTGGTTGAGATTAATTTTTTAAATCCTACAACGCAGACTGAAATAAATATCGCCAAAGACTTAGTTTTGCAATTCTACGGTTTTCCAAACCGCACTCTCATCATTCACATAAATGCAGGTGGGTCAGTTATTTAGATTAGATTATTTAAAATTAAACATATTTTTTTTAAACGATGAATTTGCAATTGTAGAACTGATAACAACACCACATCCATCGACCACTGACATCGTATCAACAACACAGTCAATACCAAGTGATCTATATACCAGTGAAGGTAGGAAATATCTATCCAGTGATCTAATCATGAGCAAACTGTTGCCAGTAAAATTTAACATTAGAATTTCATTAAATTCAACAAGAATCTCTACGGTACATGGCAGTAAAAGTGAGAAATCAGACGCTATATCGTCTATTCTATACAGTTTGATATATCGCTTCCAGTAATTGGTTCGGAAATTGGTCAAATATTTCTCAGGAATATCGAACTACAAATTGGATGACTTTATACGTATTCTAAACCAAGTATTGTTGGAATATGAAAAACTCTCTATCCGATTTTTTAAAATGCATAACATATTACAATTTAGCACACATACGAATACACGCGTTAAAAATATGAATTCGTACGGGTGAAACCACAACCCAACAATTCGTGTCATCAACTGGTTCAGTCACTATAAGAAGTGTACACACAGAAGAGACTGATTATTCAAAATAACAATTAGCCTTACTGAAACTACATATTTCGGTGATGGTGAGATAAATCGATCGGTATTAACCAAACATGCTAGAATTTCTGCTAAGTTTCTGATATTAATTAGTGTATATTTCTTGAATCAAATATATATATATTATTGACAGCATAATATATTGTCAAAGACCACGATAGCTTCTTGGGCATAAACTATTGAAGTTACATAGCCTATCTCAGTGTAGCTTAATCTAAATTCTATATATATATATTAGTGAAATTGATGGACCTTTCCGCTCTGACTTTTGAGTAAGCCTACTAACCATTATGACGAAGTGCGCGTACTATATACAGATCCAACGACGGAAACACCAATGACTGGCGGACAAAGCACAGTTGCATCCAGCCCGATAACGGATTCTACACCAGCTTTTCCAAAAAATACAAGTTCACAACTGCTAACAACGTCGTTGTCTGATGCCGGGACACCGGATTTCCACGAAGGTGAGATATTTGAACAGGCCAATATAGTTATAACCGCTTGCATGACAAGCGAGATCAACGTCATCAACAATTTTGTCTAAGCTTTGTTCCTACAAGTTGTAACGTTCGTAGGAAATCTTTGTTACATCACCTCGTTGGGTGAAAAGTAATTTTGATTTTTAGAATCCACTACAGACATTGCAACAACTTCCGAAGAAGTTAAGATAACTACAGGAACCGAGCTTGATGAAATTACCACTACTCAACCACCAATAATCGATGGCATTTCAACAACAACCACCATGAGTACGTTGCCACTGACATGTAGGCTATAACAAGTTGCTATAAAAAAGTTCCATATTTCCTTCTGTTATCATTGTTGCCCTACTTTTTCTTTTTGACCAGACCTTGTAATTTTGGAAGTTTGGATGGCAAACATATGTTTCACACCTTTTCTATGTGTTGACTTGTTTTTACATACAAATAAACATTTACTATAAACATAGGTAAATTTATTACAATGTATTAATGAATATATGCATCAACTGGACATAAAAGGGATCAGTATCTAAAATAATAAATATATATATATGTAATGTATCATTACTAATATGTATATATAGGTATGAATACCACAATGGCTGACAAACAAAATACAGAAGTATCGACCATGGTACCAGTTTCTACGACAGATGTATCAAAAAATAGAACCTCACAATCGACTACCACAAATGCCATGTTAACAACGTCTGATTTCGTAGAGACTACGTTCATCAGTGGAGGTGAGAGTCATAAAATAACGGAATAATTCCTGTAAATGAGTCCGGTAAAAATTGACTACATGCACCTAAACTTGGTTAACTGTAAAAGAAAATTTTCAAAAAGTTCCACCAATCTTCTGATTTGAAAAATAACTTATAACGGTATTGAATTGCTGGCCTCGCTTCTTTTAGCGACTGACGGAAGGTCAGTCAGACTACAAAAGGTCTCTGATAAATAAGTAGTCAATATCGCCGAACAAGTAGCCAACTGTGTTCACTTTTGTCTAGAATTCAAAAGTTTGCAGTTTGCGAAGTATCCGAACATAGTAAGAACAACGAGCGCTGATTTATTGAAACATTTTCAACGAACACCATTGTTGCCACTGACGTAAACAATGATAAAATTAAGGAGTTGTTGGTCACGAAGTTGACCTATGAATCATTTTCTAAACTCTTTATTGTTGTTGTTGTTGCTGTTGTTAAGCTTGTTGTTATTGAACAAAACTCTCTTGATATCATTAGGTCTCATATTTTCTTATGTACTCGCCGTTGCCCTACCCTTTAAGTATGGCTAGTCATTGAGAATGCAGAAGTAAACTTGTGTGATTGTTTCCACTTGTTCTGATATTGATATTGAGAATTTATTTATAATCTATATTTCAGCTATGAACACTACAGTTTCTGAACAAAGTACAGTGGTATCAATCACAGCAACGGATTCTACAACAGATCTAGCACAAACTACAGCCTTACATGCAATAACTACCGATTCCATTTCATCTACGTCATCTATCGCAGTTACTACTATTTTCAGTGAAGGTGAAATTCATAAAATGACGAAATAATGCATATAATTCATTACGACCGTTAAAATTTTCTGCATGTGGCATAAAATGTCAAATGTTTAAGGACATTATCAATTGTTGTCTGTGAATCGTTTCATACAATCGGCGAAAGCACAATCTAAGCATAATAGCACAATATATTCTAGAAATGAAGTTGGCTGAGTCGTCAAATAAATACTGTGCTCATTTACTATTTGAAATTTACAAAATAAAGACAATAATTTCTAAACTATTCAAATATAGTAAGTACATTGAGCCTTCATTTGTGAGAAATTTTTGTGGAACACTGACTGAACTGTACGAAGGGTACCATGTTTATAATTTTATAGGTTCAACTACAGACATTGACACAACCTCCGAAGAAAGTATCATGACGTCAACTGCGTTAAATGGGTCTGAAGAAATTTCAACCTCCCAACCACTAATAACCGATGACACTTCAACAATCGCCATGGTGACTACTGGCATAATTGAAGGTAAATTTAGGTTTTCGTGGAAAAGTTATTTATTTTCTCATCTTTTTATCACAGCCGCTTTTTTTTATTACGACCAGACGTTCTAAATCTAAAAGAGGAAGTAAAATGTATAACGTGATTAGCGGTAATTTTATACGTTTGCTGTCAAGCAATTGAATGATTGATCACATACGTATACGAAAACTTCAAGAATCCTTTCCATTTTACATTTCCATATATTCGAAATACATATCTAATCGTTATCTCTAGTAGCCTAAGCGATTTAGGTTTGATAATTCGCATAAAAACCATACGGTGCTCATCGACAATAAATAACTGTGGTTCCAAAATTAATTTTCCCGATCTTAAGTATATGTACTCGTATATTAAAACCACGTGTGTCGCCTCTCGATAACCAACTTCGGTTCTTCGCGATTTGGCTTCCCTTTCCCATTAAAACAATGTGTTTATCTTTTTTTTTCTCAAAATTTGTATACGTATAATTTTATACTGATTAGAAAAAATAAACTTGCCCAAATAATACACTATGCGTAGAGTATTGTATATCTCATGTTTTCCTGCAGCTACCATCCTGGCCTTTGAGATACCTCTAGCAAACAGGACGTTCAGTTCAAATCTTTCGAATTCTAGTTCGGAAGAATACATGAATTTGACAATGCAAGTGGAATCAGCATTAAGTAATACACTGACATTAAATGGAATTCGAAATATTCAAGTAGTAGGTTTCAGAGAAGGAAGCGTCATTTGCAGGTGATTAATATTTTTTAGTTGATGTTTATTAGAAATATGAGAAACCTGAAACAACTATACACTTGATATCATATTATAACTTAGTTGAACAATGCTCATAATGTCAAATTTACCCTTCCTTCTTATTAATGAATACGTCGATTTAATAATACCACGGTTTCATATTACTTAAACAAAGTTATTCAAAGCCATTCTTTTCATGCAAAAACATCTGGAGATCGTTCGCCTATAATGAAAAGAAACTCATTTATTTGCTTGGAATACGAACAAAAAGAAAACAAATAACAACAACATAATATGCTACAAACGTATTATCTAGCTTTTGTCTCCATTATACCACCTACTCGTGATACAGACATCGTGTTATCTTGTGTTGCGATGAATTAGTAAATGGAAAATTAAATAGAACATCATATTCATGCAAAAACAGAAACAATATTACCTACAGTGAATATGATCGATCTCATGAAAGTAAAGTGTGTCAAAGCCAAGCCGATCTCATTTTATTTTAGAGTCGAAATCGAAGCTGACAACTCCGTATCAGAGCAAGATATTATTGATGACTATCGGAATTCGAATGCAACCGAAAAGTCAATATTTGCTGCCTCCGGGCTTAAAATTCCTAGTGAGTATATTCATACTGAAGAGTCGCCTTTTTTGATCCCCAATTACAAACTGTGATATGGCGATTTAAACGACTGCCCAAGTTATTCTAGTTACGTCATATAAAAGGAATAACTTCAATTATTCCTTTGTCAGAACTGGGGTTTTGAACTAGAGAGAGGCATGAATCGTCATATCAGGACAGTGGCGTAGCCAGCCCAAAATTTTGGGGGGGGGCCAAATTTGAAAATTTTAGAAATTATATTGGGTTTAAAACACCCGTTCTTCAAGCGCAAAACAACAACAGTTGGTCAACAAGCAAACTGATTCAATTACTCAGCTGGATTTTTGTGAATACAAAATCCATTGATAAACAATTTTTTATTTGAAACAACAAATATTAACAACGAAATTTAAATAAGTAAAATACATCGCCCCGATTAAAAGTCCATCCTTCGCTTCCCGCTAACTATGCTCGACACAACTCGATTAATTTTCTCCTCGGTGACCGTTTCACGGTGACAGTGAAGCACACACAAATCAGAAAGGCGATTGGACGTCATTGATGAGCGCAGCCATGTCTTTACCCGTTTCATGCAGGAGAAAGAGTCTAGTGGCAGGAGCTAGTGGCTCCATTAGTGCCGAATATCGACCAATCAAACATACGGCGTAGATAACCGACGACTTTTCTAGAGCAGATTTCAGAGAAAAAGCCTTGCCCGCGTCTCACTGTTAGCATCTCTCGCCAAAGAATCAAGAGCCTCAAGTACTCGTTTGAAGTTGCATTTGAAGATTCGGATGCTCTTGTACTTCTCAGACCATCTGGTGGGGCAGAACAAAAGGATGTTAATTCCTAAACCCGCGCGCCTTTTAGGGCTCTCCCTGAAAAAACGAATAGTCTCACGAATGATATCACAGGTGCTTCTGATGATTGCAACTTTACTTTGGTCATTTATGACCAAATTCAAACAATGAGAAGCGCGGTGCACAAATATTGCGCGCGGGTATTAATCACGAATGCGTTTTTGCACACCGCTGACGTGACCTGCCATTGTCGTTGCACCATCATAGCCTTGCCCCACAAGTTTTTGCAAATCCACTTCTATACCAGAGAGGTGGGTCAAAATATTTGAGGAAATCGATTCGACAGAAACAGAATCCATTTCCACTAATCCTGTGAAGCGCTCGCACACTTCACCACCTTTCACATACCTAAAAACGATGCTTAGTTGTTCTTTCCCAGAAATATCACATGATTCGTCGGCTATTACGGACACAAACGATTTATTAGCCTCCATAACGATATCTTGCACTATCATGTTGCTTGCTACCTTGAGAATTTCATTTTGTATCATCGGGCTTGTATACTTAGCGTTTCCGGCCATTCGAGCGAAATGCCTTTTCAAATCTTCATCCCCTGCGTCGATACGAAATAGAAGAAGGTTCACAAAATTTCCACTATCCCCGGAATGTCCGCGCAAGGGTATGTTACCCGAAGCACAGAACATGACAGTCTTGACAATGGAAGTCATTATTCGTCTGTTTTCTTTTGTTTGCGTAGCATATTGGGCCTCCATGTTTGCACGCACATTTTGACCAGTTTCCATGCTTTTGACAAAATTTTTCGCAGCTATATTTGATTCTCGGTGGTAATTTGTGTCTCGATGTGCTACAGCCTTTTTCATAAATTTTTTGTAGTCAATGCATGGTCTTGTAACAAAGGCAGTGTCCCTGAGAGTTCCATGCTTCAAACGTGCTTGCATGACTATGCATATCTTACACAAACCACCCCCATCAGAGAGTTGGGTGTAAACTAACCAACTGCAAAATCTGTTATCGTCAAGCCATTTTTTGAGAAATTTACGACGACTTTGTCTAACAGTATCCAGAATCGTCACGTTTTTCGGACCATCCGAAGTTAGAAGCCTGTATCTCTCCGCATCGGTAAGCTGTGTATGTTTCTTAAGAACAAATCCAAGATCGTTTGTTTTCCCTTCGTTGATTATTAGTTCCTCTTCGGGAATAGAAGTGATAGACGTAACTGACGTAACCGGCGCATCCACAGCCTGAGAAGCGCTTATTGATGTATTTGCGGAAAGCGAGTCTTTATTTCGCTGGAAAAAACTATCTAATTTCGCCTGTTTAAATTTAGCCATCGGAGTAATTTGGTCATCAAAATTCAAGCGTTTCGAATAAAAATCCGGCGAGAACAAATCAAGACCGAGCAACTGACCGAAAGCCTGCGAAACAGTCTTTCCCATACTGCTCATAAGAGCGAACGGTCAAGTCTTTGTGACGTAACAATGACAATCAACAAGCGTGACGAGACAAGTTGCCACAAAACTGGTGGACTAGGAATGGAGTTCTTGAAAATTTGGGGGGGGGGGCCATGGCCCCTCTGCCCCCCCCCCCCCCTGGCTACGCCTATGTATCAGGAGTGTGCAACCTTTAATGCGGGAGGGCCAGATAAAAATAACTGGGTGGAACCGCGGAAACCACTTTTATTTGATATAGGCAGGCACAAAACTTTTGATTATTGATCTAACTACATGCGTTGATCGCTTCGCACAAGCTAGCTGTTAGGTCATTGTAACGTCATAGAAATAGAAAAAATATTGGAATGAGGCAGTGGTTCTCAAACTTTTATGGTTCGTGGCCCCCTGTACGTCATTCCAAAAACTAAACGTGTTGGATTGTATGTTTTACGACTATTTGTGGAATGCAAAAACAAACCACAGACAAGAAAGGCCAAGCTTTTTAGTATACAACGAATGTGTATCTTGCGCTTTGGATTGTCTGACGAGGTTCCTAATTCTAGGGACCGTCATTGATATAGCCAGACGAATGTCACTGTCAAACTTGAGACAGTTTTGATGCTAACAAGATCAGAAAAAAACAGATTCGCACAAAGGTTGTGACAAAGTCTTCCACCTGCGTATGATTTTTGTCACTTCACTTTTGGTGTTAAGGTGAACGTAATGATTCACTGCTCATTACATACGAGTAATGCAGGTATTGAACACATTCTCTGTCACCCCGAGTTACTTTGGTAAAGCCAACGTAATTGTCGTTCCATTTTCGTATTTTAGGCATTATAAATTTACATATGGGATATTGCATCTATAATGAGATAGCGAAAGTTATCTTGCAGTCTAGTGAAACCGACCGTCTGCAGGTTAGACGGCCTATCAGCGAACTATTTTGATTGGTGGATTCCAAATTCCAGTATGATCAAACAATTCACGCACAAGAAAGTGTTTGCACCCAGTGATCGCAAATAACCTAGTTAGGTAATAAAAATGCGGTGAACGCCAAAACAGAAAATTTGATTTTGGAAGGAAATTATGCAAACGAAGTCGCCTTATGACCAATTATTAGACTTGTGTCGTGGCCCCCCTGAAACTGCTTCGTGTCCCCCTTGGGGGGCCCCGGCCCCCGGTTGAGAACCACTGGACTGAGGTATACGCTTTACATCGCAAATCGAAATTACTCACACGTACCAGATTAATTAAACTAAATTAATTAAAAACTCGTTTCGCTGGTGGCACATTCGGCTCGCGGGTCGCAGGTTGCATACCCCCGCGTCATATGGTTAAAGCTGTCTTATCGATTTTTTTTCCTCTTAGGATAGATATGAACATCTTGATTTACGTGCTACGCCTTCAGAAGCACCCTTGAATCACATTTGAAAAAGCTGTTATGTTCATGCATGTTTTTATGTAAATCAGCACGGATATGTTTATTCTATTCGCAAAGTTATATTTAAAAAAATTATGTTCACGAGAAACTCTCGTAATCAAAAAAAAAAATGAAAAATTAACGGAGTCTCTTTTTTAGTGAGATTCTCTAAATCTTTTGCCAAAATTATCATAAATTCGAAAGGTTCTTCCGCCAAATTTTTAAATATATATTTTATAGCAAAAAAGTGTCAAAAATCTGTCGCCCACTATTATTTGCTCTTTAAATTAATAAAACAAAATTAATGACAGTTTGTCAAATTGTTTTACAGCGTCTAATGTGGCAACGACATCAGTCACCAATATAGAAACTTCCACAGAAGGTGATAACATCGACGTTTTAAAACTAATTTAACTCATTCATTTGTGGTTTATTCTTTATGCATGAATATTTGAAACACCAAAAGTTGATTATATAAAAGATTAAAAGAGACAGTTTATCCTATTTTATTTAAATTGCGTTACCTAACATATACATGTTTTGTGTTACACAAACCTTTATTCTCCTCATAATGGAAACCTAATATTGAAAAGATAATTGCATCAAATCAAACAAATTCAGAAACATCGCCAAATAATAGACATGTGTATTTTTAAACACGTTTTCTCTTATTATGTAGAAACTGCAACAACAACAACAACAACAACAACGACAACAACGCCACATATGGAACCATCATCTTTATCTGACGGTATGATATTACAAATGGTATTAGCGCACTTCTTCGTTTTTTACTTTTGTACAAATATGCTTTATTTGGTGCTCTTTTGGTTTTGTAGTAGATGGAATGCTCTAGTTCAGGGCTACTCAACTATTTTTACCGAAGATCCGCATGCAGCACTTCAAAAATATTTGGGTCCGGTCTTTCCAGAAATTATATTTCGGCATCTTTAAACACGCACTTCCTCGGCCGACTAATGATGATTAGCTAATCAAGATTGTTTATTACGGCGTTATAGTTTTTCCCCATATATATTTAAATCTATAAAACGGATTTTTGATAAGAAAACTTCAAAAGTGGGGCTAATGATTCAAAATGAAGAATTAGACGCGGTCCGAATCGAATACCCGAAAGGTCCGGATTCGGACCGCGGTCCACCAGTTGAGTAGCCCTGCTCTAGTTTATAAGCTTCATATAATACAATATACAATAATAGGGCATTGGTTCTCAATCTTTTTCGTGACCCACTTACGTTGCACAAAAAATTCTGTTGCTCACTAACATTTTCATGCAAGGGAAAAACAACAAGAAAAACAAAAAATAAATCTTTTCGCAATGATAGTCACTTTCACTATAATAATTAAAATGAGAATTACCACTCAGTAACAAAAACAGCAGCATCGTTCATTTATCATTCATTTATACAATCAAAGTTTAATAATTTATCAATAATTTTATCATTGTGACTCATCTGAAAAAGCTTCTGCAGCCGAGAATTGGACCATGGCCCACTGGTTGAGAATCGGTGCACTTGCTTGGATTATTTGATTCCGACTGTTAGAAATAGAAACTATTGCGCCTTTATACAGGACTGGCTAGACATCCAGTGAAAGTCAAAATTGTAAGCTTCTCATATAACACATCATCTGACCCAGAAGCAAGTTGAAAAAAAAACATATAAAACATAACACTCATAACAGTGATATGTGGAATATATAATTTAAAGCATTAATTTTTAAAGTTTGTTAGTTAGTGACAACTTTTTTGGACTCGTCAATACGATATAAAACATTTTTTTGAGCTGTCTATGTTTACGAATATCAGTGCAGTCGAGCTTTTATTAATTTATTTTTTTTCATTCAGGTGCCATTGTTGGAATCGTTTTGGGTTCACTGTTCGGAACTTTACTGATAATTATATTGATAGTGGTTGTTGTAAGACATTTTGGTTTCAGGTATGAACGGTTATTATTTCAATACAAGGAGTAATTTGAAAAAGAGAACCTCCTGAAGTATGCGCACCAAGATGGCGCACACTCTGAACTCAGGTTGTGTACCAGGTTAGGGTTCAGGTTATGCGACTTCTTGGTGCGCATACTTCAGGAGTACCGAAAAGGGTCTGTCACCACTTTAGTTTTAGTTTTTTGAGGAATATAACACTAGCAAAATTTGTAACGGCTGTTAACACTGCAAATATTTAACTACTCATAGCATTGGTTAATTATTTTATTCGATTGATTTACCAATACTCCCTACGATGGTTTTATTTTACGAATCTGACACACAATAATTATCCAGTTGCAGCGCAAAGTCAGGGTATGACATGAGAGGAAAAGACTACGGTGAATTACCTGGGTTGGACGAGATATATCACCAAACTCAAGATACAGATATGTAATTTAGATGGACTTCGACGATGTGTGCTGCTTAGACCATGAACTGCCATCGTTTCGGGAAATAGTTCTCTGTTGCTTATGTTGTTTATGCAATTCCTAAAAATCGAATGAAAGTGTCATTAGACATACTTTGATTACATTTATATAGGATATCATTTTTAGGCTTTTGTTGAATGCTTCCTTGAGATATTTTTGTATTTTATTATCTATTTTTATGTTGATATACTTTTTTTATGGTGACCGTTCGTCGTCGTGGTGTCGTCAGTTTTTTAATTTTTCTAGTTTTCTGTATAAGATGATTCGTCGGAAGCGCAAGCTTTTGTAAAAAAAATTTATAAGTTGATAAAGCTTAAAATCGTGTATAAGTTATAACCAATGCGATTCCTTGTGGTAATAGGCAAATAGTACAAATATCTTGATTTATATGAAAATCTTTATCTACTCGAAAAATGGATGTTCAACTAATATTTACTAATGTTTCGGCATTCTCATACACTATATGGCATTTTTAAATGTGTAAATACACACTTAAACTTAAACATAGCGTGTACGTTCCAAGTTTTGTTTATTATTGGAATCAAGTTGAACAGTTTCTTAAATATATAAATTTGCACAGCAGGTGTCAAAATGTTCATATGGTGAAGTAATATTCTTTTTAGTACATGTTTGTAATTTTTTTTAGGACAATTTTACAAAGCTTTATTTTTCGAAAAAAATGTTATAATTAAACTTATATTTTTCAAACAAAAGTAGGTATTTTCTTATTATATAAAAAGGGAACATGTTATTCGGCGCGTGGAATTCAGCAACTTTTCTGTCCGTAACTTATCGAAGGGATTGGCCCGGAGGCTCTTGGGAAAAGCTCAGCTCGGTCAGTCAGTTAGTAGGCTCAGCTTGAGCTTTTGCGATGGACAATACAGCCCAGCGAAGTACCGGTAGTTCAACATATAGCGAACCGGTGTAGGATTTTATTTATGTACGGTACGGTGGGAAGCTGAAGTCATGTGGAAATTATAGCCTACCTCCTAAGACCGTTGATCAAAAAAATAAAATCGTGTTCCCTGACTGCTGTACTGGGTTCCACTTCCAGTCATTACGGACGGACTATCGGTACCGGTACCGACTACGGTACCTGTACCGTTTATCACAATAGAGCAATGCGGGAGCGTGTACAACTGTTGTAGGCCTAGTACCGTACGGTACTATGGTAGTGTCAACATTTTTACATTAAATTCTTATTTGAAGTATTTACATTTTATAGTCTACTGTCCGACTGCTCCTTTTCAAACTTATTCAAAAGTTTTGTCTCCAGAATTCTTCATTTACATTACAGGAGTTTTCAAAATAAACCACCATGAACTACGGTATCAAACTGGCTGATTGGTGTGGCGTAGTTTCCTCCATCAAGTCCAAGCATCTGAAACAAATAACTGGCTAACTAATCCCATACCCGACTTGGACTGATGGTAATCGGGCGACATGCCATGGTTCGCGATATGATTAAGCCATCATATTGGCTTTCCTCACCCACAAGATAAATATGTAAAATCTTATCCTGAGAGTGTTGAATTAAAAACCAATATCCACTCTGTCAAATTCAGAATTGCTTTGCGCTCTTTGTTTAACTGTATAAAACCCTAACAGAACAAAAAATATTTATCAAAGTCTTATTTCATATAAATAATTTCAGTGATGACTGTATGATAAACAACATAGTAAGGGTTGATTTTATTTCTTAGCCTTAGATTTCATCATGTCAGGTAAAACATATGACTATCTGTTCAAACTTCTTTTAATTGGAGACAGCGGAGTTGGAAAAACATGTGTACTATTTCGATTTTCGGAAGACCAGTTCAATTCTACATTTATATCAACAATTGGTATTGACTTCAAAATAAGAACTATCGAACTGGACGGTAAAAAAATTAAACTACAAATATGGGACACAGCTGGACAAGAGCGTTTCAGGACCATTACTACTGCTTACTATAGAGGCGCTATGGGAATCATGTTAGTCTATGACATCACAAATTCCAAGTCTTTTGACAACATTAAAAACTGGATAAGAAATATTGAAGAGCATGCATCTTCAGATGTTGAGAAAATGATTCTCGGAAACAAATGTGATATGAATGACAAGCGGGCAATAGCAAAAGAAAGTGGGCAAACCTTAGCTGTCGAATATGGAATAAAATTCATGGAGACAAGTGCAAAAGCCAGTATAAATGTGGAAGAGGCATTTTATACTATTGCAAGGGACATTAAAAGAAAAATGGATAGCAGGATGGACTCAAATACAACAGCAAAAAATACAATTGTTGTAGCAGAACAAACTAAGCAAAAAACAGGATTTATTGATCGCTGGTGTAGTATTCTGTAATGAAACATCCTAGATCAAACTGTGTGGCCTGTCATCACTGCATTTAAATGGCATGAGATATTTGTAATAACATTATTCACAAAGGCTTTTGTGCAAACAAATACCATGAATCTATCAGACGTCATTATAATATGCACTTATCGTTATTAAAGCTGCAGTGTTTTCAGCAAAAACAAGTGCAATGTTTGTTAATAATTCTATGGAAGGTTGCCCACTACTCGTATGAACAGCACACTGCTCGGTACTTGGTGAAGGAAAAGCTCTATTAATATTTATGAACATGTAATCAGAAATATATTCGAAAATGAAATTATCGATAAGTTATAAAACTATTCTACCTTTTGATAATGAAAATGTTTTTTGATTAATGATTGCATCAATTGCGTTACTCCAATTATAAATTTCATTGATGAAAAAAAATTAGTATATCAACCAAGTAGGCAGATTTTGTTCTCTGATTTGTTGAACTAAAATTGGTGATATTATTCATTATACACTTGCGCTGCTTTTATCAGTCAAAGTTTTTTTCATATTTGTCATAATATCTGAGGTTACATGCCATGTGTGGAAAAGCTGTATGTGAATCAGCCAATTTCTTCACAAATCATTAGTAATAATAATAATACCCCAAAACTTTCCATATTTTCAATATTGTATAGTCATTTGAATATTATCAAGAGTATTAAAATGTATGTAATAAAAAATATATTTTATATACCATGTAGCAAAACTGATAGATGGTATGAGAGAAAAAATTCGTCATTTGTAAGAAATGATCTTTCAGCCACTTTTTGATAAATATAATGGCCTACTATGTGGCAAATTATTTATTTACCTATATATGTAAAATATTTGGGGTATTTCTGTAGTAAATTGTTTGCTCAAATAGTCATTATCATTAATAATATACATTCAGGTTAAACGGTCCTTCAAGGGGATTAGCTGAGTATTATAAGGTGAAAATAGTGGTCTAAGTTGTCAAACGTGCAACCCGAGTGAAAAACTCATTTATGTTAAAAAGACGTCTTACCTTATATTGATTAACAGTTCATTTGAAAGCCTGTTCTAGCTGTAACTGTTGGCAACCCTTTTTGTCCAAATAATACTGTTCATTCCATCTATCAAGTTTTAACTAGAACCAGTTTTTATAAAGTGGGTATTATCAAGAATGTATACTTGACTTTGTGTTCTTATGCAGAATATCTTCATTTAAGATTTGATTCAAAGATTTCAACATAATGTAAAGTAGTCATTCGATATTTGAGACACTGCCCTGTCAACGAACTTAAAATATTTTTCACAGATTTGAAAGATACCATCAATAAATGCTTGAAGTATCATTATTTAAATGCTGCTTGTTTTATTTCATGTAAGTTTGTTTTAGCCTTTTATAAATTGTGGCTTAGTTAGGTAATGAATTTTCACTTATTCACTGGGATATTGAAAACGAATGTATTTATATCGAAATATTTAGGTAATACGACCTGTGTGAACCATTAATTTGTAACTCAAGCAATGTAAAAAGACTTTTATTCGCATGCTTCTGCTTCTCATTTTTTGTAGTGAAATATCTCCACCTAACAATTTTCATTATTACTTTATTGATTGAATATGTAATGCCTTCTTAATTATATATACTAGTAATATTTTACACTTTTCTTTATTTGAAGTTGATCTGCAAAGATATTTTCATGACAATGCAGTTGTTTCTTCTTGCAATGCTTTACTTTGTGAGCACATATGATAGGACAGGACAGCTTTGAGGAAGTACATGTAAATTGTCAATAGTCATTTTCGGAAAGTACAGTTAACAAATTTTATTGGTTATGTAAATAACCAAGCCATTCTTGCTCACTTAGCCATCGACAGTAAACTTTATGTTAAATTATCGCAAATTTGAACATTTTATAATCACACTTGGTCTGAGGAAAGTCGATGAAAACAACTTCTGCGCTTGTCTGACTAAATATACGGTATTGGAAGTAATAAAAATCAAGCTTCGATGTTCGCAATAGAATCTGTGCAAAGATAACTCATTGCCCGCACCGAAGTAATGTCACTGGCAAAAAATAGGTTTCGTATATTCGTTTAAATTATATCATTTCATAGAAAATATAAACACGAGTCAATGAGATATATCTGTAAACGACAATTCATTTTAATCAAATAGAACTCCTAAAAGACCTCGATCTTGCAGGCGGCCGAGGTCCTTTCACAAAAACGTTGTGCGACTTTATATAAAAAGGTTGGCTATACACCACTGGTTTGTATGACATCATAATATTATGATAACTACATTGGTGTGTAAATCATAGCTTTTTAAAGCTTTATGATCCCAATGGGCAATAAATAAAAATACTAAAATATTTATAAACCCCATTTCTTCGATTATCTAATTCTAAAGTAAATGATTTAACGCACGCACGTCATCCAATATTCCCAATCGGTGACATGCCCGAGATATTGGTAAACAGACATTATCGAATATTCCCAATCGGTGACATGCCCGAGCCGAGATATTGGTAAAAAGACATTATCGAATATTCCCAATCGGTGATAGCCCGAGATATTGGTCGTGTCGTCGTAATACGATGTCATGTTTTGTATTTTATGCAGCGTGGAAATTCATTTAAGAGTCATAATGACTTATGATGCATTATGACATCACAAGTGGATTGAAATTGATTTTATTTTTACCAATCATTTTATTGTCATGCTGAATATGGAGTCGAAATAAACTTATACTATACTGCCCCGCGCGATCCACCTTATTTATTGCGTATCAAAACAGTGCAAAAGCAACCTGAGAATAAGCAAGCTTGCGATACTTTTTGAAATGAACGATAGCAAATTTGTTTCGAACATTTTTCACGAGCTATTTCCTTATTCAGTTCTAGTCAGTTTGCGCAGCTGCCGGTTCCCTTACCCAGTAAAACGACGTGCTTACTCTTTTGTTATTTGTTTACGATTGATTTTACCAAAAATAAATTTACTCGACCACAAGAGCTTGGTTTGTCACTCTCAGTGCACAGACTATTTCTTCATTTGATAACCCTTTCCACAAACCAATGTCTTTTAAACTCAGTGTGTGTGTAGATCTATGTTCGGCGTCATCCGCATAAGTATTCTCAATACCTTGGGATTGATTTATCTCACCAGGTGTGAATTGAAAAATTTCGACCATCTCCATTACTTTCATGTGTTTCTTTTTCCCCACGACTTTAACATAGAACAATAGAAGCTTCCAGCAGAATGCGCATATTACCTAATTGCCTTTATTATGATGTAAACGACGTAATAATGGCTGTTTACAACGTGATGGAAACCAGTTGTGTATAGAATTTTCTACTCTGAAAAGCTTGATATATATATACTTTAGGTAGGGTTTGAACGTGTCAAGTTTTTAAAAGAATTACAAACTTCAAAACCGAATTTCGAGGCCCCTGGACGTTGAGGCCCTAGGCTTCAGTCGCCCAGCTTATTGGTAAATCCGGCCCTGGATACAAGCTGTTTATCTTGGAAAACTGATGGAAGCTGATGATACCGATTCTACACTTCTCGTTATTTTCTTGTACAGATATACAGTACAGTAGTAGAAACTGCAATCTATGTTCAAACTCACATCCACACCGAGGTATTTACGCCCGAATTATCTTTTGTGTATTTTTTAAAATTCACTTCAATTGTGTTGTTTGCTGTTTGGGGCAAGTGGGCAGTGCATCAGCAAGTCCTAAATCTTTTTTAGATTTTGTCCACTTTCCTAATTTTCCGTATATTTGTTTGTTTTGCCATGTATTGTTTTGTTGTAACGGAAATCAAAATAAACACTAACTAAACAAGAGAGCTATGCTCAGATATATGGACACGTAGCGCCACCCAATGGCAATAATTTTGATAACGTCATAGCGAAAAAAGTAGGATAGGATAGGATAGGATTTACATATTTATCCCGGGGGAGAGGAAAACCGATAAGACGGCTTATCCATATGACGAACCACGGCCTCTCGTCCGGTTACCATTCCAAGTCGGGTATGGGATTAGTTTTACTTTACCACCCAACGACGGCGAGGAGTCCAGCAATCCTCTCGCACATAACCATCCCTGTATGGGATTCGAACCTGCGAACCCACGCAGAGTAATTAGAGGTGCGGTGGCGAGCGGATTCCTAACGCTTAGCCCGTTGAGCCACACCGCCGCGCCAGAAGTAATAGCCTTCTGGAGAAAAAATTTATCTTCAACCACTGAAAATTTCAAAGCAATTGGTCCAGTATTCGAAGAGAAAAGCGATTTTTTAAAAATGATGGAGATAAATAACAATAACAACATAATATTGAAACGATCGTTATGTCCACTAAACGTGTGCAAAACCCGATATCAAACGAAATATTGAAGAAGCACTTCACGGATAGGACTTACTTCGCTCGAAATTATCCAAGCTAGACAAGCCATTGAGGTGTATATAACCAGAGGATATAGCAACTCAATGAGACAAGCGCGCAATTTCACCTACCGGTATCTCGGTTGACACGCTTGGGGAAAGGATTGGTACAGTGGTAGGAAGCCAGGAATCTCTCACGAACGGGGCAAAGTACTGAAGTACTGTTGAAAATACGTACGAGTTTGTGTCTCACTGCAAACGTCGCAGAATATGGTAGCTTTTCAAAAGAAAACATATAGCCTATATATATGTTGAAAAAATGAGAGTCAGAGTACGGATGGCCATGTTTTTTTAATTTTTCAGTTGTCACCCGTTTGCAGTTTTCCGGGTTCCTGTGCATCTATCACAAAGATTTTACATAGGATAAGATATACATATTTATCCCGGGGGAGAGGAAAGCCCATAAGACGGCATATCCATATGGGAGGCGGACAACTCGACTACACGGACAACTCACCAGAGACAACTCGACTACCTAGAGGCCTGGTGAGTTGTCCGTCTTTTGACATTTTCTACGGTGGTGTTTTAGGTCTATAGAAATGCGTTTTTGATATTTTTAGTGCTCAAGTGTTGAGAAAAAACACATAAATATGCTCTAGAAAGCATTTTATTTGTATAAGTGGCTTATTTTGATCATGTTGTACGAATACAAATACAGTCTACAGACGAAATTGGAGTAACGTTAGCGAAGTTAGACTGTTGACTTATAGGACTGTGTTCGTTTAATTTTTTGAACTTTATTGGTATTAAATGTTTTGAATGAGCACCTTTAAATATATTAAAACCTTTATACTTCACAGTAACACTTATGGTTGCAGTAGTCTGCAGTCGCCCGACAGGCCGTCAACTCACCAGTCGAGCAAACGCTCTGCGACGTGACGTCATCGATGCTCGAGGTGAAGACAACTTGACTACCGAGCAACGAGAGGCAGACAACTCACTAGTCGAGCAATCGCTCTGCGATATCGATGCTCGAGGAGAAGACCTTGCTTTGCAAAACAAGAGATGCTAACTCAAGAGTTGCATAGCATTTACTTAGTGCCGACTGATATTAGTTGTAAGCCAACTCACCACGGCAAGGTTTCAGTCATAGAGTTGGAATTTCTTTTTGCAGAATAAAACCAGGAACAGATAGGCACTGTCGCTGCGCCTGGCAAAGAAACTGGGCCGAAGAATGGATAGAAGATGTTTACTTTTTGTCACGATTAATGAATTTAATATGATGTTTGAATACTAAACGTTATGGGGGAATTTAATGGATGGAAGGTTTGTTTTCCTTTTCGTTACGAATAATGAATTTTAATTTGAATACTAAACGTTATGGGAAATTTGCTGCGTTACATACTTACTCTTTGCAATACTGCGGCCCGTAGATCCTTGAACACCTTCGAAGAAGAGAGTCCACAGATAACTCTCTTTCCTTGTTCTGTTCCCAGACACGTTGCACCCTCTCGTTGGCTTCCGCATACCTGCCGTTGACACGCCCCAACAACGTCCGCCTCTATCCCTATACCTTACCCTCGTACATTGTTGAGATTAAACTGTAAAAGGGCATATTTTTCCGAGTTATACTGTTAAAATGGCGGTGCCAACCTTCCAGATGAATTGTTGGTTCTTATTTCTACGTCCGAATACTGACCAATCATTGGGAGTCCAGACACTGTTGTATAGCCCATGTGTTTTTGAAAATATTCGGCGAAGATCTTGAGTTTGCATTCTTTTCGTTCAGTGATTTGAATATGGACGTAATAAACATAGCTGGTATATAGCACAGCGCCATGGCATGCTTGATCATGTCTCTTGTTTCCAGCGTCCCTAAAACAAAAACATGTTAATACAAAAGAAGTGAAAGATGTACAAAGACATATATAAATATGGTTAACCCACTCACTTGTCGTATAGGCGAGCCAAAATTATTGTGACGCACATTCTTCATGATGGCCTGAGTGAAGTGATATCCATGCACGGAGATTAGATAAGGTACCAGATCGGTGATAATGAGCCGCGCGCCGAGATTACTGCTCGGTTATCGCCGAGTTTAAAGCCTCATTATCGCCGGGCTGCCCCCCTACAAACGTAAATACTCATTAGCCGAGGTCGTTTTCATCACAGTTTTATACTGAAACGAAGGACGACTAACGGTATATTAACTCCACAAAAACTACGCAAGAATTCAAGATGACTACTCCAAAAATGTGACGACAACGTTACCAATGAAACAGGAGGGACTCATCTGTGACGTCTGTCGAAATTGGTTTCATCGCAAGCGTTTTAATAATTCAGATGTGGCAATGACAAGGAACAGTACAGCCTATTAAAAAAAAGGACGTAACGTTTGAGTGGAAGTACCCGGAACTGCTACCAGGCCCATGACACCCATCATAAACTCCAACCCGATTGTTGTATCCCAGCAGATGGAACCTAGCCGTCGGCTGTAGACTACTCAGGTGGTGAGTTGGCTTACAACTGAATATCAGTCGGCACTAAGTAAATGCTATGCAACTCTTGAGTCTGCGATGCAAAAGCAAGGTCTTCTCCTCGAGCATCGATATCGCAGAGCGATTGCTCGGCTGGTGAGTTGCCTGCCTCTCGTTGCTCGGTATCGAGTTGTCTCACCTCGAGCATCGATGACGTCAAGGTCGTAGAGCGTTGCTCGACTTGGTGGAGTTGACGGCCATGTCGGGCGACTGCCTAGTCGAGTTCCAGACTAACTGCAAATGCATAGAACTACTGAGCTCACATTCACTAAATATTTAAAGTGTTACTGTGAAGTATAAAGGTTTTAATATATTTAAAGGTGCTCATTCAAAACTTTTAATACCAATAAAGTTCAAAAAATCAAACGAACACAGTCCTATAAGTCAACAGTCTAACTTCGCTAACGTTACTACAATTTCGTCTATAGACTGTATTTGTATTCATACAACATGATCAAAAAAGCCACCTATACAAATAAAAATGCTTTCTAGAGCATATTTATTTATTTTTCTCAACATTCGAGCACTAAAAATATCAAAAACGCATTTCTATAGACCTAAAACACCACCATAGAAAATGCCAAAAGACGGACAACTCACCAGGCCTCTAGGTAGTCGAGTTGTCTCTGGTGAGTTGTCCGTGTAGTCGAGTTGTCCGTCAGCCATCCATATGGCGTCCGGTTACCATTCCAAGTCGGGTACCGTACCGGTATGGAATTAGTTATATATTGTTTGTTTTCGGAAGCATGGACTTGGTGGTGGAGGAAGCCGTAACCGACCAGCGGTTACGTGAACCACCCAACGACGGCGAGGAGTCCAGCAATCCTCTCGCACATAACCATCCCTGCATGGGATTCGAACCTGCGAACCCACGCAGAGTGATTAGAGGTGCGGTGGCGAGCGTATTCCACATCGCCGCGCATAACGACAATGTTGTTATGTGTCGTCTCTGATTAAACGATGCAGCGATTCTGGCTGTCTGGAGAATTCAGCATGGTTCAGTCATCAGTGGTTTGGTGTTGGATTGCCTAACCAAATGGTAATTTATTCGGTAAATTCCAGAATCCATAGTCTGTTATGGAGTTACTGATATTGGAGGATAGAATAGGAGGATTTACATATTTATCCCGGGAGAGAGGAAAGCCGATAAGACGGCTTATCCATATGGCGAACCACGGCCTCTCGTCCGGTTACCGTACCATTCCAACTTCCAAGTCGGGTATGGGATTAGTTACCGTACCTATTATATTGTTTGCTTTCGGAAGCATGGACTTGGTGGTGGAGGGAGCCGTAACCGACCAGCGGTTACGTTAACCACCCAACGGCGAGGAGTCCAGCAATCCTCTTGCACATAACCATACCTGCATGGGATTCAAACCCACGCAGAGTAATTATAGGTGCGGTGGCGAACGTATTCCTAACACTTAGCCCGTTGAGCCACACCGCCGTGCCTTGCTGCATAGTCGCTACTTTTTTCCTGTGATTACGGTATTGGATTACAACGATCTAGCCTACATGCAGGGGTAGGATAGAGTTTACATATTTATCCCGGGGAGAAGAAAAGAGGATAAGACGGCTTAACCCTATGACGAACCACGGCCTCTCGTCCGGTTACCGTACTATTCCAGTATTCCATGTGGGTGGGTAGTTATAAAATGGCTATGTCCCTACTAAAATTGCTATGTCCCTTCTACAATAGCGATGTCCGCTATATTCCTACTAAATGGCTAATCGGAGGTGTGCTGCCATGCGTATTCCTAATGCTTAGCACGATGTGTCACACTGCATATATGAGATAAAGGAGTAGTAATAATTATGTGCAAGAGGATTGCTGGACTCCTCGCCGTTATTTTTCTCATCATTTATAGTGTCATTTTTATAGTGAAGTGGGGCTTGACTTTTTTCATTTATATTTTGCAGATTTCATGTAATTTGTGGCATAAAAAATTCAAATGGAAAAAGATTCTGTTTGTGATGTCATACCTAAATTTAATCAGGAGAAACCTCTTGTCTGGATTGAATATCCAGGAATCGTTAAGGATGCCGACAAAATGCTAAAAACACTCGGAGGACAGAAAAACATTTCTGGAACATATAGAGAAGAAAACAAACGTATTGATTTACGATTTCGACCAGATGATCCTTGTTGTCATGCTGTATGTGGCGATCGCAAAGAAGTAAATGCGTTATTACTAAATGTAAAGAAATATAGACGGAAAAAGTCTCCAAACAACAATTCAAGCGCAGATGAGTTTCGCTATCGTCCGGAACTTGTTGGTGTTGTAGAGACTGCTTACAAGTTCAATGCTCTTTGTGATTTTCAATATCTTCCCTTACATAATGATGTGGAAAATGATAAACTAGTGAACATGATACCGCATCTTAAAGTTAATAATCTTGATGACGCTGCATACACAAATGAGGTACCACTTTTTCTTCCGCCTGCTACGTTCAGTCGTTTTGACCAACAACTAGATGTGTTATTTAGAAGTGTACCAAAATATAATCAGTCGCATGGAAATCCAAATAAAATCGGTATTACTCGACCGCGGCGGATTCACTTTGCTCAATATCTTAAATATGAGGAGAATTGGACCCCCAAAGAACCCTTGCCTGCAGCACAAGAAGTTTTGGAAAAAATTAAGAAAACTGAAGAAGGGCTAGTGCAAGGGATTAAAGATCTTTTTGAGAAACGTCCCATATGGTCTAAAAATGCAATTAGATGTATACTACAATGTAGTGGGAACGACTTAAATTTCTATTGCCTGCATTGGCTTATTATTTTATCACAGGTCCCTGGCGTTCTTTATGGGTCAAATTTGGATATGATCCTAGAAAGGACCCAGGAGCCGCAGAATATCAGCTTCTTGACTTCCGAGTTAGACAGGGATTAAACACTCCACACATACCAATCAAAGCAAAACGTAGCACCCTTTCTTACAGACTACCAAACCTGATGCCCCGATCTAAGCTCGAATCTAATATAGTAAATAATTTAGATGAAAAATCTACTGCATCCTCTTCTTATAGCAAAGAGCAAACAGAAGCTATGTATATCTTCAAGTCTGGTGTACTTCCAGCATATCGGCAAACTTTTTATCAAGTATGTGATATACTCCATCCTCCTAAAAGATATAGTGCAAAGTCAAACAGGATTATCTAACAAATGTGACATGAAATCAGGATGGTATCCCAAGGGTATGGCTGCAAAAATAAGAGACATTTTATCACAAGATATTCAAAATACTATATCAAATACAGAAGGAATGGAGCAGCCGATAATAAACATGGAAAGAGCAACCAGAAAAAAATATAAGTCTCGGGTATCTAAAAGCACTGAAAATTTTGAGGAACCTTCCTTCCAAGATCTTCTATTAGATTTATCTAGTGATGAGGAGAAGCAAAGTTTAAATGAAGAAGTTGGGGATTCTGGTAGTGAGCAGGAGGAAATTTTATCTGACAATGATGCAGAAGTTATGGATGATGTTGAACTAAATGAAGAGGAAGATGAAAATTTAGAAGATGATAACACGTTAAAAGATTCTAATAATTTTGTTGATCTCAGTCAACCATATTTCAATGAAGAATTAACAGATTTCTTAGACGATTTCGAAGCCTTTTCGCCAGATGATTTTGATGATAACATTGAAGACAATTGATGGAGAACAAAATTGAATATAGTATAGGATACACTGTCTGTCTTTTTTATTGGTTGGCAACAGAGCAGAAATTTGATCCAATTGTTTTGAAGTATGTTCCATGTGTTATGTACTCAGAAGTATTATGGACTCAAAATTATAGTTATTTTTGCCTACATAACATGTTATAAATCTGATTATTTTTAGTTGCCTTGTCCTGTTTACTTTCAGATTATTTGTATTGTCTCATTAGAGTGCTGTTCATAACTTTCTCTTTTGTTTTTCTGTTGAAAATTTTATTTCAGATACTATGACTTTAAGTAAGTAAAATACTTAAACAGACGTACGAGCGCAAACAAAATTGAATATTTTTTTAAATTTTTGTAAATAAGAAATGTATGGGTTTTTTTTTTTTGTCAAACGTTCAGTCTAAATTAGAAATTATTATCAATGTAACCAACTTACAAATCAAATTTGAAACTTTCCAGCATACTTGTTATTTCTTACAAATTGATAATTTTGTTCAATATGAAAAATGTGAATGAATATTTGCCTTTTTTATCAATAGATTCTCTTTGCTTCTCCAATTTTCATTTTAAATATATGTTATGTGACTCATGTCAAATAGCATGTAATACTCATTAAGGAAAAAATTATTGTATTTTGAATAAATTTCCGATTCCGACACTAATCAAATTTCAAATATTAAAATTTTGTTTCTTAAGTCTTAGATGCAAACTTGTTACAAATAACAGAGGAATTTCTGATCAATGTCTACATTACACCCAACATCAGCCCTAAAAATATGGGCATCTTTTTCTATCAATATTTTTCTTCCTATTTTTTGGTATCCTATTCCAGAACATGTATTAGCGATATAATCAAACAGCTTTGTTTTTTGGTTGATATAAGCTGGTAGATTAATAAAGGATGTTTAAAATATGGAAAGTCATGTTATTCTTGAAGATAAAAGTCTTTTCAGTGATGTTTTCAAGGAATTGGATGAATTCAGGAAAACACAACATGACTGTGACTTGCTTATTAAAGTCGGCTGTAAAGAATTTTTGTTCATCGCAACATTTTATCGGCTAGTTCGGGTTACTTCAAAGATATGTTGAAGGATAATACGATTGCAAATGAGTCTGGATATATTGAATTGAAGGTTGATAAAGTTGATGTTGATAGCATCAAGCATTGTATTGACTTTATTTACGGAGGAAATATCATTGTTTCAAATGAGGATCGCGAAAATTTGATTCATGTTGCACACCAGCTTCAACTACAGAAGCTGTGTAATCTTATTGCAGATACATATCTTAACAAACTTCAAATGTCAACTTTCTTTTTTATCAAGAATTTGGCTAAAACCTATAATTGTAAAAATGTAGAGGAGAAATGCGATGAATTTGCTTTGGAAAATTTTACAGCAATCTCCAAAATAGAGGAGTTCAACCATCTTGATAGTTCTTATATTTGATTGGTTCAGCTAAGAACAAGTCATTAGCTCAGCGAAAGGTGAAGGCGTTGATATCCTGGACTCAATTCGATTTGAAAGAAAGATCAAAATATTTTTATTCCATACTTGAAAGCATCGACTTATCTCGGCTTCCTCTTCCTTCCTCATGCTATTTGTTCTTTTATATTGTTATTTTAAATTTCTTACAATTTCTTTCTTCGTCACCCTATATAATATATATGCAAAAATAAACCTACATTAACTGAAAGAACTTATCAAATTAGAATCCACTAATTTCCGTTTTAATCAAATTACAATTTAATCAAAGTTAATTTTACAGCTTTATATTACTAAATGAAATCATATTTAAAATGAAAGTAAAACACAAGAAGCGTTCTCATAAGGAATCCTCTCCAGAATCTTCTGATGAAAGTCCTCGGAAACATCACAAAAAACATAAAGAAACGCACAGGAAAGAACATTCCCAACATCGTGATGACTACTCGAAAAAGCATAAAAGATCGAGACAAAAAGATGGAAATATAAGTGAAGAGTCACCAACGCGTAAAGAGGATTCTAAAAATTCTCATGCAAGAAAAAGGGATGAAAGAGATAGAAGAAGAAGTAGAGAACGTTCCTCATCACCAGTTAGAATCAAGAAAGAAGAAGATTTTGATAAAAGACAGGAAGAACTAAGAAGAAAGCGACGAAGAGGTATTCACTTTTTTTTCTTCAGAATAAGCTATGACTAGCATAGATAGACTGATCCGTATTTCCAATATGTTTATAATTATCAGTGCTCAATTTCTTGACTATTGGTATTTGATGATGTCATTCTATCCATAGCTAAGGATGGGCGAGTTCACAGATCTTTGAATCCGAAAGCATCAGATGAAAAATTTGGTTGTACCTCTTCGGCACTGTGCTATGATTTTCTCATGTAATTATTTATCATTTGGAGACCAGTGTTTCCTTTCATAGCATGCGCTTCAACTCTCCCCTCATTTACTGTAATTGTCTTCATTTGCTCATAAAACAAACAATAATTTGCAATAATAATATAAAAAAAATGTGATTGACATCATACTAGGTCAGGGGTTACCAAGCTGTTTTCAGGTTGACCCCAAAGACAACTTTCAAGTGTCCAGTGCGACCCCAGGTCAATATATATATTTTTCATGGAACTTTAGAGCTACTTTCACTGGACTTTTGAGATTGGTCATGTGATGGTATTAAGTAAAATAAGCTAGAACCAAACAGTGATGTCACAATAATCACCTACATTTTCTATAGCATGAGCATAGAGCGATGCCTATGGGCCTGTTTTACAGTAAGCCATGGTGCAAACTGCTAAATTTAACATGGTTTGTCAAATCTTAGATGTTTTGTACATCTATCCTCTACCATAACTCAGCGACCACACAGACCCAATGACCTGTTTGCGACCCTACATACTTATCACTCCGACCCAATTTGGATTCGCGACCCCTGGTTTGGGAACCCCTGTGCTAGGTGGTAATCACAGTGGACAAATAATTGAATTTAGATTAGGAGCGAAAGGACTGAGCATGGTACATACCGGTATCTGCCAAATTGAAAACGATAAAGAATGGGCACGTTTTTGCATTTTCTGCTCTATCGTCAAGTTACCACAATCAACCATTTGACTTTTTTCTATTGGATAGGGAGGTTATTTCATTTTGTCTGCTGTTTTCATTTATTAAACACATGTTTCGGTAATGGTGTATAAGTATAGATGTATTTTAGATATTAATTGATTGATATTGTTCTCGTGTGTTTTTGCTTGTAGGCGGTTTACATTTTTAGTCTGTAAGATATAAGATGCGAAAAAAATAGAAATAATCAGAATGTACTTATCGATATGAAAGGCTATATTGAAACTGCATAATGAGATATCATAATAATCATCCAGTGATACATATCTTTTCTTTTTTGTGAATAAAATATAATAAAGTTCATGAAGTGTTTAATTTTAATCAGTGTTTATTTCATTTTATTACTTTACAATTTTATGCCCAACAATAGTTGCTTGAAACACATCAAATTGTGTTTAACCCAATTCAATACAGGACTTTATGAATGAGATGATATGAGGTTTCCACACTTTTATCCACAATGTTATGTTTTTGTGAGGACTTGGTATGTTAGTATGTATTTTGTTACCAGTTAATGGGTCAATATAATCTTTATAATCCAGCATTATCTTTGGGTCATATCCAAGCTTTCGTACAATTTTTTCAGTGCAACAACTTGATGTCATCACACAAATATTCCACATTTTTCATTCTCTGCAATTTCATCCATTCTCCTCAACAGTTCAGACCCAATTCGTTGTTTGGTATATTCATGTTTTGTGCACAAAATAATCTTCCAAACTTTCTCCTAGAAGCTCTTCTTCAATTTATATATATTGTTCTACAGAAAATGAAATTTCTGATTTCTTTTATTTTTCAATGTCCACGATACTGAATCTCAGTATCAAAAGCACCATATGAAAGGTTAAGTAACAAAACTGGTTTTACAATGATTTCAGGCCCAAGGATGGCCAATACCGAATAGTTCACTATTTCGAATACATTCGAAATTATTTTTTTCGAATATGAAATTTCGAATACTTCGAAAATAAAATCCACTAATTGAAGCTTATCTAAATGTATGTAGGAATTTCCATACAATAAGCAATGGAATAACTGCTATCTACAAGTTACAACCTAGCTATATTACCAGGCATTTCATATTTGCAGATTATTGCAGTATATATTTTATATACCATGAGTCATGTTAACAGAATTAAATTAATACGGCAATAGTGGTATCGATGATGGATTTGAATATTTGCGCAACACAAAATCATCCTAGTAAAACGCCCATACTTTTAAATACCAACCATTATCCAAATTATTTGCCAAAAAGCGGGATAAAGTATGAGTTATTTTTCCGACTTGTGACAATTTTTTCATGAGTACAAAAATACGAATCAAAAATTAATTACATTCGGAACTTTACCACACATTTTAAGTCCGCAGATCGCCGTTGTATGTTTGAGTAGTAATACTTTTATTATTTTATAAATATGAAAATAGGAATCAAAAACTATTTACCCACATTCTAAGTCCACAGATCGCCGTTGTATTTTGTAAATACGAAAATAGGAATCAAAAACTAATATTAATCGCGAGTTTGCCACACAATTTATGTCCACAGATTGCCGTGATATTGTGCCGAATATAATTAGTTTTTGATTCTTATTTTCGTACTCACGAAAAATTGTCACAAGTCGGAAAAAGAATTTATACTTTATCCGCTCTTGGGAACTAATTTGGATAATGGTTGCCATTGGTTTGTATTTAAAAGTATGGACTTTTTACTAGGATGATTTTGTGCTGCGCAAAATATTCGAATCCATGACCGATACCACTATTTAAAATGCCTTACCGTGTTAATTTAATTCTATTATCATAACTCAAATGTTGGTAAATCGGGCAGTTTACCACACATTTTAAGGCCACAGATCGCCGTTGCATTTTAGAATTATAATAGTTTTATTATTTTGTAAATACGAATCCGAAATTAATTATAATTGGGCAGTTTACCACGTATTTCATGTCCACAAATACCCGTGGTATTTGGTATTAATACTTTCATTATTTTATCAATATAAAAATAGGAATCAATATTTAATAATATCGGTCAGTTTACCACACATTTTATGTCCACAGATTGTCGATACAACCATGAGTTACGTTGAACAGAATTAAATTAATACGGCATGACATTTTAAATGCTGGTACCAGTCATGGATTGGATTATTTTGCGCAACAAAAAATCATCCTGGTAAAGGATCGATACTTTTAACTATCGTTATCAGAATTATTTGCCAGAAATTATTTTCTAATAAATCGACTTGTTTTTCCAACTTGTGACAATTTATTGGATATCGTAACAATGACGGCTATAAATACCGTATTTCCCGGCTAATAAGTCCACATGGCAAATAGGACGATGTCTATTTTTAGCACTCAAAAAAGGGTTTTTCCATATAGGCCTCCAATAAGACGGGTAGAAAAATTGTGTCCCTGTTGTTCAGTTATGCTGATATGCGCTAATAATTTTATATGTTTAGAACCAGATCATGTTAGTTTGGTAGAATCATACTCACAGAATTAACTATTTTTAACAATTGAGCGGTAAATTTAAGTTGTAAAGCGGCAATCATTTTGGACAACCTATTAACCCGAATGTTGAAATAATTTTGAAATGTGATAAGTACTACACTGTACGTCCACGGGTTATTTCACAGCTGTGTTTTCCTGTCCCTGTCGTGTTCTGCTGAATCGGCAAAACGAAAGGGTCACAAATCACTTTATCTCGGTGGCCGTGTTTCTCTTTAAAGTAACGATAACCGGCCTGCGATTAAATATCATGATTGGCAGACCCTAAGACCCAAATATAAGGTTACACAAATCATGCTTGAGAACGCTCATGCGAATAATAAGCAGGCCAAACATACTTTCTCAATTAGACGCCCCCCCTCAAAAAAAAAAAAGAAATCAGGCCGACAAATTGGGCCTAAAAAGCGACTTATTAGCCGGGAAATACGGTAATTGTCATTTTTCGACGTAATGGAAATGAATTTGTAAATTAAAAGCCTCGTAGACGAATGTCGGCAATGTCCACCCACGCAAACACTATGCGACGTACGGTCGCACAGAATATAAACAATCAAAGTGCCGATTCTATTTCATCGTCGTTACAATACGTGAGACAGCGTAAAAAGTCGTTTGAAGATTCCCGTTAAACGAAACACCACGTTTATGGCGAAAAATGGCTACTATTCGGAATTATTCGAAAATCGGCCGAAAAGATATTCGAATACTTTGATATTCGAATACATTCGAATATTCGATTCGTTTTGGACAACCCTGATTTCAGCTAGTTTTTCTGCTTCTTTTTTACTTGAATTTGACATCATTAACGCTGGTTCGTTGGGAAAATAGTTGTTCACTATTATGTTAGATACTTCACTGAAGTCATTGTCGCCCAACAGACTAAGGTATATTCTTTGTACACATCCGTTGAAACTCAAAATATAACAGTTACAAATACATTCATTATACAAATAATGCAAATTATGGGAGAAATGCAACGTGTTTATTCCTTTTACTACTTTTATTTCCTGAAACAGGAAATCTTCCTATTTATATTAACTCAATTAATGTTCTTGGACTTCTCATGATTTTGGGAAAAATTCATTTCCAACCTCCAAGCATTTAATGTCTTTTTATATTTCGGTCAAGTTCAACGTAAATTGTGACAAAATGAACTCATTGCTATCTTAAAATATCTTGTAAATCTGTGGACATAAAAATGTGTGGTTTCTCATTTTTTCAATCTTTCAAATTTGTTTTTGTTGCTGAAAAATTCCAAATAAATGCGATGAAATCCCAAAGATCACAAGTTGTTTTAGTACAATGAAAGATTGATTGGCCATTGGTTACCTTATATATCACAGGATATGGAATTAAAAGAATAGTTTAAGTAGCTCTTATACCTTTCTAAAATAAGTACACTTGTGTTGTCGGACCCGGTTGTGATCCTAGATCTGAACATAAACTGTTATAACTCGCAATTTCTTGTGTGCATCGTTAGACATTATTCTTTTAAGCCATTATACATGTTGATGCATTGGTTTATCAATGAAAATAGGTTATAGAACATCCACATCAATGAGCTGACCTGAATTTTGATAAAAAAAACTATAAGCCATGATCTGCGCATGAAATTTTGTTATTGAGTAATGTCAGTTGTACTTTATTCCTTATGTTATTTTTTTTTTTTCAGAAAATGCAACGAGAGAGGAACGCCGTCCTCATCACGATAAAGAAATACAAATAAAGAGAGAACCAGCTGAGGAAGATAATAGGCACCGACAACGAAGTAAGATTATTTTTGTTTTAAGATTAAGTTTTCTTAAGCTGAGAAATTAACCCATTTTAGTTTTTCAAATTAAATTAAAAATCGAAATTCTTTGAGAAAATACCTCACACAGAAGTTGGAAGGTTGATTCTTAATTAGGAATGCAATCTACTCGCTGTAAACTGTCCAAAATTCGACCTAAACAAGCATTAAAATGGCTATGTTTTCCCCTCATCACTTTCAGACTTCAGTTTAGCTACTAGTTCAATCTGTCATCCCTTCTATGAAGTGGTTCAACTGATGTAAACTATATTTCTATCCTAAAAATTGATACCAAACATAACCATCTTGGAATGGGAAATTTAGGTCTAGCGAAGTAAACGACGTAACTCCTTAAAATAACACCCAACAGAAATGTGATGGATTTTCTATGTTTTTTTGAAAAAAGTCTGATAGGGGCGGAATGAAATTCTTGACAGACACGTTTAGTTAAAATGAAATCCACTCAATTTTCAACCAGCAGGTGTATCCCATGCCGAATAGGTTATGCCGTTTCGTGCGAGATAGATTTTTATTTTAAAAAAAATAAAAATTAGTGATGTATTTTACATCACACTCTGACCCTTCAAGTCCATGCTTCTCTCACGATTAACAGTTCAAATATTTTTATACCCAACGTGGACTGGTAACCAGACGAGAGGTGGGTTTTGCCATATGATTATGTTGTCTTTTCCTCGCCCCCGAGATAGCTGTGAAATTTTTTTCCCTTTTACAACTAGAGCTATTCACAATAGACCAATCAAATTATATTATAAAGTGTCATCTTATCATTTGTCTCGCAATGATATCTTACTGGTCGTGATCATTACAATTTTATTTCAACAGATGAACGAAGGCAAAGAGGTGATATTGAACAAGAAAGAAGACAAAATGATGCCAGAAGAGCAGAAGCCTGGCAAAAGAGAGAAAGTCAGGGAGGTCAGAATGCGGAAGCTCTGGTTGCTGAAGGTATTCTATTACTGCCCAAATTTTCTATACAAACTATAGTGCAATTGAAGAGACAACATATTTCAACTATTTTTTACTATTTTAGGCGAAGATGAACCAAAAGAAAAAGAAAAACCAAATCTAGGATTATCTGGTGCGCTGACGGAAGATACCAACACATTTCGAGGAGTTGTTATTAAATATAATGAACCTCCAGAAGCTAGAGTCCCAAAGAAAAAATGGCGATTATATCCTTTCAAAGGAGATGAAGCTTTGAAGGTGGACAATTATGCTTTATATAAAATAGTATGAGACTGACATTGATTTATTTGTATGGTGGATGTCATAGCGTACAATGACCATGCCCATCACCTCACCCTGAATTGGGTAGGCAACTAGAAAGATTCCATTAATAGTAGTAGCTCCATGCATATCAGTTGCTCTTCTCCAGAGCCTTCCTCAAAGAAAAGACGTTAAAACGTTATCAGCAAATGATTGCTGTGGCCATATCGAAAGTCTGTTAAAACTCTCATTTGGTATGAAACGAGGTTTGGGCGTACCACCCCGCACTTTTCTTGCTTTATTGATAACATTACCTTATTTTAAGCTTTTTCATAACAATATTTCTGTCTAGGTTCTTCATTTGCATAGACAAAGTGCTTATCTCCTTGGGAAAATGCGTCGAATTGTTGATATTCCGATAGATCATCCATCATGTTCGAAACAGCATGCAGTGTTTCAATTCAGGTAGCAGAAGTTTTAGAATAAACTATGTTGTTGCCGATTATTTGCAATGATATTTCTATTTAGAAACAAAAAGCCTTATCATGTTGACTTTATGGTGAAAGCTTCTCAATTCAAACTGCTCCCAATTGTTAATAATTCTCTTCATATAAGGGATGTTTTCAATGTAAATTTTCAAATACAGGCTGTTCAAAAAGTCCTGTTTTAATTTAGGCCAAAGAACTTTGATGCTTTGTGACACCTTATGATAGGCGTATAAAGGCATATTATATGAAGTAAAAAAAACTTGAATAAACACTGATTAAAATAAAACAAAACCGGGTTAAAATATACTGAGAACTGATTTGAAAACTTTGAAATTTTATTCTTTTTGTTGATCAATGTTAATGTTTCAGTAAGATATCATCTCTGTTTTTAGTCTGTTTTGATTTTTCCAGAATGGTTGAAAGAGTGAAAGATGATGGTACAACCGGAAGAACCATAAAACCTTATATTATCGATCTTGATTCCTCAAACGGAACTTTTGTAAATAATCAAAAGATTCAACCTCGAAGGTATGTAGTAGGTTGGTGCTGGACTAATGGTTCAGTCCAACCATTCGACTTAACTATGATGGCATGGCAGGTCGAAATCTCAGGTTCAAATCCCACCATCTCATCCAGGGTTAGGGCTGTCCAGGATCGGATATTTTTTTGATCAAATTAAACTTTCTCAACTGATAGTTGAGAATTGCACAGACCCACATACCTAATTTACTTCCAATTCCATTTTTTTTAGATAAAAAAGAAAAAAAAAACGGTTATTATAGATAAATCCAGTGAAAAACGCCGCACATTTGTGGTCTAAAGATTTTTTCAGTCTTCTGTACCTTATTTCACAGATTCGCAAATTACCTGCAAAACGATTCGAATAATTTTTGATTCGATTTCGAATATTCGGTTTGTTTGGTCAGCGCTACCCAGGATGTAATAATCGGGTAAATAATGCTAAACTGGGATAATTCTGGTCTTAAAAATAAAGTAATTTCTTACAAATTAGGGGCTACTTTTGCAGTCGGAATAGCCTTAATAATTTTCATTCCTGTTCTTTCCTACAGATATGTGGAATTGAAAGAAAAAGACGTTGTAAAGTTTGCATATAGTTCAAGAGAATACGTTTTAATCCATGACAAATCTGATACGACAGAGGTAAGCATTATCAGGATTGATTCAAGCATGTTCATGTGATAAATTAATACCACAAGACACCATAATATTGCAACAACCCTTATCAAAAAGGGAAGGCTAGCATGTGGTCAAAATTTGATTTTCATTGAGTTGGGTGCTGGTGCTGGGGTCTTAGTCAACATTTTATTCAACCTTGAGTCGGATCAAAATTTTCTTCGATTTGAATTCGGAGTCGACATTTTCTTCAACCTTGTATCAAAGTCAAAATATTTGCTAGAGTCAGAGTCGTTTTAAAATGATTCAGAATATGGAGTATATTTTTTCCTTTTATTATATGAAAATTATTTTAGGTCAACGGATCATCTAGTGAAGAAGAAGAAGAAGACTGATAAAAATCAATTTCTATTACTGTGAAATAGGATACTGGCTTCTGATAAAAGCAGATTCAGATTGTGTGTTCAGTGGATGCAAATGTAGGAATGCAGAAGACAGTGATCAAGTTATGTTTTCCTTCCAGTCAAAGAAGAATACTATCTACTTCGGTGAGAGATTATAGGAATGGTCTTAACTTATAAATGTTTCGAGAGATGTTGTCCACGAAGAAATGGAATTTATATGGAAAACAATAGAAAGGAATTTGGAATGAAATTTTGGCGCTGATGCCAATGCACAGTCTCATCATACAATTCAAATTAGCTGCGTAAATGTTAGATTAAGTTATAATTTGAAATAATCCCTTATTTGTGTTTCCTAGTAAGAGACATCAAAAATATTAGTGGTTACAAATCCATAATCAATGGCAAAACGTGGCAACCCACATACAAATAAAATTATCCCCATTTGATAGGATAGATAAGATTGAAAGTCAATGACATTTAAGTAAAATTTATACTACTGAGAATATTGAAAAAATAATAAAAAATTGACAATACCTTTTAATGATACCGATATGTTTGCATATTCTGGCACAAATGATCGAATCTTGGCTCTATTTCGGCGATGGTGGGTTACAATTCTTTAAATTTTATCAATATTTTGTTTTAACAAATTGGTGTTGAAAAAATTTTACAGCGATCATCATTGAGATTTGTCGTGACCCACGGGGGAGTCGGACTCCCAGTTCAAATAGCCCTTGCCTATTTGATTGACCGCCTATTGGAATAAACGAGCGTTATCGTCAGTCATCACTCATTTATGGTTAGAATGGTTAGAATCAGCCTTAATGTTTCCATTGAAACTATTTTAAATTTTTCATAAAATCAAGACTTCGACATGTGGGATATAATTTAATTTTGAATCGATTCCTTGCTACTTCTCATTTGCTGAAAGTAATATTCAGATGGATGTATTATTTTACTTATTCGAGTATCAATCCATATTGCAAGGACCGATGTCATTGAATTATTCGTGACAGTTTTTTTTGCAGCTTTCTTTTTAGTATGTGAACTTGGCCTTGCATTTCATGGTGGCAAATTAGATTGTTTGACAATATTAGAAATACAAGGTGGAATTCTATAATCCAAGACTATTTTACTATTTCTTTCTGAGTGTGACTAAATTCAGGTTAGGTACTACTATATATATGTTAGATATAATTTGAAATTTCATTGCCATTATATTTTTAAATTTTGTCTTTGACAACGCTTTTACACATCTTTTACTCTGAACAAGACTCTGTACAAGTAGCCACCAATAGTAAGATCTATATTTTTTGACAATCGTAATCTGTCCAGTTCAGTATTGTTTATCCAATTCATTGCGCCCTTGTTGATGTGATGGCATGGGATTTTAACCCAAGGTTGTAGTCTACAATTCGAACAGCTGAGTTCAATGCTTCAACCAATGGGCCAATTAAAATTTGCTTTCATCAGTAAGACTTTTCTACATTTCAAGCTAGTAGCGAGCTACAATGCGGAATGATTATAGCCGGCCACTGCTATTTTGTTTGGTAATGGTCTAATTTTGGGAGAATCGTGTATTGGAATATAAAATGGAATATCATGTTTGTTTTATGTGAAAAACCTTTTAAATCATTTAAAAAAAATTTCATTTCTAGGAATGATTATTTCTATGTGCTTTTTATATTTCCTAATCTAATTATATGTTTAAATTTTGTTTTTAAGGTACTATGATTATTTAATATGACTGAGTACATTAGGTAAATTGACAAATCACCGAGTTTTTGATGGAATTTAATGTTGCAGTGGACAAATCTTGATCAAAAACATGCATTTCGATAAAGCCTTATTATTTCTGAATAAAACCTCATTTTTGAGGCAAAGCGTGAAAAATTTTCATATTTGCTGCTGTACGACAAGGAACACCAATAAAAGAAATGGGAATTCTTCTGTCACATTATTCAATCAATACAATAGACAATTTTCTGTTACAACTTCAAGGAATATATGGACTCCAAATATATGGCCTTTCAAGGACCCTCCTGTTCCAGCACTCCCACCAGGATTCACTGAAAATGAAGTAGTGTCGTCAACATTACCTAATGCTGATTCAGTCGCAAGTGTCGCTTCTGTGTCAGACTCTGTTACAAGTACTGTTACTGCAGATCCTGGCGTTACAGAAGTGATTACCGGTGCTATTATTGATCCTCCGTTTATTGAATTAGGCCTTGCATCCAGTTGGTTTCCAAATCATCTGGTTCATCAACTTTTGGAATTTGTTCATACCTCCACAGGTACGATGTTCCATTTGAAATATTTATGCCTTCTCTGATAATATTATTTAACTGTTTCAGTTATCATTTATGGGGAAGTAAACATGATTGCGCCCCAAGTTGTCTTCTAATTTTTAAACAGGGTTAGTGACTCAGAGATGTCTGAAACCGAATAGTAACCCACTATGTCAAATACATCCTAAAACTATTTTTCTGAATATCTAATAGCATTGGGGCATGTTCAGGAAACACTACGTGCATTTTCAAAGTTTCCTCATCTGAAAATGGACGAAAGCTAAGTTACACTTAGACAATGACTTCAATGGCTCCATATGACAATTTTATTTAACGAAACTTTCCCCGAATTGAATATGATTAGTTTGGAATCAATTTGGATATCCTTCGGCAGGTGTGGAATTCACAGTGATCTATATTTCACTAATAAATTTTGAATATAAATGTTAGGTATTGAAAGCTAAAATTGATATGATTTTATCGTTCTCTATATCATATGTTCAGATTTACAATGGTGGAGTACTATTATCATTGGAACATGTATTATCCGAATTGTCAGCATGCCTCTATATATTTACACAAGAAAATATTCTGTCAGATACAACAATCACAGGGAGGAATTGGGAGTATGTTTCTGTGTTACAACTGAATAAAATTCATGAGATAGCTAATATTTATGGTTGAGAATTTTTCCGCAGTAGCCTATTGATTAGCATAGTATTCTATAATATTAGTGGCTACAGTTTTTGGAAGGGCTGTAATATCTTGCGGTTCGACATTGCTTACCCAATTTATTACACCCGGGGTAAGGTTAGGGGTTACACCTGACATGGGCAAACTACTACCCACGGGCCAAATCCGGCCTGTTTGTTGATTCAATCTGGCTTGCCTGATGCTGCCACAACCAAACTAAAACCAAAGTTTGATGTTCTAGCTAAAAATAGCTCAAGGAATTTGTTAAGATTGCGATTAAATTTAGTTTTGGCACGAGGCACATTGTTTTCTACTTTTGCGACACTGTAAATATTGTTCATAAAATGTAACTTTGTAAGTTACACTTGCAAGGCCCGCCAGTCTGGGTGGGCAATTTTCTGGCCCTGGTCCAAAATCCTTGCCCAGCCAGGAGCTACACCATCATGCCGCCAGGTTGTCTAGGCTTTCATTTTAGGTTTTCAAACAGATTTTACCGAGTTAGTTGACTATGCTGCAGGGGTTCCAAAATACTCATTATTTTAAAAATTTTCTTTAGTTTTAAACTATATCCTTCTTTTGTCTTATTTTCATCAATAAGATAAATAGAAGATAAATTTCAATGTTAAAAAACAAAATACATAGGTATAATAGCTTTTGATCTGGATAGTGCAATACTTCCAAGGGGTCCAACCAAGCAACCCTGAATGTTGTAAATATTCGTTTATTACCGGGATTATGCTTCAGTACTGTTTTCGCCAAACTCATCACCTGAGAATTGCACTTTTTTTCCCTTTACCTTGATTATTAATTTGGCCTAATCCATCATAATCACTCTTGCAAGTGGAAAGGGACCTGAAATTTCTTTTGCAAAAATAAAGAAAAAACGTAATTGAACATCTGTTTTTGTATCATGATACCCAAAATTCTCAGTAATCATGGTCGCTTGCACAAAGGTCATTATGATCTGGTATGGAACCACATATTTTAGTGATAAATTGATATTAATTTCTTAATATTTGAATACACAGGAATTAACAGAAAAGGCGTCGGCAGCACAATTGGAAGGGGGTATGATGCAACAAATGGTAGCCAGACAAAAATTAAAAGACTATTATAAAACAACCGGAACTGGACCTATTAGAGGTTTGTTACACGACAATGTTCGTAATTAGTCATAGTCAAAAAGTTAGTTATTTAACTTGTGAGTAGTCGTGAAATTTTGTGACTCCATGCTACCACCAGTCTGTTCCAAATATGAATGGTTGTTGAATACACAAGAACTGTCCCAACAGTTTTATTAATGTCTTTTTCATATATAGTAAAACCAATTTACCGTATGTCAACCAATGCTTCCTGGGCAATAGTCCATGTCGATTATGGAAATAGTTAATCGATTACTCATTTGTTTGATAGGTATGAACATGATGTTGGAGGAAGTTATAATCAACCAGTGGTTTTGTGGACCACCCTACGACAAAGAGGAGACCTGCAATCCTCTCGCACATAATTATAACCCACAAGATTTGTAACTGAGAACCTTAGAAGGTTAATTAGAGGTGCAAGGACAAGCATGTGTCTAACACTCCATGAACCAAATTTTACTATGTTGTCAATTGTTATTTGGTCATATCAAAATAAAAATACACTAGTTGCCACTTTGGCTCTCCAGAAGTGCGTGCGCCAATATGGAGGTAACTAATCTTGTTCGCATACTATCAACTTGTGTAAAGGGACTGAAACCTTTAGGCAGGGGATATATGCACTTGGCTAACACAGACAGTCCCCGAACTCACAATATATCTAAAATAAGGAAAATCGGAATAAAATATGGCCTAACCCCAACCTGGTACTGTGGTACACACAGTACAGGAGTGACTGTTGTCACTTTGAATGCTGTTTCAACAGTATGACTTTTGTCATTGGAAAATATCTTACGTACTAATTAGCAAACTCATTTTCTAGGTTTTTTCGTCAATTCATCTATGTCGGTTCTTTTCATCACATGCATCACTGCTCTTCGTCAAATGTGTGCCACTCCTGTCCCGTCAATGACGGAGGGTGGGGCTTTGTGGTTTACGGATCTAACATCTGGTGACCCATATTATGCTTTACCTATTCTCACTGGTGCAGTGGTCGGTCTCACTTTGAATGTTGCATTGAAGGCAGGAACGATGCAGCGTGCAAGTGCAGTTGCAGGGTAACAAGGTTTTTTATTCTATTTGCATTTATACCGTATGGAACAGGGATTCCTCACCCCTCGTGGGTCGCGAAACAAATCAGTGGGGTTGTGGTACCCATTAATGTCAGAACTAGTCACACTTTTTCTTCCTTTTGCCTCTACTTATCTGCGTGAAAAATCTTTTTCACGTTAATTTTAGTTAAAATAAAATAGTGATTAAATTTGGAACCAGTGCTGAGACTCATCATCATCGAAATAGAGCAAAGATTTGATCTTTTGAGCGAGAATATCCAAGCACATCGGTTTCATTAAAGTTCGAAAAAATTGAGTGCCAAGTGGGTCATGATGATAAAAGTTTGAACAACACTGATATAGAATGTTGGTCGAAAATTGTAAAAGTAATTTCACTTTGGTAAGAACTAAATTGAAAGTAAACTGTATTTAAAACAGATTAGTTTGAGATTTTTGTCTCTTGATTAGTGGTATCAAGGTGCACATTAAAAATATTTGTTGGATTTAACAGTATGATATTTTTCCGCCATGAAATTTTTATTGTAAAACAGATAATAAGATGGGATTGGTACAGGATATTTTCCTGAGAAGTGGAGTCTGAGATCTTGACACCTAACAACTCCGGCTCTGACAAAATTTCGAATTAGCTCTAAACTTTGTGTAGACTAAACATTGACAAGAAAAACATTGGTATATGCATGTTCATTGCCTCTTGTCAAGTTACTAGTTTAGGATGGTCGGCTACATTATTTGCAATCGTTTTATTACTTGAATGATTCTAAAAATTTTGAATACAGTATAGGTATGTAGATTCTTATACCTTGAATGTTTTTCTCATTTCTCTTTACATTTGTACTTCTAGTGTCATGAAGAAATTACAGTATGCACCTATTGTTGCTTTTCCACTGCTTTTTGGGAACATGTCTTCTGGTGTCTACTTGTATATACTGACGACAAGTACTATCACCCTTGGGATGCAACGGCTGTTAGTTGAACCTCGAGTCAAGAAAATGTTGGATTTTCCAGTAAGTACAGCTTTATATCAATACCATCTTTTGATATAAAGCAGTCTGGTGATAACTCAAACTGCTAACTGTTGATCATGTTACCCATCATTCATCATAAGTTTTGTTAATCGACATTTAAACACAATTAGGCTCTATGGGTTGTTTTGCTTGATCTAAAAAATGTATTCCAAATTCAATTTTCTCTTATCAGAAGAGTTCCAATTAATTTTTCGATTGCTCTACAGGAATTCATTCAATCTGATAAGAAAAAACAGACTTTAAGGCAAATGATCAGAGAATACAACAATAATACTAAAGAGAAAACAAATTTAAAAGTGAAATTGAAAACGATAAAGCATGAAAGAAAGCAGAGAGCGAAGGATCTAAAAAAGGAACTAAAAGGCAAACCACCCGTTACATTTACTATTGGTGTGGAAGCCATGCCAGTCAAAGCAGAAAGCCTGATTTTGAAAGAGAATGGCGACCGCCTAGACCGAAAGTATTTGGCATTTATTGAAAATAGTTTACCAATTTAGTGCCCTCCATTATCTTTCTTTCCAATAAATATGAAAACAAGTTCTTCTACCAACTTATTTACATGATGCAGGGTTATATGCCCAGGGGTGTGCAACCTATAGTACAGGAGCGCCAGATACAAATAACTGGGTGAAACCGCGAGCCGCACCTTTATTTGACATAAGCTTTTCAGTAGTTGCAGGCACAAAAAAGCATTGTAGCGTCATAGGCGTAGATAATAAATTGGTTTTGGATATGGGCTTCGTAACTCAATGAGATCGCTCGCAAGTACCAGATTCAATTGAATTAAAATCTAATTTCGCAGGCCCAGACACCATTCAAAATTGGTACTTGCTCGCGGGCCGCACAATTTTTCCTTGCGGGCTGCAGGTTGCACACCCCGGGTATATGGTGTTGATTAGAGCGAGTATTGAAGTTGACAAAATTGAAAAGTTCAAAAAATTGTGGTTTCTTTACCTTCAATTGTTGGTCAACTAACTACATTTGAAATGATCATCCCATTGAACTCTGTTTATGTTATGAATTTTTGATAATAAAAATTGAATACATTTTGAATTCCCAATTTTAGTATGATAACTTGAATGAGATTTCAGAAAAATGTCATTGCTTGGCGTTTGGATTGAAAATGACCGTGTTACAACAGTTGTCTGGCTTCTTAAAACTCTCTTCGACCTGGTATTTTGTGACATTGCAGACAAACTGCCGTTTTGTGTTAAGCTTACCATAGAACCGTACCTTTTTGTGGGACCGAATTGCGGAAGTTACAATCTTGCGCGTGCCAAGGTCCATTGGTTTCCAACCATTTATGGCTCGCGGCCTCCTTCTAAAGGCTTTCCGCACTCATGGACCCTGTTCATCATTTCAGTGTTATTTTGATTGGCGTATTCCGAATCCCATTTTGTTCAAACAATTTATGCCCAACAATGTGAAAACGCCTTGTGAAATAATCCTACCAAGCTGATAAAACTAAGAAGAACGGGAAGATTTCTTTTGAAGTGAAAAGTAAAATCAGTTTTGCGACCAGCATTGTGGCCCCCAACTGCTCCCGGCCCTCAATTCAGAACCGCTGTGCTAAGCGTTGGGAATACTGTACCTCTGATTACCCAGCGGGTGTTCGAATCCCATTCGGGGGTAATTACCGTACGTGCGAGAGGATGGCTGGACTCCTCGGTGCCGTAGTATGGTTTACGTAATCGCTGGCCGGTAACGGCTTCCTCCACCTTCCAAGTCCATACATCTGAAAACAAACAACTGGTAACCGGACGAGAGGCTGTGGTTCGCCATATGATCAATATGTGAATACTTCGAAGGCTTGCACCTGGCACTGAACGACAGAGATGGCTCAGGCGATTTCGCCTCGATCGTCTCGGCTAAATAAATATGTAAATCTTATCCTTTCTTGACGCTGTGAACAAATATCGATCACTTGCAAACTCGTGCCTGCGATTTCTCGATAAGAGCCATAAGATTTTCATGTTATTCCGGGAGGGGGGAAGGACGCCTTGATCTTAAGTCGAACCACGGCCTCTAGTTCGGTTACCATGTCGGCTGCGCTAATGTTACCAGGTATCATTTATATCTATCTACTTGAAGGTGTGGAAAATCGAAACTGGCCAGCGTTTACGTAAGAGCGAGCAGTACTGCAATCCTCTCGGGCATAATTATAATCCACGGAATACCAACAAGCGCGCTCTCGGCGTTTAGCACGATGGCCTGTACAGAACACAGTCCAAGTTGTCTAAGATTTTAATATTTATTCCATACAATGTTTATTATCATATATTAAAAAAATTAAAGATCTATTTGGTACACACGACAATCATTCCACCACGTTTTGTTTAAAGTGGTTATATGAGTCAATTTTTGATGTGAAAGTGATCCATAAGAACACATATCTAAATGTGTTTATTTTTCTTAAATGTATGCACAACGTATCTATCTTAACGCTTTGAATAAAATAAATAACAGCAAAACTTATGAATGAGATCTACAATGAGTCGATATATATATAGACATGAATCAATTGAGTTTATATCCTGAAAATCGAGTGCAGGATGCGGGTGCTCTCTCTGCTGGTGAACTATTGTATTCCACGAGGCTGCCTTCATAAATTTTCATGTATACAGTATCGCCTTCTTCGAGTGACACTACCTCTGAAAACTGATATGGCCTGATATTTTCTGAGGTTGGGGGAGGTTGTCGCGGTGGTTCGGCGAACGGAGGTGGAGCATTCATGACAGGAAGTGGAGGAGGTTGAAATGCAGGAGGAGGAACAAGTAATTCTGTGTTGTCGCTGTCGTCGGATATTTTTTCTTCTCCACCGGATGTTACTTCCATTTCTCGCAGTAGCTCTTGATTGCGCATGAGATGGACAGATGTTGTTTGTCCTCCCCGGATACAGAAGTTCATAAATATGACGTAATTTCCGTTTGAAGGTACTCTGAAGTTTCCAATTTCCGGTTGTATGTATTTCTTTGCATCGATAATCTCTTGAGTAAATGTGAGCATCGGTGCTATACCGGCGGATATATCGTAATACTCTGTCAGATATTGGTCGTCTGGTATTCCGCCAGAATTTGGTGCACTCTGTGAATTCCTAGCTGCGTGTGCTACTCCGAATGCGACATCTGTATGCAGAAGTTAAAATATCCATATCAAACGTTGTATTCAACGCCATGGACCGTGCACTAAAGTTTCTAAACAACTGGTTAATATAAAGTATATATAGGATTTTTTTTTATCTAATAATGGAAGTTTTGCAGCTATTTCCAGTAGCCTATCCCTATGGCATCCGATATAACATTCTAAGAAATCATCACGGCCAGGCTACGAAATTTAAAAAAAAGACAAAGTATCCCTTACAATCGTTATTATATACAAATAACCAAAAAAGCAAAACACACCCTTGTCGTTGTCAACCTCCAATTGTACTATAGCCTTCAAGTAATCGTCGATTTCTTCTTTGTCCATCTTTTCGTCCGACATGGCAAATAGTGCCATAGTTTGAGCAGCGTTCGCAACTTCGCTGACTTTCTGCAGATTCTTTTTTACCGAGGATATCATGGACAATGCCGTTTCAGTTTCAGCAAAATTTTCTCCCAGCTCTCTTGTAACTTCAGACTCGCGAATACCGGCGACACCAATATGACGTCGCAACTGTGATTCGATGTTTTCAAATCTTGACGATTGGCCCTTTAGGACTTTGTTGAGGTAGTCTATTTGGGCTTGATTCTGTGCGCAGCAGGATTGATCATGTGGCATTGGTGGCGCAGGCAAAAAACCAACTAATTCGGGCGGTGGCTGAAATTTGAAAATAATAAACACATTTTAGAATATATATACCTTATACAATAAAAAATACAAAGTAGACTGTAGTACATTCAACTGTCCAGCTGAACTTTTTCTATTTCTTCCCCATGGGGATATGATATTTCAGTTTGCATTTCGAAACCACATCTTGCTTATTTACCTGCTCTATAGATGATGCCGATGCAGGACCAGCGGAATTACTGGTAGAATCTTCGGAAGAGGTAGCAGCAGCAAATTGTTCATCCTCCAGCTCTGAAACTCTTCTTCTCAAATTGTTTTGTTCGACCTGCATTCCACGTACAACCCACATCATTCCTAAAATAGCCATGGCTAAAACTATCACTGTGGCAATAAGAAGTCCAGTTTTCCACCCAACACCTGTTTAAAAAAACGACATTAGTGAATAAAAAAATGATTTTTTAAAGTGCTTATTTGGCGACTCAGTTGAGAATCTCAAGCTTTGTATAAATAAACAATGGACTCACAACATGACCTTTTCTTCTGCTTTGGATCTTCCGTAACGAAGTTGTCATTTGCAAACAAAGAATAAAATCTGAAAATATAATTTGCTACTGATAAAATGTAAAAAACAAAGTCTCCAACTGAGTTGTTCAAAAATACCAAATTTATTTACTACTGTTTTGATTGAGAATACTAAATATGATTGATATTAGCCGACAAAGCACTGTAAAGACAATCTTTCTTCTGCAACATAACTATAAGAGCGACAGTAGGCTTACAAGTGAAGAGAAAACAATGAGTCACCTCCCGTTTCCTTGGTATGTTCCAGCATCTTTCGTGCGCTTTTGTTGAGAATTTGACAGATCTCCTGCTCCTTTTTCTAAGAATATAAATAACAAAATATATTTTTTTTAAATAAGTTACTGACTATTACAAAATATTCTTTGTGCAAGATAAATTGTTTCCCTACTTGGCTTCTCACTACAGAACCTTGCGGCATCTCAATCGAGATTTCTTCGCGATTTATTCAACGAAGATGTTTCTTGTTTTTATTAACTTCGTTTTTTTTTTATTGTCGGAGACTTATGTACACAGAACAAACATATAATGAAACATATAAGGATGCCGTTACAGTTGAGATAATGTTAGTGTATACATACCGTTTATTTCCTTGACAGTCACTTTCATTTTTGACGCTTGGTTCTCAGTTGTAGGTCTGTAAATAACGGGTTAAGTGTTATTCAATAACTCATTTTTTGGTTGTTTTTTGTATCGTCTTCAACTGTAACTTCGAGCGCGAAATGTTGAAGATCTCGTCTTTAATTCATTGGTTTGGAACGGCTGTTCGACCATATAACTATGATTACGAACAACCTATGAAAACACCCTTCAAAAGGGCCTGTTTCCCATGCTCTCGTCTCAGTAATTCGTGGTTTACTTGTCTATTCTTTAGATCGGGACATTAAAAAATGTGTTCATAAATTAAGTAATATACTTCCACTCGGTCAAATAATAATTCTAGCGGATGAAATCGATCACTATAAATTGTATATTGTACTACAAACTTCTAAAATCGTCTGAAATAAATCTTTTGGGATTTATGCGTGTATATATCAAAATAACGTATTACCAAATTTAAATATAATGCCTCCGTCATTGAATCAGGCTTATGCCAAATAAGGAACACAAATACTCACACATCACATGACTGAAATGTTTATTGTCTACCAAGATTACCACACAATGCGACATGCATATATTCTGAAAATAATACTGATGTATTTATTGAATCGAAAGTAAAGGAAACTGACGCAAACGTGTTCGAATTTCAACCTTGTTTTTCCCGAGATTTTCAGTTCAGTATTAATTCAAATTTTGGTTAATTTTCTCTCTACAAATGGGGACAAGTTCAGAAATAAGTAAAAAGCTCTGCATATTTAAAAAGACCATTTTCAATGGTTTCAAATATATACACATATATATTATGTATATTGTTTTCTACGATATAGCAAACTAATTTTATTTCTTCATTTCATTCAATAATATTAGCATATGTGTAATAAGATGCTATTCAGATTTTATCCGATATTACCTAGCAGATATGCGCAAAAAACGCAATTTGAGGATTGAAAACTCGATAAAAACTCGATGCATTCATGCATTTATAAAACATTTTGATCTATGTTTTCTCAGATGTATTTCGACATTTATTCGATACATGTTATTGAAGATATCTACTAAATGGGACGGTAAATATTGTTGACAGGTATATGTGTCGTCTGGTAGCGGAAAATTTAGTGCCTAATTTGAGTCAGTTTGATATTGTAATAAATTGAAGCATGAATAGAATACTGAATTTAAATAGTAATCGAACATTGCTAATCTCGACCCACTACTGGTTATTCCAAGTCTGGACCTTGTGAAGTATGCGCACCAAGATGGCGCACAACTTGAACTCAGGTTGTGTACCAGTTTAGGGTTCAGGTTATGCGACATCTGGTGCGCATACTTCAGGAGTCCCCCAAGTCTTTTGTAAATGGTAAGTATGTAAAGGGGATAATTCAAAGTCACTACCATATGCGGTAAATGACCTTGATTCTGGCGTCGAGAGATGATCATCCCCATCGCACAATTAATAATCTGTAAAAAGGTGATGATTATGTTTGTGTGTTGTGATAAAGCATGATATTTGAATTGATTCATAGGCATGATATAGGAGTATCTGTGCGTTAAAATGACTCTCCGGAAACCTTATTCATTCTTTGACGTCATGACATCACAACTGAAAGTTTTGTAACTTTGAGAGACTATTCCATAAAAACTTCTCAGGGATTTCCACATTGCTATGGATGTGGAGTCATTCATTCATGTGGAATATTTTTGAATTATTGACACCAGCGCTGTTATATCATTTTTCCGAGTCTACTTTTATTGGAAACATCAAAATTGTATTGAATTTGGGGCCAAAATTCATATCCAAACATGTCGATAATTGTATCAAATAAACATAAATCAATTTTATAAAAATAAAGTACAATGCATAGATCAAAGGGTTTACAGGAACAGTAATGTATAAGTCAGAGTATTAGTATTAGCGAAATCGTTTATTTTCGTCGGATTAAAATATATTCTTGCAAAAGTTTGTTCTCGTCGAACTTCATTTGCACCAAAGTTTGTTCACTCAAAAATCATTTTCACAAACATTATTCTCGCGAAAGTCATCCAGCAAAATATTGCGCTAAATACTTCAACTAGTTATTCTCTACTGGAGACGAATAAATTGCATTCGAAAACCTAAGCGTTAAATTTTTACATAAATTAATCATATATATATATATTTGAGATTTTACTAATGATTTGGTTTCTGCAAGACTAAATACTTATCCTTCTTCTATAATCTATGCTTTTGTGCCGGCGTATATGTATGCATATAATGCAAGGATGCTGTAGCAAGAGTAAGGATAACTATCCTAAGTGATTCAAGTCTTGCTGCACCTTGGTCAGACGAAACGTTACAGAAATATAAATATATGTGTAAATATATGTACGAACGCGCGCGTCATAACGCTGTTATAACCCTTCATAACGCACTCCATAAAAATATAAAAGATAATACTGTTATGTAATTTCTAAGCCCCTAAACTGGATCATTGTGATCAAGAAAATCAGTGCTTTGGGCTCATTGGTTTTCGTCATTTACATCGTAAATGACGTGGACAATACAGTACGATATGTATAGAGTAATTTATGTACTGTACAGTATAATGTTCCGACTTACACCGAAATTCGGGTTACACCGCGTCTCAGTAACGGAACGCCGTCGTAAGTCGAGGACTCCCTGTAATGGTATTTTCACGCACCCTGCTACCTGCAGCACATTTCGATTTTGGACATGCGTTTTCTAATAATATGATGTAATAATGTGTGGAGTGAAAATATCTTTTTATTCAAACCAAACATATCTAAATACGCTACCTAAAAGGCCAACATATGTACTAGGCTATAATTGTGATTCGAAACAACTTTTGAATAATCAGGAAGAAGCGAAAATCTTGCAACATAATCGCATTATGAATTCAGTCAACTAAGAACAACAAATAGTCATAAGTTGTAATTTAAAATAACTAAGTACAGAAGCTTGTATATTGTTATTAAAATTATAATTCTTTTGTACATTTAAAGCATTTTACTGAAATAGAACTCACGGAGGTGTTCTTGGTGCAGGTGTTGGAGACGGTGATTTAGGTGCTACCACTTCGTCGTTATCGTCTGAATCGTACGTCAGTTTGTACATGTCTTTACCGTGGTCCTGTGGAGAAAGTAGTATATGCTGATCGCCCTTAGAATCCATATCTATAGATGGAGGCAGCCCGGCTCTCCATATAAATTTTCAATCGAATAATTATAAACCGTGTGGTAATTCATCGTTATATGTGAACTAATTGTGACGTCATTATGGCACAGCGTTTGCGCGCGGCGTGATATGGCGTATTGGTGATTTCATTCCAGAGGACTTATTCATAGGTTTTTAACGTAAATTTATATATTTGTAAAGTTAAAAATACTTCAGGCCATAAAAATAGTTACCGGTATATTTGCTTCGCATTCATCGTTTTTTTTAATAAGTCTGGATTCAATATAATCATAAATCTATCTCTCAATCAATATGTGTCATAGATTAATTGATTTTCTCCTAGTTTCATCGACACTGGTTACCTTCAGTTTTAGAGCGACGTCATAACCAATGAACGGTAAGAAATCAAATTACCATAGAAACCATTTTAGGTTACACGATTCGACTGAAAATCTGACAGAAATATGCTTTGCGTAAGCCAAGGCTTTTGCATGTTTATTTAAAGAGTAAACTCTATTCTGGTCATAAATCAATATCATTCCGAGTGACATATTTACCATTTCTGTTAATATTAATTCACGTTATTTAATTTCATTGAGAAACGATATAAAAAACATAATACGTATAGAATTAAATTTCTTCATCCATTTCTGGTAATATTAATTTGCGTTGAATAATTTCACAGAGAAACTATAGACATAAAACGTATGGAATTAAAATTCTTATTGTATACTTTTATGGTTACATGGATTTTTTCCCCGTTAACAAGAAACCATTAAAGTAATGTATAGTAAACTTTATAAAGCGATTACGAAACAGCCATTCAATACCCACTGAAGACTAATTTTACGCTGGTAATTTTTACTATTTTTCCAGAAAAAAAAATTGTCTTACAAAAGATTCCATAAAAAATACTAATTGCTAATAGGATTAAATATTAGGTAAAAGGCTTGAACAAAAATATCGAAGAACTAACTAATATATATATATATATAGCTACCAAATCAAATAGAAATGTATATGATTTACAAGAAGTGATTTAAGTTTCTCGTCGACTAACTATGTAATATTTCTCAGAGAAGCCCTAATGATTTTTAAATCAACACAAATTATTTTTTTGGTCCTGTTTTTCTATTGCTACCATCACCTTTCGGAACGCATGGACATTTATCCTCACGCTACAAATTTACAAGGAAGTACTATGCGATTAACTCGCCCCTTCTTGTGTTAGTACAATATATCCATGAAGAATAAATGTCATTCCATATCTTCAAATTGTTGAAACAGAAATTGAATAAGGATCAACTCAATGATTCATTAATAAAGAAGAAAAAAAACTTTTTTTTATACTTTTTATACTTATATACTTTTATACTTATACTTCGCGTACTTTTTTTTATATTTACCTGATGCGTGGATCGCAGTAATATCTACATCTTCATATAGATATATATATGTACATATAATTTTCTAATCAACGAACAAATTAAATATTAGAAATTTTTTATTTTGTAAATTCTAGAGTCAAAATTATCAACTCATTCACGTCTTGTGTCTAATAATGCAATATATATATATAATATCCTAGTAATTGCACTCACCACAAAAAGTTCCAGATGCTGTCTACGGTACGAACGAAATTCAAATGTTAACGATCTTACTTCAATCCAAAAGGTGCTAAAATACTATCACGTCATATTTCCAAATTCAAACCAGTCTTTCGTTATTCGTGGAACATGTTTCACCTTTCGTCTTATACCTTAAAATAAAATTTCGCTACCTGTGTACTGTTTCAGCTATTTTAATACAAAAGAATGACGCTACGTAATGCATTTACATCGTATCTTACGCCGGAAATTACGCAAGGAATGTGGCACAATACTATAGCAAGATAAAAAAAGTACTCATATTACAGTCACTGACGCCGTGTGCAGCTAGAACTAAATACATTCAAGTGCCATATTATATGACATGTACCATAGTTTATTGTTTACCCTTGGTTATGTAAAATCTCCGTGATATTTTGTGCCATCGACTCTCCACTACAGCAAGATTCTGTGTCGCCGTTCTGCGGACCATTCACAATTTACTACAGCATAAACGTTCCCATTATTCTTTCGCTGTACTTCCCGGCATTTTGAATACATGTTGACGCATCGCAAGTTATTTGGTTAACTGAATAATTCGAAAAGATTAGTATTTCCATATTCATCTCTTGGGGTAGGTAGAAAATTAAAACAGCTTGATAATATAGCAACTTATAGTATCTGGCCCTGCTCCACTTATTGGTTGGAGGTATGGGAATAGCTAATCGTCTATTTCTATATTTACTGAATATATATATATATATAGCTATATATATTCTGGAATGCTTAGAGCAGTGGTTCCCAACCTTTTTTTTTATGTCGCGGCACACTATTGAGCTCTTTAGATATTCGCGGCACACCTATCACAAAACATGAACATTTCCTATTCATAAGGCAATGTTGCTATAAAATAGTAAAAAACAAGGAAGATTAGATGAGGGTAATTTTAATCTTGTAAATACAACATACCCTGTATATAGTACCATGTATAGAATAATAATGGTGACTGTCAGTGGGACTGATACGCCTGTTGCAGCAATATTAGAAACATATTTCAACTATTGCCAAAATCTCTCAATAGTGTTGTTATTGGCACTTGCGAGGGAAATAAAAGAAGCAAACAAACTGTATTTCCTTACAACAATTAATTATTATCGCGAAAAACACTAAATAGGTTTAAAGTTGTTATGAACAATCTTCACGGCTGGACGTATCTTTTCAAGTTATGAAATTCGTGCAAGGGCCGAGCATAATTTGATGGCAAAGATCATAACATTTATTTATCATAACATGTGGAAACGCTTATTCGGCTTTTCAGAACGCAGAAACTATCCGGAAAAGATAACCGTTTTGTGTTCCAGGTATGAAATAATCGCCAATTCCACCACGCTTTCGTGAAGTAGTGCAATTCACTAAATTTAATGAAAGTTATATTATTAATTTTCATTGCATCAGTGTTTGGGCTACCACGCGTTTCGCCAGATTACTGACGTGATGACAGATGCAACAGTGGGCAAAATATACTTAATAATATAATATTTTGATCGAATCGAATAATTCGAATATTTTTAACAAATTGTCGAATATCGAGTATTTTTAACATATATACAACAGGCGACCAGAACGTTAGACATTCTAATATTGGTGAGCTATTTCTGCCCGTCCTCTTTTTTATTACAAGGACCAATTCTTACGCAACGGCGAACGTCAAAGTTTGGCTTTAGATTCATGGGAGAACTATGCCTTCATATCGGCGACATAATGTTAAAGACAGCTATTAAGGAGTGAATTCGGGATTTTATCTCAACTTTTATCTTTTGCCCCAGCTTTTCATCTTTCTCGTCACCGTTTGAAATTAACTGTCCCAATTCTAAGCTAACGATATTACAATCCTGATGCCGGTATGCGGACACTCATGAAGACGATAGTTGACCTTCTTTTGTTTTTCCTTTTCCTATTGTGCCTGTTTTATTTTAGTATTGAATAGTGAATAAAAACCCTGCAAAGTCATTGCGCGAATCCTGAATGTTATTTTGATATATGAATGTTATGCGTTCATATCGACGACATGTGTTAAAGACAGCTATTATGGAGTGAATTCGGGGTTTTATTCCGATTTCATCTTCTGATCCGAATTTGATCTTTCTCGTCATCGTTTTTAAATTAACTGTGTCGATTTCAAACTAATAATATTATCATTTCTGCGCCGGAATGTGGATATTTATAAGACGATAGTTGACCTTATTGGACATGTAGTGGACATAACGATCGTTTCAATATTATGTTGTTGTTGTCCTTGTTGTTCTTTGACACTTTTTGGACACCTAGTGGAAAATCTAAAAAGTCGCTTTTCTCTTTGATTACTGGACCAATTGTTTTGAAATTTTCAGTAGTTGAAGATAGAATGTTTTACCAGAAGTAGGGCTGGGCATTTTCGAATACCTGATGATTTCAGAATCGAATCGAATAATTTTTTCGAATCGAATCTCGAATACTTGGAAGGTATGAAATTGTATGTAAATTTCTTAGTATTTTAGGTCCTCCAGACACATAAATTACCGATAACATAGAATACATCACTGACAATAAAAAAAAAACACGTTTTCATCAATACCTCAATACAGAAAAGAGTCGTAAGTCAGAATTGTGTTGAAAAAATATGGCTTCGAAGAAAAAAAAATTGAGAAATTTACCTCGACCATTGGCGGAAAGAATAAAACAAGATGGCGGCGATTCGAAAATTTGCTCTAAACCGATTCGAATAATTTGCTATTCGATTCGAAAATTCGATTCGAAATGCCCAGCCCTAATCAGAAGGCTATTACTTTTATTTATTTCAAATATTTCTGTTAGCTCTGTGAGATTTGTTTTTGTTTTCTATGACGCCAGTGAACGTTCTGCGGACATCGGATGCCATTTTGTGTCCGACTGTACTGCTTCGCTTGGTTTGAATATATTTGTAGACTGTGATCTGACGGTACGGTAAACCCAAAGAGATCACTTTGGGTAAACCGTACTGTACTGCAAACAGACGTGTCCATATATTTGGGCGTAGCTCTTTTGTTAGGATTTTACTTTTCTATTGTGCCCGTTCTATAATCGTAATAAAAAGTGAATAAAAACCCTGCAAAGTCTTTGCGTATATCATGAATATTATTTTGAGTTCAATAGATGATTTGAAATATCGGCAATACTAAGAATTGAAACAACACGCGCAAATACGACTTATCAAATTTGTCGTTTAGGGATCGTTTAGCGGCCTAGGTACTGGATATATGAATAGTAAATGACATGATAAAACTTAACAGAATGACACCGAAAGATTGTTGTTGTTACTTAACGATACACGGCGCGGTGTTTTTTGGTTAGCGATCCAAGTTCGCCCCCCCCCCCCCTCCAAATTATGAAAAGTATCTGCCCCTGCGTTCGGTGTCGCTTGTCTTGCGCTTACACACACACACACCCCTCCCAAGTTATGCATGCACATACATCTACTAGTCTCATGCGAAAATATGATAACGAATGCTGCTTTCATTGAACAAGTCTGGGAACTATACCTAGAAGATATTTTGTTACGCATCTACCAGCGGAATTGGTAAATTTAGAAAAATATAAAAGAAGAAACATTAAGGCAAGCCTATTGTACTTTTTATATTATTTTTGAGAATAATATTCTGGGCTCGCAAAATGTTAGCGCGATCACGTAAAATGATCTTCTAGTTATAGAAAAGTAAATCAAATCATCAAGTTTATAGGGTGGTGTACATCCAACAGTTTGAACTGATGCCAGAATGTAAGTGGAAAAAATAATATTTAAGATTATTTTTCAGATCGTTTACACATTACGAAATCCAAAGGACAGGCTGGTATCATTTTTCAACTTTCTGAATGGATTTCCACTCCAGGTGAATTGACAAAATTTGCTACCGACGACTGGAACGAATATTTTGAACGAGAAATGAAAGATGACTGCATTTACAAAGCAAAGCAAAAAAGCGTTTTTATGTCGAAGCATATTTTTGCTTGAATAAATGGAATCTCAACTGTTAAAAAACTCTTTGTGGAAGCAAATTTTTTTTGAAAAAGTTCTACATATAAATGTCGCTAGAGAGCATCAAATATTAGGCGATCAATATTTTGATTGCAAAAATATATTAATTTATTTCTTTAGAGCCGTATCCTTTGAGCACGCGAAAAGGAGAATCATATTTGGATCACATTCTAAGTTGGCTGCCGCATCTAAAAAAAACAAAAATGCAATATTTATTGTGTATGAAGAAATAATTAGGGTAATCCAAATGGATCTGATTCTGGACGGCAATAACTGATCATTTAATCAGTCCACCTAAAGCTACCTGTTTAAAACACTACTTCAGAATGTTTGAATGAAATTTCATTGTTGAACAATATTTTTGGTTTTAAAATTTGACCACTTGCTCCAAAAATGAGATAGGTTGTTTGTGTAGAAATATGATCATAATAAAGTGTTTTAGTGCTGAAGTAGTATACCGAAGGATGATATGAAATACCATTTTCTTCAACATCAAGTTGATCAATTATTTTATATTAAGAATCCCTTTGCAAAAACAAAAGAGCTATCAGACTCCTGGGAGTAAAACTATCAGATGACAAAATAAATGAAATTGTCAAAAATTGCTCAATTGATAACATGAAGAAATCGGATATGGTATTAAAATCAGGAGATGGAATGAACCGCAATGGAATGAAACTATGCTTGACAGGTACGAATCCCCTCTCTTATTCAGTGATTTATAATTCATTCAGGAACTATTGGTAAATGGATAAACCATTTTACTGCGGAACATTCTGCTGAAATAGACGCATGTTGAAGAATAGTTGAAAAGAACAGGAATCAAATTTGTATATGAATACCTTTTATTTACGGAATTTTGATCTTATTTGAGTTATTTCTTATAGACTCATAGCGTACCTAAAGCACTTTTGGGGGCTTGAATTATTACATCACTTTGGCAATTGCTAAGAATTTGAATCTTCCGAAATGTAAATTTACTTTTATTGTCTAGTTTTTCGTATATTCCAAAATATATATTTGTAATAAATGTTAATTCAAATATATATGTTGATGGGGTGCATGTAAAACTACACGAGTGCTGTATGTACTCACTGTGAGTATATACTTATTATGCAAGTCTATGAAGAGTATTGATATCATATATATTTAAATACTTGCAGCTATTACTTATTTTATGGTGGGACACAGGCAGCGAGCTCAAGCGAGCTTATTCCTTAAGTATTTCAGATTATCTGTTGGTACCTGCCGTTTGGAAATAGTTTGAATTTTATATTCAATAGATCAAAACATATGGTGTTTTAAAGTTTATCGGAAGAGTATATAACTAATTTTTACGAGGAATTTTATCGTAATTTTCGCTGGTCAGAAGTATTGAATTATTATATACTTCATCATATATCATTGCAAACCAAGCAAAAAACGACTCTAGCATAGCCAGCGATTGAAAATGTTGAATCATAGGTCTGGAAAGCTCGTATTAATCACTTGTAACCAAGAGGAGCAATAACAGCTAGGGCCGGCCATTTTCGAATACCTGATGATTTCAGAATCGAATCGAATATTTCAATATATTCAACTGTATGTGGATTTTATATTTGGATGGATCCCCCAGGCACAAAAATTCCAGCAGCATGTTTTTTGACTCGGCTCAAGAGTGGCAAAATTTTTCATCAAGGAATACCTTCAACAAATACAATTCGAGTTGCTGGAAACAAATGCAATAAATATCATATTCAGCTTACAATCAATATATATATATAAGATAAATGATACGAAGTATCACAATTTGCAATTCTCATCACCAAACTGTCCTCTCATTTCATTCGTTGACTAACGTGGGAACGTAGGAATTTAAAATTGGAGATGAACCGAAACAAAGTTTGTATTTAATTTTGAGCTTTTGCCTGCCAATTCAGTGGGGACTACTGCAGAGTACGTATACAGCGCGCTTGCTAAATTTTACTTAGATTCAATACTTTAAACCAGTGTATATGAGGATAAAATTCCTCGTAAAAATTAGTTACATACTCTTCCGATAAATTTTAAAACACCGTATAATTTAATTTATTGAATATAAAATTTAATCGATTTCTTGGCAGATACCAACAGAGAATCTGAAATACTTTAGAAATAACGAAAGTCATGAAATAAACTAATATTCAATTACTCGTGGTAGTTACCGTGAAATAGTATATCAGCATACACTCTAATGAATAGGCTGTATTAGGTTAAAAATGAGTCACCAAGAATGATTTAACAATCAATTGAAAAAGTGGTCCAATCGCTTTTATCAAAATCGTGCATTTCTGTGCAATCCATTACTGAATATACCACATCGCAGCTTGCATCGGTGTAGAAAAAATAATACGAAATTCCACGATTTCCCATCAGCAAGTAATTCCGCCCTCGAGAGGCGAGATTTAATAACGTGCAATTCGAGTTATTGCGAATAAATTTTGCATTTATGTGTGATCTATTACTTGAAATAGCCTAAAAAATACCATAAACATCGTAATTTTGAAAATCGGTTTGTTAGCAAGAGCCGTGGTGTAGTTCTCGCGGAATAAAACGGATCGTTTAGCGACACACGGATTCCGTGCCCAAGTACTGGATGTATGAATAGTAAATGACATGATAAAACTTAACAGAATGACACCGAAAGATTGTTGTTGTTACTTAACGATACACGCCACGGTGTTTTTTGGTTGGCGATCCAAGTTCGCCCCCCCCCCCCCTCCAAATTATGAAAAGTGTCTGCCCCTGCGTTCGGTGTCGCTTGTCTTGCGCTTACACACACACGCACCCCTCCCAAGTTATGCATGCACATACATCTATTAGTCTCATGCGAATACTTTAAACCAGTGTATATGAGGATAAAATTCCTCGTAAAAATTAGTTACATACTCTTCCGATAAATTTTAAAACACCGTATAATTTAATTTATTGAATATAAAATTTAATCGATTTCTTGACAGATCTATTACTTTAAATAGCCTAGAAAATACCATAAACATCGTAATTTTGAAAATCCCTTCAGCATGAGTTTCCGCTCAAGAAAGTCGAGATTTTATTATTGGAAATCAATTAAGCGCATGTACAATACACCATGAAGTTTGAGTGGCAATGTTGAATTTAGGCGTAAGCAATAAAAATATAGTAATCAAATGACATGTTGCGACTTTATAAGTACATGCCTATAGTCTATATATTGACAAATATGGTATTTTTGGTATCGGATTATATATAAAAGCAAAACTTTGTTCACAACAATTCAAAACGTATAGTGTACCTTCTGGGTGCTTTAAATAAATTCCAATACTGAAATCGCACCTTCTTGAGCACGATGCCGGTGTCTCACCACAAAATAAGTAATTGATACCAGTATATATATATCGTTAGTCAAGTATGTACCGCATGCAAGGCATACGATGTTTACAGAAAGCCGATCAGTTTACGAAACAATATAGACATTAATGCATATGCTTCGAACCAACGCAGTATTTTATTATTCGGAGTAATTATTTTTGTCAGGGGGTTGCCAAGTTTGTTGTTGATATAAATCTCTTAATTACCGGTGAGTAAGATTTTGATCCCACAGCCCTGGCATGGTTTTGTAGAAAGCCACTGTCGGTAGTTGGCCTACGGCACAACGGTCAGGGAGTTAATTTCGCGTGAGGAAAGGAAACCGATAAATCTGTGTCAACAAATGAAACTATAGGGCAAAGCCAGCTAAATTTATTACATTTTAGCAATCGTAAAATTAATGTTATAACTGTAGGCGTTGTCGCACATAATAAAATGTGTTGTTAAGCTGTTTTTACCTTGATTCTTTCCAATACATTGTATAAATATGAAAATTACCATCCTTGCTTCATTGCAAGGTGGCAAATCGACAGTGCCACCGTGTTGCGAAAGTGGCCACGTGGTTGATATCTATAAACGTAGCGTAACATTTAATGGGTCTGTTTACTTAGGAAGTGTATTCTGCAACGACATATATGCTGACCAAGAAGGTAAATAATTGACTCGGCCAATGAGAACCGAAAATTATCGCATACTCTGCAGTGCTTTCGCGTGCATTTCTTAAATTGCGGGTATGGAAAGAGTCTGCCATCTACCAATCGGAGCATTAGGTCTATAGGTCTCGTGTAGAATTTATCTAGTGCGTGACACCACAACGAAAAGCAAGCAACGTTTCAAAGGGGTTGCGTTCACCTACGAGAGCGGTATCACTTATTGTCTTGCCAAACGGTGGTCTGGTTTTCTTTTTGAATAATAATTAGGTAGCCAAAACAGAGAGTCGTTATCCGAATACAATTTTAAATATTTAAAATAATAAACAATATGGCAAATCTGAAACAAGAACTACCTGAATGGTGCCAAAAAGACTTTGTTCCCTATCAAGATACTTTCAAATATACTCCAGAAGACAAAATAATTGAATGGAAAGGTCATTTCTTCGTTCCACAGTTCCATCCAGAAACAGTATCCTATGCTTTCGATCATCATGAACCAAGAGAAAACGAAGTGATGGTGGCATCGTATGCGAAAACAGGTTTGATTAATTTCTACAGATGAAAGGAATAGAAATATTACGGCCATAACAAGTTATTCGTTTTTAGGCACAACATGGACTCGAGAAATAATTCGTCAAATATTATATGGAAGAGACGAAAAACTTGATGACCTGACAAAAGATATCACTTTACCCCATTTGTATCTTGAATCATGTACACGTAGGTTACTGTAGAAATAAATAGATAGAAATAAATTGTCATATATATATGTAAAGTTGATGTAAATTGGATCCAAAGAATGGATGTTAAAACTCAGATGTTTCCGGTACATGACTGGGAGGCAACAATACCACCTTTAGGGGTCATCAGAGTCAGTTGCCACAACTTACATATCATTGTGTTGGATTTCCAACTGCCAAGTCCATATATAGCACAACATGGCTCCTTTTCATACACTTTAGGGTCGCTTTTCATTTAATACTGTGTAATATTCTACATAACGTCGCCATTTCAAAGTGATGATTTATATGTGTTGGGTCTCTTTATATATTTCAGCTTCCAAGTTCAACGTTATGCACAATATTCCTATACCTAGAAGATATTTTGTTACGCATCTACCAGCGGAATTGGTAAATTTAGAGAAATATAAAAGAAGAAACATTAAGGCGAGCCTATGCTACATTATATATATCATAATATATATCATTTTTGACAATGAAAATCTGGGACAAAATATTAGCTCGATCACTCAAGGTGATATTCCAGAATCTAAAATATATGTAGAAAAGCATTGAATATAATACTTTTGATTATATTTTAGATCGTTTACACATTGCGGAATCCAAAGGACAGGCTGGTATCATTTTTCAACTTTCTGAAGGGATTTCCACTCCAGGGTGAATTGGAAAAATTTGCTACCGACGACTGGAACGAATATTTTGAACGAGAAATGAAAGGTGTTTGTATTTACAAACTGTCATCAAAAAATACATTTTTATGTCGAAGCCAAATTTGCTTGAATTACCGAAATCTTTATAGTTAAAAAACTCCTTGTGTAGACACATTATTTTTGAAAAAGTATGGCTTATAATATTATATATAAATGACGTTAGCAAGTCTCGAATAATAATCGATAGAAATTTTGATTGAAAGTATAATATTTTATTATTTATTAGAGCCGTATCCTTTGAGAATGCGAAAAGGAGAATCATATTTGGATCATATTTTAAGTTGGCTGCCGCATTTGGAAAACAACAAAAACGCAATATTGATTGTGTATGAAGAAATGATCAAGGTAATCCACATGGATCTGATTCTGGACTGCAATAACTAATCATTTAATCAATCCACTCAAAGCTACCTGCTTAAAACACTACTTCAGAATGTTTGAATGAAATTTTATTGTTGAACAATATTTTTTGTTTTGAAATTTTAGCTACAAAAATGAAATAGGTTGTTAGTGTAGAAATATGAGCATAAGTGTTTTAGTACTGAAGTAATACTGAATTCTGATATGGAATACTTTTTTTGGTAATCTAAGTTAATCAAGTATTTCATATTAAGAATCCCTTCGGAAAAACAAAAGAGCTGTCAGAATTTTTGGGTGTGAAACTATCAAATGACGAAATAAATAAAATTGTTCAAAATTGCTCAATTGATAACATGAAGAAATCGGATATGGTTTCAAAATCAGAAGATGGAATGATTCGCAATACAATTAAACTATGCTTGACAGGTACAAAAGTTTTACAAAAAGAATGTTAGGTCTTATGAGATTATTTATATTTTATCCATATATATTTTTATTAGATAACTTTTTATGAAAATAATGTTATATAGTCATGCATTTGTTTTATTTCTCTAAATTCCTTTTTCTTAATTAGTCAGTGATTTCTAATTCATTCAGGAACTATTGGTAAATGGAAAAACCATTTTACTGCGGAACAATCTGCTGAAATAGACAGACAAGTTGAAGAAAAATTGAAAGGAACAGGAATCAAATTTATATATGAATAGCTTTTAATTACGGAATTTTGGTCTTATTTGAGTTATTTCTTATAGATTCCTAGCGTACCTAAAGCACTTTTGGGGGCTTGAATTTATATATCACATGCATAATTGCTCTTGACAATTGCTGTGAATTTTATCTTTCCGAAATGAAAATGTACTTTTATCGTTTAGTTTTTCATATATTTCAAATATATAGTTGTGAGTGGAAAAATATCTTAGACAAATCTTCATGAATATCTCATAAATAATATTTATATAATTATATGGAATATTATCCGCTTGTCAAACACATGTATTTGTAATAAATGTTAATTCAAATATATATGTTGATGGGGTATATGTAAAACTACACGAGTGCCGTATATACTTATTGTATGTATATACTTATTATGCAAGTCTATGAAGAGTATTGATATCATATATATATATATATATATATACTTGCAGCTATTACTTATTTTATGGTGGGACACAGGCAGCGAGCTCAAACGAGCTTATTCCTAAAGTATTTCAGATTATCTGTTGGTACCTGCCATTTGGAAATAGTTTGAATTTTATAAAACGGTGACCGTACATTTGAACTCATGTACATTTGAACCCATGCGTATATCCACGAGTTCAATCTATATGCGGGTGCTAAAACCCATGGGTTAGGGTTAGTATGGGTTTAACTATCCGTGAAACAAAAATAATTCCATAGGTGCAATAGCATACATGTGCAATTGTCATGGGTTCAAATGTACGTGGATTCAAATGTAATGGAACCGATCAAAACATATGGTGTTTTAAAGTTTATCGGAAGAGTATATAACTAATTTTTATAACTATTTTTCCCATAATGAAATCGGCTCTTTTTGAGCACGCTGCCTGTGTCCCACAACAAAATAAGTAATAGATACAAGTATATACTATATTTATATATATATATATAATACGGTAGTTGATTAGACATACCGTGCTAAAAAAGCGACTGTTATGTGGACGGAAAGTTGGGAAAAAGCCACGGATTGAAGTGGGCCTACGCAGTAGTGGGATTCAGCCGGTTCGCACCGGTTCTATAGAACCGTCTCACGGAATTTTATGAGATCAGCGAACCGGTTGGCATTATTGAAAAAAAAAACGTGACGTTTTGTAACAGAACCGGTAGACATAAAATTTGGATCCCACCACTGGGCCTACGGTACAACGGCCAGAGAGTAAATTCCGCGTGAGGAAATGAAACCGATAAATCTGCGTCAACGAGTGAAACTGGAGTGTCTCCAAAATGTCGTGTCCCACTCGGCCCACGTGCCCAACTTGTCCCATGTGTCCTATTTGACCCACGTGTTCAACTCGTCCGACGCGTACCAATTGTAACACGTGTCCCATTGAATATTTATAAAAAAGGTTTCTTAATTCAAATTTTTTAATTGAAATACTTACATTAAAGATATACCGATACCACTTTTATCGTCGATATCGGTTCCGATCCGGTATCGATACGGCTATATTCCGGCACTGATACCCCATATCATAACATCAATAACCAAAATGTTTGTGCTAGTTACTACGAGAAAGTCTATGTTGAATGAAAGTGCGTCCCGCGCTTTTACTCAGGTATTTTTTATCTGGCCCTCCTGCTTTAAAGGTTGCACTTGCACACCCTTGGTTCAAACTACTTGAATCATCGTAAATTGCTTAGCAACCTAGTAATGTTTTGCCGCAACATTTTTTTATTTGAACAAATCATAGTAGTTTCTGCAGACGTGTTGTTGCCCACAAGCGCACGGATTGTGGATTATGACGTCCCCAAGTGAATGAAATGTAGTGTTTAGTAATCGTCATACACAGTGCCGTACAAGTTTCAAGAAATTGAAGAGTAGCGGTATTTTAGATTGGGCGTGTTTGGATAGAGCAAGTTAGGTTTGATCGATCCAGTTTTACAGTTTATCGAAATCAATTTGGAACGCATATAAAAACAGTGCTCTATATGCGAAACGCCATGCAAAGCTTCCTTTTATTGGTGGGATCGCTATTTCTCCGAAAAGGGATATGACTTTGAAGCTGCCTTGACGCGCATCTTCACAAGTATGAGTCACCAGGCAGCTGTGCATCAGGAAAAGAGCACGTTAGAAACATACGGCATCAAAATATCTGGTATGAGACAATGCATCTCGCAAGAATCGAAAGTAGCAGACGATGTATCCACACTGCTCTTAAAACGACTACAACCTAGTATCCTGAATAAATATACCCCATTTAAAATATTGGGAGATGACAATTGCCTATATAGAGCACTTTCTCTTTCGCCATTTGGTTCGCGGAAATGCCACAAATTTTTACTTCTTCTAACGGCTATAGTACTCACCGACGTTATCGACGACGGCGACCGTACATTTGAACCCACGTACATTTGAACCCATGTGTATATCCGCGAGTTCAATCTATATGCGGGTGCCAAAACCCATGGGTTAGGTTAGTATGGGTTCAAATATCCGCAAAACAAAAAAAATTTCCATAGGTGCAATAGTATGCAGGTGCAATTGTCGTGGGTTCAAATGTACGGAAACCATCGACGACATATATCTTCTAACCAAAGAAAACAGCATACTGAGTCCCTCCTTGAATCTCAAATAAATACATCTCGTTTACTCGGGGTTTTTTCCGTATATATCTCGATCCTCTAATGAAAAAAAAACAGCTCATTCGCGAATTGTTTTCTCTTCATACATGTCGCCCAAAAGTTTTGTCCACATATATCTCATTCACCAGATATTTTGTCCATATATATCTCGTTTTCCTCATGAAACAGTCGCGGTGAATATTCGCTCGTTAAAAAAACGACTTTTTCAGCGAAACTTTTCCGTTGCGTAAAATATTCAACCCATGGCAATTAACTTAACTGTGTTTAAGGTAACTTGCGGTGGCGTATTTTTAATACAATATTACTCTAAAAAAACAAATTTAATATGTGGACATGAGATAAACTGTCTGGTTATATTTAGTTTCGATAGGTATGTTTGCAATCTTGCTAATTCGTTTTCGCCGTTAGATATCCGTATTTTTGCCCTCTGCGAATTAGAGAAATCTGTACTCGTAACACCGATCCGCTCTATCGCAATGCTTCCGCTCAGATTATTTTTAAGACATAACTGTTATAATCTCACGAAGTAAAATCTATTTTAGTACAATAAAACTTGATTGGATAAATTAATTTAACATCACAATCCGCCTCTCGATTTCAGTGATGGTATGATCTCTAATGCTAACCAACCACAATATGTGCCTAAGACGAAACAACCGACGATTTCAGCAAAATGCACGTGGTATTAGCGACTAGTGGGACACATGGGAGAAGTGGGATACGGGAAACGTGGTACAAGCGGGACACGAAATTTTGGAAACATCGGTGAAACTGTAGGGCAAAATTTATTACATTTTGGAAATCGAAAAATTAATGTTATAACTGTAAGCGTTGTTGCACATAATAAAATGTGTTGTTGGGATGTTTTTTTTTACCTTGATTCTTCTCTAATACATTGTATAAATATGAAAATTACCATCCTTGCTTCTTTGCAAGGTGGAAGATCGACAGCGCCATCGTGTTGCGAAAGTGGCCACGTGGTTGATATCTATAAACATGGCGTAACATTTAATGGGTCTGTTTACTTAGGAAGTGTATTCTGCAACGACATATATGCTGATCAAGCAGGTAAATAATTGACTCGGCCAATGAGAACCGAAAATTATCGAATACTCTGCAGTGCTTTCGCGTGCATTATTCAATACCGTAACTATACTATACAATACCATAAAATAGCAGTTTAGCAATTAGTGTAAAGATTTTAAAGCCAGTTATTGTTGAGTGTTATTGGACACGTAGTGGACATAACGATCGTTTCAATATTATGTTGTTGTTCTTGTTCTTTGACACGTTTTTAAAAAGTCGCTTTTCTCTTCGAATACTGGACCAATTGCTTTGAAATTTTCAGTGGTGAAAGATTAATTTTTTTGCTAGAAGGCTATTACTTTTATTTATTTCAAAATTTTGCGTGAATTCTATGAAATTTGATATTTCGTCTAAAATTTTGCTGTATTATTTTTTATCCTTGAAAACACGGATTTTAGTCAGTGTCATGACTGGCTGTACGTTTTGATTCTGCAAAATTCTTACTACTGGAAATTCAGAACTTCTTTGAGGGTACCGGTAGCGTCAAAGGTACCGGTAAGGACTGATTCGCTCTGGTCTAACGTGTTCATATATTTGTGCGTAGCTCTCTTGTTGCTTATGACTTAGTGTTCAGTTTTGCTCTGAGCAAAATTTTGTTGTTGCCTGCAAAGCTTTTTTTCTTCTTTTTTATTGAATCATGGAGTTGAATCATTGAATTTCTGTTTCAAAAATTTGAAGATATGAAATGACCTTTATTTATGGCCCTTACTAACAGATAAAGTAGGCTACTTCATTGTTTCATACCAAAAAGCACATAGATTCAAGTTACAGCTATTTCGTATTTATTTATTATCCTGCTTTCATGATATCGGACTAGAGTAGTAACTAAGAAAACTAAAAATCTTAAGTGTGTAGTACAGGAAGTTATAGTGATGAAGTTCCTAGAGATAAAATCGTTTTAATATATCCATATTTGTGCTACATTTAACTTGGCGTTAGATACGTTTGTGATGTTTTAACAAATGCAAAAAGTTGTAGTCTCAGAACATTAAAACGTTATTTTTCGTTTTGCATATTAATTAGGTAGCCGAAGCATATCCGAATGTAATTTTTATTAGTACAAATAATACACAATGTCAAATCTGAAACAAGAACTACCTGAATGGTGCCAGAAAGATTTTGTTCCTTTCCAAGATACTTTTGAATATACTCCAGAGGACAAAATAATTGAATGGAAAGATCATTTATTCATTCCACAGTTTCACCCAGAAACAGTATCCTATGCTTTCGATCATCATGAGCCAAGAGAAAACGAAGTTATGGTGGCATCGTATGCGAAAACAGGTTTGATAAAGTTCTAAAGGTGAAAGAAATATAAATATTACGACCAAAACAAGTTATTCATTTTTTAGGCACTACATGGACTCGAGAATTGATTCGTCAGATATTATATGGAAGAGACGAAAAACTTGATGAACTGACAAAAGATATCACTTTACCTCATTTGTATCTTGAAACATGTACACGTAGGTCACTGTAGAAATAGATTGTTTTTGGACACGTAGTGGATATAGCGATCGTTTCAATATTATGTTGTTGTTGTTCTTAGTGTCCTTCTTCTTTGACACGTTTTGAAGAAATCGCTTTTCTCTACGAATACTGGACCAATTGCTTTGAAATTTTCAGTGGTTGAAGATAAAGTTTTTCTCCAGAAGGCTATTACTTTTTTTTCGCTATGACGTCATCAAAATTATTCCCACTGGGTGACGCTACGTGTCCATATATTTGAGCATAGCTCTCTTGTATATATATATAGAGAGAGAGAGAGTTTATTTCATTTTGTCAAACCAAGAAAACAATATATGCTAGGATGATCATCCTTTCAAACCCTGAAATGAGGACACATCGTTTGGTAGAACCATAATCCACCTGTGCCTGAGATATATATATACGTTATATATCTACTAAATTGCAATAATGCATTCTTGTCTTGTCAACGAGCAACCGTAATGTAATTAATGCAGCAAGTAATGCACCCAACTTCGCTATCAGTTCGATCACTACTAAATCTTAAGCATGGATACTTTGCTGTAGTTCCTGGGTAAATAAAGGTTTTTCTTTCCGGCATAATTTACTGGGTCTACTGACGTAATTTTCTGCTGAGATTAAAACTTCATCAAATTGCTAAATACACGATGAAATGACGTAAAACATAATTGCAGAACAACACGATTTTCACGTAATGAATAGGTATGCATTTAACCGAGAGCAGTGATTCTTAACTCTTGCGGGACTGCAAAACCCCGAACGCTCTTGTGCAAGCTCCGTTTGAATCCCATTCAATGTTTGAAATTTGGAGCGCAATTAGAACTTCACGAGCCAATTTCAAAGTGATGAGTTATGTGTGTTGGGTCTCTTCATATATTTCAGCTTCCAAGTTCAACGTTATGCACAATATTCCTATACCTAGAAGATATTTTGTTACGCATCTACCAGCGGAATTGGTAAATTTAGAAAAATATAAAAGACGAAACATTAAGGCGAGTCTATGCTAGTTTTTATATATATCATTTTTGATAAAAAAAAGTAATGGACAGAATGTTGGCTTGATAACTTAATTAAAGTGATATTCTAAGAATAGAAACGTAAAAGTACCTTCACATTTACCACGGTGAAACAATGCTTTATCCAACGATTATCGAACCATTTTGAAATGAATACAGATTGTAAAAAAACATTAAAAATAGTATTTATGGTTATTTTTCAGATCGTTTACACCTTGCGGAATCCAAGGGACAGAATGGTATCATTTTTTAACTTTCTGAAGGGATTTCCAGTCCAGGGTGAATTGGCAAAATTTGCAACCGACGACTGGAACAAATATTTTGAACGAGAAATGGAAGGTGGTTGTATTCATAAACTGTAAACAAACAAAAAAACATTTGAAGTCTATTTTTACTGGAATAAATGAAATCTTTACTGTTAAAAAACTTTTTGTGAAAGCAAATTATTTTTTTAAATTCTAACATATAAATGTCGTTATAATGCATCAAATAGTAGGCGATCCATATTTTGATTGAAAAGTATATATAATATTTTATTTATTTAATTAGAGCCGTATCCTTCGGCCATGAGAAAAGGAGAGTCATATTTGGATCACGTTCTGAGCTGGCTGCCGCATTTAGAAAACAACAAAAACGCAATATTGATCGTGTATGAAGAAATGATTAAGGTAATCCACTTTGATCTGATTCTGGACAGCAATAACTAATCATTTAAATTCAAGACAAGCCATCTACCTTAGTGGTGCCTGTTCAAGGCACTACTTTAGAGTGTTTGAATGAAATTTCATTGTTAAACAATATTGTTGGTTTTGACGTTTTACAACTTGCTACAAAATGGGACAGGTTGTTTGCATAGAAATATGAGCATAATGAAGTGTTTTAGTGCTGAAGTAGTACTGAAGTGTGATATAAAATAGCATATCTTACGACATCAAGATAATCGAGTATTTTATATTGAGAATCCCTTCGAAAAAACAAAAGAGCTGTCAGAATTTCTAGGAGTAAAACTATCAGATGACGAAATAAATAAAATTGTCGAAAATTGCTCAATTAATAATATGAAGAAATCGGATATGGAATCAAAATCAGAAGATGGAATGATTCGCAATACAATTAAACTATGCATGACAGGTACAAGAGTTGAAAGTAGAATTTTAGTTATTATAAGATCATTCCTCACTAGCTGTATCTTGATATGTTCGTTATGAAGTTGTTATTATATCGTCATGCATATGTTTTATTTGTTTAAAATCTCGTTTCTCATTCAGTGATTTATAATTCAGGAACTATAGGTAAATGGAAAAACTATTTTACTGCGGAACAATCTGCTGAAATAGACAGACAAGTGGAGGAAAAGTTGAAAGGAACAAGAATCAAATTTATATATGAATAACTTTCAATTACGGAATTTTGTCCTAATTGAGTTATTTCTTGTACATTCCTAGCGTACTTAAAGCACTTTTGGGAGCTGGAATTAATGCATCACAAGCATAATTGCTCTTGGCAATTGCTGAGATTTTGAATCTTTTCAAAACGAAAATGTACTTTTATCGTTTATTTTTTCACATATTCAAATATATAGTTGTGAGAAAAAAAATATCCTGAAAAATCTTATCTCATCAATAATATTTATATAATTATATGGAATATTTTCTGCTTGTCAAACGCATGCATTTGTAATAAAGGTTAATTCAAATATGTTGATAGAGTGTATGTAAAGGTGCTCCCGAAGTATGCGAACCAAGATGGCGGACATCGGAACGTAACAGGTTAGGGTTAGGCGATAATTTTTTTCCGATTTTCCTTATTTTAGTCCTATCATCAGTTCAAAGACTAGCCAAGAGCCTCCCGTACTATTTATACCTAAAATTATGGCCTAACCCTAACCTAGTACACATATTACATTCCGATGTTCGCATACTTCGGGAGCCCCTATGTAAAACTACACCACAAAAGTATCGTATGTTCTTAATGTATGAAAATACTTAAGATGCCAGTCTATGAAGCGTAATTAATATACTGTATATATATCGTGAGTTAAGTATGTACCGCATGCAAGTCATACGATGTTTACGGAAAGCCGAGCAGTTTTCGAAACAAAATAGACATCAATGTACATGCTTTAAACCAACGCAGCATTTTTTTGTTCGGAATCATTATCGTCGTCAGGGGTTGCCAAGTTTGTTGTTGATATAAATCTGTTAATTACCGGTAATTAAGATTTCTATCCCACATCTTTGGGATAGTTTCGTGGAAAGCCACCGATTGCAGTAGGGCTAGGCCTGCGGTACAACGGTCAGAGGGTAAATTCCGCGTGAGAAAGGGAAACCGGGAAATTTGCGTCAACAAGTGAAACTGTAGGGCAAAACCAGCAAAATTTATTACATTTTGAAAATTGTAAAATTAATGTTGTACTTGTAGGCGCTGTCGCACATAATAAAATGTATTGTTAGGGCTGATTTTACTTTAATGCTTCTATAATATGTTGTATGAATACAAAAATTTACATCCTTGCTTCATGGCAGGGTGGCAGATCGACAGCGCCACCGTGTCGCGAAAGTGGCCACTTGCCCGATATCTATAAATATGACGTAAGTCACATGACTTCGGCCATCGAAGTTCCTGTTTCGGGGCTTTTAATAATTTCTACTCCGGGGAAGTTTTTGACGGCTGGCTTACGCTTCGCTTTAGTATATTCATTTTTATTTTGTGGAACGTGTTTCCTGGTCAGGTGAGAAATGGAACCATACGGTATTTAGCCGCAATGCGGTGTAACATTCTAGTGGGCAATATTCTGTTATTTCAGCTTGAAAAAGAGTTATTCCTGACAAAACTGTATGACTGTAATAAGAAATTGATGTTTGTGATCCAGATGTATTTTGTACCGACGATGGTACTGTACCGTACAGCCGTAGTACAGTACCTGGAAAACTTATAAGCAGTATGGTACTTATAGCTACTATGGCAGTATGGATTGTGAAATAAAAAAATGTTTACTTATCATATCAAACTGATAGATTGAGAGCGCAGGATTTTGTGCCCATATAACATCCTATTTTACACATTCAGGCATTGGAAAATTCACTAATATTCGATTGATATATTTCTTCGAAATTGAAAATGTCAATATCAAAATTTGGCATCGGAATTAGTTGAGCTATATATCTTAAATATCTGTCTATATTTAGCCAATACGGTACCGAATCAAATACGATACCGACGTTCAACCGAGTCGATGTTGGTAATACAGATACACCGGTGCTTTTTAATACAGATAGGCCTATATACACTACTGCACTATAAGTTGAGTATGTATTTTTTGTCTGGATTTTCTGTGTCCAGATATCTGGACATACAGACATAGAAAATTTGTATGACAAAAGGATGGAATTAATAGTGCTTTTTCGTTTGTTCCCTTTAGTCATTTACACCCCAAAACAATGTAGTAGACGAAATATAAACGCACCCAGTAGCAGCAGTAAACAAAGATTGAATGGTCAATTGAAATGTGCCATTCTCTCAGTGTAACAAACTTTTCATAGCATGAAACGTCGCTTTGTGGATATGATGAATTTATGACAGCAATATGTCTAGTCAAAATACAGTATACAGTTCTATTGGCGCATGTTCACTAAACGCCGTAAGTACTTCTAGTTGGCGTGGCATGAACATTTTTGCATATGTTATTTGTAACTCCCACATGACTACGTCATCCAAAAATTACGCCACTACAGCATCACAATCACGTCATAGAACTTACCAAAGAGAAGCTACGATTGGCGGAGATGCCACGAACTGGCTAACGCCTGCGATCTCTCTCGTATGGGATCGTTAAGACAAGAAAACGAGGAATAGCTTGCTTGATTTCGGGTGATCGTCTGCACGTTTTAGATGCCAATCCATATACTTTGACAGGCCTTATTTTATCACTGTCAGGTTGTAATGATGTAATTTTTGGATGACATAGTCAGGTGGGGGTTGGAAATGACATATGCGAGAATGGTTATGACACGCCAACTAGAAATGTTCCAAATAATTATTTTCATAAAATTAGCCCTAATCTATATATTTAGAATTTTCAGTTCTTGATACCACAGTTCTTGATATAATTTATCACTACTGTCATTGGGCCTTACGCCCAGTGGCAGAAAAGAAAACTACTTCAAGAGTTTTTATTAAAAGCTTTTTGTTATTACAAAAATTAAAGAAATGGATTATCCAACACTTAACAAGCGTACTAAGCCAATACCTGGAGGAAGTACTGAAGAAGAGTATCGTCAAGTTATGCGTAAAATTATGGAAGGTTTAACAACAGAAAACCTTGAAACGGTTTTATTTCTTTGTAAGGATCATATTCCTCATGGAAGGGAAGTTAAAACTACTCTCCAGTTTCTGAAATTTCTTGAAGATCGTGACCTTGTATCACAGGACAGTGCTATTTTCATAGCTGAGGTACTTCACATTATCCGCCGAATGGATCTTCTTAAAGTGATTCCGTGCATTAAAAACAAGCAACATTTTGAATCAGAATATCTTGCACTTACCTATTGTTCATTCTCTAACTACAGGGTTTTAACAGTTCAACTCCAAGAGCAATTATCTCAAAGGGATTTTGAAACATTTCGTCATGAATGCTCTGTTCATTTGAATGTTCGAAGCTTAGACAGTGCAACAAATGTTCTTCAGCTACTCAGAAAATTGGAAGAAGAAGATGTTATATCCCAAGATGACTTCGATCAACTAATCAAAATTCTTGAATGTATTGAGAATGTGAAGCCGTTAAAATTTTTTCAGAGATTACTCGATGGAGATGAAGCAGTTGCAGTGCCGGCTACAAAACAACCACAGAGAAATCATGGGCAGCAAGTTATGTACGCTGATCGTTCTAATGTTCAACCTAACCCGTCCCCGGCGCCGTGGCCTGAAAATACTGGAAGAGTTGAACCTATGCCTTTTGGCCAACCACCCAAGTATGAATCTATCCATGGGGTTCAAACATGGCAGACTGGAAGTTTTTACGATGAACCAACACCGGGAAAGTCTCACGCTAAAGGCCCTGTAAGATATGAATTCGATAGGCAAGGTAGTGCCACAACGTTTTCCCGATCTAATGCCAGATGGTTTCAGGGTGAGGGGGAAGTTACTCCCAAGCAGTTGGTTGGTGGCAATGCCAGATTCAACAATGCTCATCAGTATCAATCTATGCCTCCTCAACATATGCATCACCCGCAGTTTCAGCGCCATACAAGTGAAAATTCTGTGTTTTCTTCCATGCCTATAAATTTTGAAAGATCTCCGCCACATTTTGCAGAACAATTATCCGACACATCCCCTGAACCACTTCCTGTGCGTCATATCGAAACTTATCCACGTTTCGAACGGCAACATGGTTATTTTGAATATGAGAGAAATCGACGTTCAACACCAAGCGTTGATGCCCCGCAAGTTTATGCTTCTCCGAGCATTTTGTCTCATCATCAACCGGTTTACCCATATGGGGTAATGCAACCACAGGCTCAGCATATGCACTATCAAGTTATGCCTCATACAATACCCCCACGTATTCCTGAAGTTGTAAAAGAGCTACAGAACCTCTCAATGAACGAGAGTGATGCTGTTAAAGATGGTAGTAGATATATTCCTGTTGATGAGACTGAAATAAGTGTTTCAAATAAAGAAATTGGTGATCTTGCTTCACCCAAACAGCAGTCAAGTCCAAGTTCCAGTCCAGGAAACGAGAAAACAATAGAAGAGCTGCAAAAACGCAATAAAGAATTAGAAAATTTTATGTACGAACATAAAGTCGCTGGATCATACAAAATGGACAGCTCTCCTGCTGGTATATGTCTACTGATTAACAATGTGAATTTTGAGAAAAACAGAAAATATGAAGAGCATGATCGAAGAACGAAATTGAATGAACAAATTACCAACCCATCTCAAAAACAAAGCCTCCCAAGGCTGGACTTGAAAGACAGAGCCGGTAGTAATATTGATGCTGATAAACTAGAACGGTTGTTCAAAAATTTTGATTTTATTGTTCAGAGACACGATGATTTAGATCAACGAGGTATACTTAGGGTCATGAAAGAGGTGAGCTCTGCTGATCATGCAGCCTACGATTGCTTTTTGCTTATTATTTTGTCTCATGGCGACAATGGATGTGTCTTTGGTGTAGATGGATTTCCAGTGAACATCACAAAGATCCAAGATTACTTTTTTGCACAAAACTGCAACACTCTTGTGGACAAGCCAAAGATTTTCATAATTCAGGCGTGCCAAGGCACCAAAAAAATGCCTGCTGTTGCCCCTGATTCTGATATTATGCATGATGGTCCTCAAGCTGAGAACAACACTGTTCCAAACAAGGCTGATTTTCTTGTTGCATTCTCAACAGTGCCTGGCTTTGTATCATACAGATCCCGGTTAGCTGGATCATACTTTGTAAAAGAAATTGTTCAAATTTTCAAGAAGCACTTCGAACGTCAAGATTTACTGAGTATGATGATCATGGTAAATGACGAAGTGGGAAAATACGAAAACAAACAAGTTCCCATGCCAGTTGCAACACTTCGCAAAAAAGTTTTCTTTCATTTGAAAAAAGATTCTGAGCTCAGTGATGAAGAGGATCCAGAGCAAGATGAAATACCTGGTCCTGAAACATCTGGATTACAGTTGAACTTGGACAGAATTTCGGAGGAAGGTGCAGTCGGTGGTATTGGCACGGCATCTACGATTCCGCGAGAGAGAGTGATGCAAAGCATGCAAGAATCTGGGGAGCAAGATGAATAGATTGAAAAAAGTATTTTGTAATACTTAAGCGTTGGGGGAAGTATGACTGAACTATAACATTTCAAAAGTGACTTGTGATAATGGTCGTATCGCTTTTTGTAGCGATGCTCATCAGCTGTAGTGATCATTTGCTTCATGCATGAAATTTTATAACATTTGTTATTTTGGGACAACTGTTGGAATTTGAATCAGTTTGAAACAGTTATTCCAGTATTTTGCTTTTTCAATTTTCAAACTGCTGACACGCACAAAATGAGTTTGCAGATTTGACATAAATCATGATGTCAGGTATATGAACAGATAAATACAACATTTTATATAATGATGGATAATACGAAATATGTTCCATACATCGCTGATACATATGTATATATTCAGTTTCTTATTATTGTGTGCTATTTGCTCTGTTACATATTTCAAAAATCAAAATTTTTTTTCTCATGTGATTGATGATGCAACATAAAGGCATGTAGATATTCATCAATCTTGTGATGTTTTGAATACTTTTGAATACCAGAACAAGTACAGCTTTGAAACCCACACAATTGCCCCTGGTCCATAATGACGGAAGATAAAAAAAAAGTCTGTTTTTGATAATGTGACACAATCTACTTTGGTTCACATACTTCTCGTGATAATGCCTTTAATTAAAAATCTTGATACTTGCGAAACATGTATCAATTATAACATCATAATAACAATCACTTAGCCGCATGTTTTTCCTGTTAAATTCATTTTTATTTATGCTTTTATAAAACCACACAGACTTTTGGAAAGGTATATTCAGATATGAATAGTAGAAATAGCCTCATGACCGAGTGACTCAATGTTCAAAGTAGTTGGGTTTCCCAGTGTCGTCCTTACTTTGAGGAAATGATTAAGTTGATGTAATGAAAATTTTAAAGACCAGTTTATTTAAACAAGACAATAGTCATTGATTTATACAATGCCAATTATGATCAGTTCTCTATGTCACAGGTTCAGTATAGTTTAATATGAATGGACAAAACCATTATTAAAATTTATTTAATGCAATCCCATTACTGCTCAATGAAATACTGTATTTCCCACTTGTTATGTGATGTATTCCACATTTTTCTTGCTGTTTTCGCAAACAATCCTTTGTATGCTTTGTCTGACTGTTATTTTCCAGCATGACCATAAAAAAGTTTGAAAAACACTAAAAACATAGTTTAAAAATTATTTTCGTACATGTTGAATCTTGCTTCATTTTGTCGCATATATAAATAAGCCATTTTGACTAAAGTGAAAAATCGGGAAGATTTTAATACACCTATTTTTTTTTATTTGCAATGAGTATAATTGCTCATTTATGTTGCTAGAATTTGGTAGGTGTGCGCGAAATTATTAATTTGAATGATTCTATATTTGTATTATTAGTGAAAATTCAATTTGTACAAGAAGCCGCAGATATTTCATATTATATTCTTTTCCTATCCCTAGAGACACAAAACTATGGCATGCTTTTGAATTCTGGTCGGTGTATTTCTAAAATAATGATAATCTATAGACCTCACAATATGTCGTCGGTGAAATCCCACCGAAATAACTCAGCTCTTATTGTAACAGCCATGATCTTTGTTTGTTGGCCTTTTCAAAATCGCTAGACCGTTTCATGAAACCGTTGTGACTTTCGGTTGATTAATCTTGTTCTATAGATAAAATTGTGATGTAATGTTGTTTTTCATAATGACTTTGCTTGGTTTTCCATTTGTGTTTACCCTGACTGGTATGTGGCTTTATTTCATCATTTTCTCTGACGTAAAAAGGTGGATCTTGTACAAATATTGACTTGATATTCATTTGTGTGTTTAATAATTAACGATTGTATTCTGATTTTGTTTGCTTGGTGTGCACTGTTCTGGTCTTCTTTCGTTTAGGCAAAACTGTATCTTGCTTGGGGTATTCCTATCTCATGATGGACTGAGGAATCTCTTATTTATCATGCAAATACATGTGGACTAATTTTGGTCCAGGCCTTGAATGTTACAGTCCCAGTGCAAACAGAAATTATTTGGTCTATCAAGAAATTCAACTTTTTTTTTTGTACCTTGACTAGATCATCGACTGAGAAGTACTTATGGCGTAAATGTAAAAATATCATTTTGCCAGTCCATGGGGATGCCCGTCTTGTTTGAGATTCTGCATCTGGGGTGTAATTTTCAACTAACAGCTTTGTTATTTCCTGTCCTATGTATATTTATTGGAGATGTCTTCCAATAAAGGATAACCAATATTATGATTAGAACTTAGAAGTATGTTTATTTCTACCCTTTTTTTTCAAGTCAACTTTTTGTTTTTGCTTAGCCGTAGTGAAGCTTTGCATAATAAATTATATATAAAAAGTATGCTGATTCGAAACTATTAGCCTGCAGCTCAGTAGTTCCCAACCTGGAGGTCGTTGCGAAACATTTTTCAGGAGGTCGCAAAACAAATTGCTTTCAAGTATGGACTTTGCCTTTAAAATCTATATTAATCAGTGGTAGAACACATAAAAATGTATATAAGCGAAAATCGGTTTACCTAAACCTAAAATCGAAAGAAGGTCTACCACTTCGGAATACTCCTGACAGCATAATATCACATCTGTTGGCGACACGCGTTTCAGTTTGGACACGGTTTCCGCCATTTTTTGTTCAATTTCTCCTTGTGCCCATTTTGGAACTCTATATTCCTCCCTAGTCCCAATGCATATACATTATTTGTTAAAACTTTAGTTCAAGTAGTTTATTGTGTGTTTATGAATAAGTATTATAGTGATAATAAATACTGAATAATATTAGGTACCAAAATGCAAAATTCTCTCGCTAGACTGAGAATTTGGGTAACATTGTCATAAGTCTTAGTCTAATTAAGTTTGCGGTTGCTTGAAATTTTAGCAGCTGTGACTGCTTTAAAATTTCTTCTGAAGTTATACCGGTGAGCAGGATAGGTTCAAGATAGCGGTTCGTACTATTCGTAAAAACCGTCTTTAGGCTTAATATCATTTGAATTCAGCATGGGTTCGCGATGTATTAGTAATTATCCAAAGTGGTCGTGACGCAAAAAAGGGTTGGGAACAACTATAGTGTGGCCGGTGATGGTATAAAATACGGTATCTTATTTGAGACTGCAACGCACATATTGAGTACCGGTGAGGTAATTCGTAGAAATCTTAAGGCGACATGGATATTGGCTCCGCCTCTGGGTTGTGTACCGCCAGTTAACAAACAACTGACATTATACGGTAGTACGTCTATTGTAAATATAAAAAAAACTGCCCTAGGTAAGAGCTTTGGCTTAGGGTATTGTCATTGTTTGGTCAACATAGATCTGTTTTTTCTACCCTGAAAGACGTAAAGTTAAAGCATTGATCTGAACTGACTGACACCCATGTAAAAGAACTGCTTCGATTAGCTACAACGACATACAAGCCAAATTTAAAGAGAATTGTTCAATCCAAGGAATGCCAGAAGTCCCACTATGTAGCATGCATAACAATAAATGGCTTGTAAGCTTCTGTCATAAACATGTTGGTTTGCGATATTTTCAATAAACTAGCATTCTGGCAAAGCTGAATAAAAGTATATTTGATGTTCATATGTATTCATGCTATAATGCGGCTCTTCGCAGTATCAAAAGTACGAAATGCGGCTCTTGGTCTCTGACTGGTTGGCCACCTCTGCATTAGAGTTTTCATTCTTTTCCAATGTGAGAAGAAATTCGATAAGACGACTTAATCACATGGCAATATAGGGCATGTCGTCCGGCTATCAATATATGTCGTTTATTGAAATGTCACCCAGTTATTCGTTTCATATGTATGGGCTGCGACGGTCCAGCAATTCTCTGTACATAACCATACTGCGGTGGTAATTTGCAATTTTGACTTGAAGTTATTGAATGATCAGAAAACGAAAAGTGCAAGCGATAAAATTGAAAAATAGGGCGCCATGACTAACTCCAGTGATCACCACATATCCTGTTGATGCATAAAGCACTCCAACAACACTAAAATCAATATGATCCACGTTCCAAAACCAACAACCCGAGTTGCACTTCCTTTCAACAATCCAACGTTGCATTTACCAGCTCCCATGCAGCAATTTGAACAGATTGTCATGTTTCTGGAATAAAATGTGTTGCGTACACATCGGATGAAAATGAAACAAAATAGATGACGTTACACCTCAATACAAAATTTCTCTTAGAATTAGAAAACGTGTGACCTCATTCACTATAACGTTCATTATGCGGTGTATTAAATTTAAATAATTCTACTTTTAGTTTTGAAAAACTCATTATTGACCCAAATTCCACCTGCTTATTAGCTTCGTTAACTAAAATATTCAAACATTGAATATTAATTGCTTAACAATGTAAACGGCTGATTGTAACTCCGCTATGGGTTAAAGTGGTTAAGGAAAATATTTCAACAACTTATAAAAATCAAAATGTTCTTGTATGTTCGCCCAAAAAGTATTTATTCTTGCAGGATGACTCTGTTTAGTATGAATAGATATATAGGGTGTCTCACAGATGTATTAAATGAGGTAAAAACAATAAACTTGGATAAGATATATTGAGAACTGAGTTTATTACAAAATTGAAATTGTAAAAGGACTTTATGGACACCCTGTATATACTTGATGTATGAATTTTTTATTTCTTTCTCCAATTTTGCCTGATGATGAAATAACTTGGTGAGAGTAAATGAAGGAGTGAACTTGTAGCACACACACCTCGTAACTGTACATTGCTCCTCAACATTTTGATTGTTGCATTTCGATATTTGACAACCTCGTGTGTAGAATACTTCATTTTTCTTAAGAGTTTTTGCTTTCTAAAAATAAAATTGAAACATGCGACATACAGATGTTTAATGAGCAGAATAAAGATTTTTTCTTAATTTTTCTGCTCTTTTGTATTGGAAATATAATTGTTTTGTTTGTTAATCCCAAACGCATTCCAAAAACGTTGAAAAATAATTTTTAGAAAAAAAAAAACAATTAAAAACATAATTGCTAGGAATTGTTTCATTTTTGATGGAAGTTTTTGCGATGAAGTTTTTTATGTATATTCTGTGAGCTGAAAAAAACTATGTGACTTGTGTCTATCAGCACTCATGTGATTAGGTTATTCAACGGAAACCGTCCTATGCATTTCACCGTCCTATGACCGTCACAGTCGCGTTTTCCTAATATATTGTCTCTCTCTTCCTTAATACTGGTAATGTTGACATATGTTATAATATGTATTAATCAAACTACACACCCAACAGTCTGAGTTTGGCATAAGGCATTGTTCTGAAAGTTTCTCATCAAATGTCTGAATGTCAATATTACATTTCGGTTCTTTTTTTCCGTCACATCTAACGCAAGTTTGAAGTGAATCTTCCGGTTTTCCCTAAAAATACAAAATCCGTCACGCACGTTTTGAATTGGATGGTCTTCTATCGATTGTTTAAAAAGCTCAATAGGCAAATCACATCATCAAATATGTTTTCATCAAGTTTGAACTCGAAGGCTCCTCACGGACCTTGAACTTGAATATAAAAGAGGTACAAGTAATTACACACGCGCTAACAGCTATATCTAAATATTATGCAAAGGTGTTGGATGATAAGGGTTAGTAGCCTACCTTGAAACAATTCAATTCAAAACTACCGGGATCGTGCAGGGTGAAATGGAATAGCATAAAACTTTTCTTGGGAGCCATTTACTAAATTGCATAAAAATATCTTTTGAGCATTACCATCAAAGAAATTTTTCGAGTTATGTCGGAACTATAATTTATTATAATTGTAAAGTATAGATTCCAGAGACGTCCTTGAGTCCAATTATTCCGGTAAACAAAATTCAATGAAGATGCAATTTTTAGTTGAACATTTCAAGTACTGTCCTAACCTTGAGAACTCCACCATTACACGAATCATGCAGACAGCATTTGTGGCATTTTTTGATTTCGCCGTTTTTAGACGCTCCTTCGTAATAACAAAATTCTTTGCCGTCAATATGACGATTGCAGAATACTCCTTGTCTCACGGAAGCTGGCTGAATACACCCCCGTTCATAAACTCCAGTTTCAACATCAAGTGAAATCTAGATATTTTTCAAGGTTTAGAGTTTTTCTGGGTTTGAAGAATTATCGTTTCGCCTACATTTCTCAACTAACACCCACGCACTCGCTCGGATGTGTGAATTTTGAGAGTTCAAAATTCCAAATAGCTGTAGATTCGAGGGATGTAGACCCATCTAAAATATTCACGCTAAAACGATATCACCTACATACGAAAGCACGTAAATTGTATTTGATGGATTACTAAGGAAAATTCTTTGTTTTTACAAATTGTACTGTTAGCTCACCATTGACCAAAATGACGTTAACTGATTGCCATAGTTTTTAAAAATAACGAACACAAATTCCGGCGTCGAAAGCTTGCCAACCCGAGTTCTAGATGAAAGTTTTCATCGGCTCCACGGCCCTTACTTGTTTGGATTTTAAAAGTACTTAATTGTTTCTCCCCAATTGCCAGTAAATTTTGGTCCAATTCCCTAAAATGTTATTAACAACCTTCTTCAATATACAATTAGCTCCAGAAGAAGACACAACACAACCAAACCGACTCCAAGTTCAGAAGCCCGATTTGCTCCGAACAAAGGCCTATATAAATTCTCGTAAAAACTCTTATACGGAATAATAAATTTTGAAACATAAAACAAAGTTTTATCTACCCAACAACCAATTCGTATTCCATTACACGATTGTATATTATCTCTGGTCGTCTGAATATTTCCACATGCAGGATTATCTCGGCTGTCACATTTGAAGCAATTGAGACTCTAAAATATTTTAACTGCCATGTTTAATTTGATGAAGAATTTAAAAAACGAAACAGGTAGGGAAATGAGAATCAGATGAGTGTCAAACGAGGTGGTGACAACTAATTGTTTAATTGTTTTTGAACAAAGGAAGTATATCAAATTTTATTAGATTTTTGCGAACACAAAAAGTTTATGAAATCTTATTGGAATCGTAAAAAGCTGAAGGGTTTTATAGAAATTTTTCTGATAAAAGAAGCGTATGAAATTTTAGTGGATTTCTGCTAACACCGAAAGTGTATAAAATTTTATTGAAATTGTAAAAAGATGAATCATTTTGGAATTTCATATTCACAAATAAAAAGTTAATTTTTGACAGTAATGGGATGGATAACGAAGCCTCAGAGAATGATTTTGTATATCTGAAACTAGTAACTCTTTAATTATGTACACATGGGCGTAGGCTTTGAAGCGCCGTATTTCGTTCAACCCAATCAGACTATGAGCACATTTGATCTAATTATTGATATGGGTAGAAAATGTCTTTGCATGCTGGTTCATTTCCTATATTCCTAAAGCTAGGTTTGGCATTTGTAACATAAATCATTGGTGGATGCAGGTATTGCATCTAAATGGCATTTTAACGTTATATAAACTAATCACACTTACCAGTGGATTGACGAGCGGATTCGGATCTACCGGATAAATAAATTGACTTTCTGTAAAAGTGAAAATAAAAAAAATCAGACAAGTGATAAATTGACGGCATTTGATATAACGACCTTTCCGTGGATGTTCCCCGTCTTTATTCCAAACGAGGCATTGTACAAAAGTACGTTCCAAATAGCCGGTTCGCACGGAATTTAGGTAGATGTCTAGTTTTTGGGTTTGAAAGTACTGTACTTCTTCATTGACTTTCTATGACTTAGTGAAAGATGGTTTACAGAAACGGTATTTTACTTTTCGATAATGCTAAATTGTATTGCGAAAAATTGCAACTGAAAGCTACGGAACAATTTTCTCGGACTCGTTTTGATTCAGTTGTTAATATCATACAAGACAGATCATACACGTTTCGTATGCTTTAATAACGAAAGACTATCTATTCAAAAGTGTATTTGGTCTACCGAGGGTAAGTTTTCTTAAATGAGAATACGTCTATTTATAAGGTCAATATAATGGGATTATATAACAAATTAAAACATTGGAAAAGAAAATGAAAATGATGGAAAAATTGCTTCAAGCTTTTAAAGTATTCGGTCATTGAAAATTGCATTATGGATAACCTAAAATTATTTAACGCTAGCCTATTTTTGACTAACTGCATAATGATCCGCAAAGATAAATAGCAAAAAACCTTACCAGCAATATTAGCAACACAGAGAAGAAAAATCCTCAAATACTCAAAATTCATGTTTCACTGTGGGCTAGAATCTGAACAAAAAACTGTCACTGAGAGCATGAAATAGCAAATGATATGGCAATCACTTTTTGCTTTTGCATTGCATATCCAGTCTTATTTAATCAGCGATTTACGCCTAAATCATGGCTTAATACCTCAAAATATATCTAATTTATGCAATTAGCTTTGTTGTTGCAATCCTAGGCACGAATGGTACCATACGGTATACTAAGCTTTTATAACCGCGTATTAGTAACTAACCGTATACGGCACAAGTGCAGCCTACTGATCGATAACCAAGAAAATAAGTTTTTGTGCTCTGTACATTCTCGATGAACAAGTTCATTCAACAAAGACTACACACTTCAACCCCGGAAATAAATGCTGATAAAACAAGGCGTGCTATCTATCTTTTTTTTTTAATTCAATGGCCATCAAAATTATACGACGTCTATGAGCTATAAATAGTAGTCCGAGTTAAAATCCTCTTCGAATTAGACCTAGCTTCACTTTTTTCATCTAAAAACTTGTCATATTAATAAACTCACAATTTGCGCAAATCCTAACGCATCATATAACAAATCAAAATGACATTAAAAAATGAAAAAAGACATTCAAATACAGATAGCCGAGAGTCGTCTAAGATTTACAAAAATATTCGTAGATTATTATTTCATGGTTGGCCACATAACCACGAATGCACGAACGAACAAAAGCAAACAGGTTAGATCGGAACGTGATCTATCTGAAATATGGTTGGACAATTGATTAGCATCAACTTGTATGAATAAATTGAAAATTCAAATATATTTTTACAAATCAGTAGCCATATCGAAGCATGTTATGACAGCCTAATTGTTATTAAACTTTTTGTTATTATAAACTAATGGAACTATATTTACACAACTTGGAAACGTCCCCATAACCAGTACAATCTATTAATGTTTTTACTCAATTCTGTCATCATGTCTGTTCATCTATATCGTTGTGTATTTAATTTCAAACCAAATTATTTTCTACCGCTGTAAGTACCTACATGGTAATATTTTTTGAGTATTTAGGTTCATACTAATTCATTTGCGACCGCTGTAGGTATAAGGTTGTTATTCATTTCCTAAAATAAATTGGAGCTACTTTCAAGCATATGTCGTGGAAGATCGATCTCTCGAGCAGCGTAAAGTTTTTTAACAACATAATTCTTACCTTTTTTTCTTCAGTTTTAGATGATATTTGTTGACTATATATAGAATGGTGAAAAAGAGTATAATTTTTCACGAATCTACCGAATCCCTACATTAAGGCGAGCAGTTAACGAATCCCAAATGCTTCCTTACTATATAAATATTGCATTCGTTGTTTTATGAACGCTCTCACTGCGTGGAATTCCTTTTTCTCCAAAATCGGAATCATCTCCATGTGTACTGGCGATCGTATAAGCCTCATTTTAATAGCCAATGGTTATTGTCTCTGAATATATATGTATTTACATTATTAAATATTATAAGTGTTTACATAAAAGGCAAACAAGCCTTGGAAACTTTCCCAAGGCTAATAATATTTGATATTCAAATTACATTGAAAATAAACTAACGTATTGGTTTTGAAATAAAATCACGCAAGACATAAAAGTAACTTTTTGAAAAATAAATTATGAAGTACTCTTGTTAGGAGTTATTTTATTACCTGGGTGGGAACGTAGAATAAATCACACAATCAAGAAGAAACTTTATATCGACAATCGAAGCTCATTTAAACGTATGAACGAAACGAGGGGTGTTATTACCCGGAAACGTATTATGACATCGTGTTTTCTGGTATCATGACGCTTGTTTACAGCTTCACAACTATTTAAAAATATACTTGCTTATAATTAAATTCATTTATGACGCCATAACAAATTTTACGAAAATGTGCGATAATTTGTTAAGTTACATTTCCTATTGTGTGAACACGAAATATGTCATCATATATTTTGCATTTTTGATTGAAACCTTTTTATAACAATGTAAAACATATGCCTATAAGTTGCGCACAGAAAAATACCCTTGGAAATATAGGGGTTAATTACTTCACCGAGGTATATAAGTAAGTGGCCGTGTGCAAAGCAAATATGCTTTTTTAGTTCACAAAAAGATTACATATACAGCAATGATAAATTTTCCATAACACTAAAATATATATTAATCTTATAACCATTTATGCAGTCTGATTCATTTAGCACACGCATTTATGGGATACGTAAAATGTGATTTATTCGGAATGATACTTTTCGGCTCCGAATTGTAATATATATATACGTATCATATTGTATTTCCGGCACCAATGTCTACGTAGAGATAAAACTTTAGATATAATTAGTCATCTCCTTCTTAAATATATCGAACCGAGCGCCGCCCTCATGTCACTATTGCTGGGATGCATTCACAAGAGATTGATATTTCTATTTGAGTGTGCACTACAGTGGAAATGTTCAGTTTCAAAATTCGTTCAATAAAAAATAAAGTGAGATAGATATATTTTTTGCGAAGTCAGATCAAGGACGGTCGTTATTTTTAATGAAAGAGCTGCTTAAGTGAGTAAGAAATACGCTCATGCCACAATCTACAAGATGTCTAAATTAGGCTCAGTACAATGTAAACAAGGTTGTGCAGTCATGATTCATTTTTTTTTTATCGGCAGCGGAGCTGGAGTTATATTTTCAAATTACTTACAGTCGAAGTTGCAATCTGGAGCCGGTATCAAAGTTCTCCCCGTTGTATAGATTTTTTTCCGTGAGAGTGTCGGTAGTGAGTGAGGTAGATTGTGTATAGAACCAGCAGTTAGTGTATTTATTAACCTGTTATCGCGAGTAAGTTGCCTTGGATTGCTCTAAGTCGCAAGTCTCGTGCACATTTTCCTCATTTTTTACAGTTCTGAATATTATATAAGACTATGTCAAACATAAATTGCTAGATCATAATTCTCTTTGCATAACAAACACTGCTTCTCCAGAATCTCTCATAGATAAAATGCTATTGTAGACTCAGATAATTATCATGAATGTTCTACGTATCATAGTTATTCTTTGTCAAATAATTTTGTTTGTCAACTCGTTTTCAAAGTTTTCGGATTTCCAACAATGGTGAGTCGTTGCTGCATAGTTTTTGTTAGGTAAATTTGATTTTATATATATCCTGAGTGAAGTTGTAGTCTTGAAAGGTATGTGGACTCACTGCTGTTGAATCAGGACTCATATACATTGTCTCAACCATCTTTGTTTGTGACATATCGACGTCGAATGTATATAATATTGTAATCATATAGAATTTTTGGGTGCATGGATCGCTGATTTGGAATAGATACAATATTTCCAAGTGGTCACAATATTTCCGTTAAAGACTGTTATACTGAGTTTTCTATCATAAGTAATTTTGAAAAAAAAATTATTTTAAAACTACCTGTTCTCTAGTATCACTGTAATACTGTCACAAATCGTGTAAGTTCACATTTCTTTGCACTGACTTACCGTTGAATAATTGGAGAAGATTGCGCGGTATTTTTGAAGAAATCCCAATACCACATGAATTTCCTTATAACGTGACGCTCGGATTCTTTCTCAAGCGATTTAGTCGAAAACAACATCACGAATCATTCTAAACTTGTTGTCGAAAGTAATGTTGAATTGTGTTTCGTACAGGTGTTACGTCGGATCTAATTGGCTACCGTACAATCCTTCGACATCTACATGTTTTACCTGTCAGGGAAATTCAATTCTTCGAGATAACAGGTACATCTAACTTCACTTAAAGCGAGTCGTTCTACTGTCTTTATATATTTGTATTTTGAGATTTCATATTTTTGCTTTTACAACTGTCCACTGAAAAAATATGGCATCAAAAATTACTTGAAGACATAAAATTGTTGTTTTCACAAAAACATCGAAATGATATTCATGTGTGAACACCGAACTTGCAAAGCAAAGCTTCACTATAGAGCTGAGACGTCAGTGTTTAGCGTTCTGTTCAATTGAATTGCAGTCGGAAGCCAGATTTCGATTTGAATTTAAAAATGTTTGCTGATGCAAATTTTTGTATTCACAATTTTGTTATATTGCAGTCAATTCTATTTTCAACACTTGTGTTGTCATCTAATTTTTAAGCGCAGCACACACAGTGTTGTTGTACTGGCTCAAAGTTGTGAGTAGGATGAAGCCTTTAGGACAGGGATGGCGAACCACTGACCCACCGCGTTTTATTCGTGACCCGCCAAGGCACGAATAAAATAAAAATAAAGTGCTAACATATTAGTGATAAAAATTGATAAAACCGGCCATAAATTAATCTAACAATAACTAAACTATTATAATGTACCGTCGGGGCTGCGATCGCCCATATTCAAATTGTTAATTTCTGGGCCGGTATGGATATTTTCAAAACCCCTAATCTTGGACGCAAGTTTGCACCGCCGTGTACCTTTATTCAGCTATCGGCTCTGATATCGTTTATGACATAACAATGCGATCTGTTTATTTCTCGCAACGTCGAGATAATACGAGAACTAGATGCCACTTTGCATTTTATTAGTTTCTCGCCTACAATGCCGTTGAGAAAAAAATATTTCAGACTTGAAATAAAAACCTAGAAATCTGAAATAACAACGGGGCAGTGTGGAAGTGCCTTAATGTGGTTGAAAAATGATCAAAAAATATAACACTATCAGAGTGGAATTCCCTCCAAACGCTTTGGAACAGTGAAATAGTTTGTCACATCGTCCTAAACGTTTTTGGTATTTCATATACGTGTTTTCGTACTCTTATTTCATAAAATCGAATGCCATAAAAAGTCTCTGATAGAAGTACTGCATAAGTAAAGCCCAAAACTATACCAACACCAACAGAAACTCATAAGATTTGTTTCAAAAGTTTTTTTATAGATACAAACATTGATTAAATATCTGTGACCCACTCTCTCCTTTTACGCGATAAAAATATTACTTTCGACCCATTCATCGAAAAAGGTTAGCCATCCCTGCTTTAGGATGAGCATAATCACTAATTGCAAAGATTCTCATCATATTTACTTTTAGTCCAATAAATTGATTTATTATCATGCTATCTACGAATCCTAGTTTTCATTGAGATACACTAATGTGAAAACCAGAGTTTTCCAGTACTTGGCAAGGTTTTCAAACCTATACAAATACAATATGCTGTTTTTGTGAGGGTATTCTCATACTAGGTACAACACTTTTTATGCCTAACTATTTCATGTTTTTTAAAGCAAAGAAAATGAGAAGTTGGTTTGCTGTGATACTGGTGCAGAAAATATAACAACAACGAGGAAGGAGTGTCAATATTGGCCTCGAGGTAGAATTGGGAGAGCTTGTGCAAATGGTAAATATATTAAATAATATATTGAAGAACTTATTACTCCATCTGAGTTTTATTTCTTTTTTGAATCCTGTGAAGAAATTATGACGCTGTACTGACGATTTATGCAACCAACGATGTCAATATTACATGTAATATTCAGGTCAAAAGAAAATACTCATTCATACCTTTACCATTCTATCGACTAATGTCTGATATATATATAGTAGACCAAATTTAGACAAACCATTTCTGTATTCACAAATTCGTATGATACTTGGTACAGTATAGCTATATACTGCAATAGACTACAACAGGGTGGTCCAAGGTTGCGAGGTTGGCGGGCCGCAAAACCTTTTAAGGATGTCTCGCGGGTCGCAGTCGGACAGAATCCAAAAGTGATCAAAACATCTCGAGTTTACTCACTTTTTATATATTTAGAAATGAGAGTTTACCGTTCTAATCGGTTTTTTAAGAAAGATATATAAAGCCTTTAATTATTCTTCCGTGGCAGATATTACTTGAAAACACACCAGATACTGTGGTTTAACGTTGTTGTGGATTAGGAAGTACGTTTTCTCGCAGTTTAACTCGGGCACCTTTTTTTAAACTCATTGTATGATGGATTGTTATATTTGACTAATTTTATCACTTGTATCGTGATCAGGCCTGGTGCTATCGTTAAAGAACAACCAAGTCCGTCTAAGTTGGGATTCCGGACTCAACCAAAAAAAAAACTGGATAACGTAGCGCTAGGTCAGCTCTGCGGTTCGTCACTGCTGTCACAGGGCCAACGCTTGAAAATAGAGAACAGTTTTTACTAAAATAGAAGCACAAAACGTCTCTCCAAATGAGGAGTTAGGCCTACTCGACGCGAGCTTAAGGTACGAAGTTTAGATAAAAAGCTCGACTCATCTCATCGGCTTGGTCCTGTATGCACAAGACAATCCATTCTTCTTTCATTCCGATCACAGGACGTCATTCCCATATTGGCACCGTCTTGACTTTTATAGATGCAACATTGAAATTCCGTGATTTCAACAAACATGAATACCGACATCGGGATTAGGAAAAAGGCTATTTCCAGTTGGAATAGTTTGAAAAAAGCGCCAAAATATTCTGCCAATGAATACAAATAGCTGCCAGAGATTTAGCGCACGATAAAATTGTTCTGCGGGCCGCACGAAATGTGTTGGCGGGCGGCCCGCGGTTTGGAACACCCCGGACTACAATATTAAGATGAATAGACAAACATCGCAGTCCTGTTCCACAAGAAACGTGTTACAAAACGACCTTAGTCTAGATTGAACGCTCTTTAGTCCCTTTTTCATTATATAAATTCTCAAACTACATCAAATACACCAGTACGCAAATCTTGAGTAGTGTCTAAATTCACCAGTAAACTGCCGTCACACCTAGCCTGGATATAAGATAAACCAGTTGATACCTTATCAATGATTATACCAACAACATACTATACGCTTGCCAGATTCCTTATATCCAAATTGTAGCGTTAGTACAAATTGTAGCGTTAGTAAACGCAGAAGGCTTATGTTATATAAAACGTTTTGAGAAACATTGTATAAATGCAAGAATGTTTGTGAAAATGAGAAATTTAGTCCAAATTCTGAAAACTGCTTATGAGACGCGTTGGTAGGTATATGTTTTAGAAAAAGACAAAAGCGCGTTTCTTTTGAGTTCATTGAAACATAATATTTTGCCCTTCAGCAATTTCCTAAATTAACCGTATGCTTGACGAAAGTGTTGACTTGACCTATTTCAAGTATTGTGTAGCTCCTACTGCCTCGTTTTCGTGGTCACTACAATCTGTGCTATTAGTTGTCTTTTCTTTTTAATTGGGGGATAGGTGACCTTGTTTTGTATAAAGAATTTAAAGTTGAATGTAAACCATGTCTGAGTACGCTACCTGCAGAAAGTAGATACTATCTAGGTGCCGTTTTGGCAGAAGCGTGCACGGTTAGGAAACATCAATCAGCGAGCAAATTTTCCGTTGAAGACATTCTAAAGAATGACGAAGCGAGTGAATCGAACGTAATAAGGATAGAAGTAGCCAATCAATAGATAACCTTCATCAGGCCATAAGCCCTTGATGCGGTTGGGCTCAGCAGTATGGTGGCCCATCGTTGTCACGTGTAAAATTTAAAAAAAAAAAAGGAAAAAATAAAATGAAAAAGCAAAAATATAAAAATTGTTGTGAAAAAACATAAAAATAATTGAAAAAAAAGAAATAAAAAAAAAATTGAAATTAAAAAAAAAATTGAAAAATAAAACAAAAAACAAAAAATTAAAAAAAAAAATTAAAATTAAAAAAAAAATTGAAAAAAAAAAAATGGATAAAAAGAAAATAAAAAGGTTGACAACGATGGTCCGCCTCGTGGCCCATCGTTGTCACGCGTTTTTATTTTTGGAAAATTTGATGCTGCTTGGGACCAACGTTGTCAGGCTTAATCCTACACGCACAAATGTGTTTCCTGGGTTTCTAACTCACTACTGATTTTCATGAGCAATATCCAATAAATTCAACATGAAAATGTTCTATGAATTCTCCATGCTACAAGTTCAACCACAAGCAATATATTTATAATAATGATAAGAGAATATAGAATTGGATACGAAAATTTGTTTTTACGTGTAGAAGATAATTTAATTGAAAAATGCTGCTTAACTGCTCAGACACTCGTGCGATGCCGGTACGGTACCGTCTGACCGTGACAAATTTTCCGAATTTTCGTATTCAATTCTATATTCTCTTATCATTATTATAAATATATTACTTCTCGTTGAACTTGTAGCATGGAGAATTTATAGAACATATCCATATTGAATATTGCTCAAGAAAATCAGTAGTGAGTTTGAAACCCAGGGAACACATTTGTGCGCGTAGGATTATGCCTGACAACGTTGGTCCCAAGCAGAAGCAAATTTTCTAAAAATAAAAACGCGTGACAGCGATGGGTCACGAGGCGGACCATCGTTGTCAACCTTTTTATTTTTTTTTTATTAAATTTTTTTTTTTTTTTCTAATTTTTTCTTTTTTTTTAATTTTTTTTTTTTTTTTTTTTTCGTTTTTATCAATTTTTTTTTTTAATTTTCATTTTTTTTTTGCATTTTTATTTTTATGTTTTTTTACAATTTTTTTATTTTCGGTTTTTTATTTTATTTTTCATTTTTATTTTCAATTTTACGCGTGACAACGATGGGCCACCATACAGCAGCTTCCCCGTCGCTCTTGGGTGATGTTCAACAACCATTCCACTTGCCCAGTCTATTCTACAAGCGACGACGTACAATACATATTCAAACGTACATATCTTTAAATCACCTACTGGTTGAATGAAGTTCATCACACATATAAACTATTTCAAACCAAGTAGCCTTTGTATTCGAAATCACAAGTGACCTGCCGTAATGTTACATTATAATAATGTTTTCTCTTTGTTTTAGAAAACTACTATCTAGAGACCGAAGAATGCGATGGATATAACCATTGTGGAGATGGATCCGATGAAAAACTATGTGTTGAGTGCCCTAATGATTTTCGATGTGCCAATAAAGTTCAATGTTTTGGAACGGAGAAGGTGAGTAGTGCGACAATCGAAACGTCATAAATAAGTAAAGTATATACATAGCCTATAGGTACTAACATTTAGTCTTGGATTAGCAAAATTAAATGTATCAGTTGAGCAATGTTGGATGATAGATGAGTTTTCATCACTCTGAATCATTTCTTTGAATACCAATCACGCGTGACATCGATCTTGCATACCGAAGTGAATTATACGCATAAACGCAACAAAGCACCTGTTTTCTAAACTAGTATAAAACTAGCACAAATCAAATGCCAAAACCCTGTCGGTCACATTTGTGAAGGTTAGTCCTAGACTCCCAGTATAGTAGCTTCAATTTACCCAGGTTTGTGATGGTCACAAAGATTGTGCTGATGCATCGGACGAACTAAACTGCCTCACTCACATTGGGAGATGTGAGGGCTTTCGCTGTACAGCATTTATGGAATGTATAGAAAAAGAAAGAGTTTGTGACGGCAAAAAAGATTGCTTGGATGGTGGGGATGAAATTGGCTGTGTAGTACAAAACCCGGATTCATTTTTTTGCGACAACAATTCCACTATTGCTAAAACTGGTATTTGTGATGGACAACGTGATTGCTTCAATGGCGTTGATGAGGTACGTTGGTTGGAAAATACCTTATACGATTTGGTGAATATTAGGTTTCCTGTATAAATCTAACATGCGCAACACTGTATCATATGCTTGCAGACAAACTGTTTCACTTGGTCACCATGGGCTTTATGGTCAACTTGCAGATGTTCAGAGCATCCATCAACACAATACAGAAATAGGACTTGTATTGACGCTAGATTTGTTATCTCACCAGGTAGGCCTACTTTGATATTAACAAGGAAACACAAAATCAGTTCATCGAATACCGAACTTTTTTTGATATAGTAAATATTGATTGTCACGTAATGCTAAAGCGTTATTTTCTAACAGAAAAGTGCGGATTAGCAAACATAAACGAAAGTCAAATTTGTTCTTGCCCTTCAGAACCACCGACTTCTACAACATCAGATTCGCCAGGTTAGATTTAAAGTTTATAATTCTATGGGGTGTTTGATGTGACAAAAATTCCGGCTCTTTGTGAAAATTATTTGAATGTTTTTATTTGGGGCGATATTTATTGCTTCTGTTTGAAGTTGAATTCATATTTTAGCATTGATTTATATAATTTTTATGACACCTATGTGATGTAAAGGCGCTAAAAACAAGCAGTGAATTTATTTTTAACAGAAGTTCTCGAGACTCAGTGGATTATAATCATTGCCTTGGCATCAGCCATCTTTTTCTTGTCCGCCATTGGAATTATATATGGAGCTTGGTATAGTAAGCAAGCAAAAATTGCAATAGAAAAGCAGGCAGAAGTTGTGGCCAATATCTATAACCAATCAACCATGTCTCTTTCCCCGATGCCGGCAACTGCAACTTCTTCAGGGGGATTCCCTTTTCCGAAAGTGACCGCTAGTGGCAGCATACCCAACTCAAATACAGAACACAACCCCGATCTTTCTCGAATGAGAACGCTACGAGGCAATCTACCTTTGCCAGTAACTCCACTAGAAGCTATGACCAACCACGCCTACCAAAGTATCGAAGACTTGCGTCTCGAGATATCAATTGATCCTTACGCACAGAGCAACGTGAACGACTCTAGTCTACAGCGCATAGAAGAGGCCAATTTCTCAGAACGTGATGATGTGAGCAATGTAACCGTAGTAGAAACTTATAGCACTTCTGGAATAAGCTCGAATGAACCAGAGCAATACTTGAAAACACCTCCTCCAGCTCCTTCAGAAGGAAGAACCTTTGACAAAGATGGTTATCTTGTACCAACATCATATTCAAAGAAATATGGAACTAATAAAAGGGGCAGCGGGGCTGACGGTAAAGGAGGTGAGAATGAATATATTATCACTCACATACAGAATAACTATAAATGCTCACACTAAAATTCTATTTTTGCTCTAGGTACTACCTATGCTGTCACAACGAAGCGACCAGATAAACCCAAGCGTTTACTGCACAGAAGTCAGATTCTGGGATCGACACCAGAAGTTAGTTCGGAAACAGAATTAAGTAGGTTCTATTTTAATGGGTACAAAATGATCGTTTTGTTGAATCGTTGGGTTTTTATTGTTGATGAAAAACTGTCTTTTCTAGCAAATAGAACAATCGATTACACGATTCCATCATTTAGAGATGGTTGAAGCCACTAGCGTACAGCTAAACGTCACTCAAAACCTTTTCTGTTTTCATTTTCGTATTTCATGTATTTGGGCAATGCAATCTTTGTTTATTTATTTATTTTCCTGTAGCTGTTTTTTAAGTACATGATGCATATTTTCAAGATGAACAATACGCCACAATGAGATCCTGTAGTGCTGACGGTATTTTCAACACTCGCCCGAAGACCACAATTTTTCGTGACAAGATTGGTCAAAGCTCTATGTCACCCGCACATCTTAATTCAATCACCACATCGCAATCTAGGAGGCGTGCAAAATCCCTGGAAAATTCGACGGACCAGGTATCTTTTAAAAAACTATCTGCAACTGAAACAAAAGAAGAACAAGATATGTATTCATCAATGTCTACACCCTCGCTTGAGACATATCCATCTACCACCATCGAGAGGGTCATGTCACAGGATCAACTTGACTCAAACATAGGTTCACAAAGAGATCCAACTGAGATAATACAAAAAGAAGATTCTTTAGATGTTGAAGATGTACAAGAAAATGAAAGAGCACATAAGAATGATATATCGGGAAGATGCAATGAAAAAATAATTACTGACAATGATACAACTTGTGCGATCGTCGATGAATAGCAACTTCAGAACATAACGCACAAAAACACTCTCAACTTACTCCAAATATGTTAACACTGCGATTAATATATATATATATATATATACAATGATTTTCAAAACCTTTTCATGTAATTTTAGCGCTTTGTCTCAGCATGTGGTTTTTGAGTTTTATTTTTGATAAGTTATTACTTATCGATCCTAAGATCGGTAAGTATGTTGATAGGTATTTGTCTGTCTGTTTGTTTGTCTGTTAGATGAACGCGATATCTCAAAAGGCGAAGTTGAATCTGCTCCAAATTTTGCATGTGCATTCATCATATCTCGGACCAGAAGCCGAGATTGATTCTGGATGAATTATGTCGTATAATTAGCGATTTATTAATTAATTAGTGATGGGACACGTGGTGTCACTATAGAGTCATGATTCGAAACCGCAGTTTCGATCGATAAGTCTTCGGTCTCCGAACGATATTCTCGTTTTGATTTTTGCATATTATATGAACAAGAAGACAGCTGCAAGAGCTGTTCGAATAGCCGCTATCTTTTGATCCGATACCTACTATTTCCGATCTGTCTCCTCTAACTATTGACGTAATTCTTTGTGCAAATAATTATAATGACTTATATCAACCCATCAATACATACCTTGCAACTATACAGTACAATTTGAGCCCCTCAGCTGTTGTTTCTAATAACAAAATCAAATATCGAAAATATGCCTGTCACAGAATCTAAAAACATTCATGAAATTTACATTCACATACGGCCCAACTGTTTTATAAAGAGCCCTTATAATTAAACCAAAACCTGTTCACGCATACACCAAGTCAATTGCCCGCGTTGGCTGAGCAGGATTTTTCGAATGTTTCAGGTAACGCCAGGAAACATTGAAGTAAGGTTTGGAACTTTACATATATTTTTATTTAGTTTTCCTGCTGATTACATTTGAATAAATTCGACTAATTGGGTGTCAAATCTAATATGGTCTTTTATGAATCTTACAAATTTTTTTTTTTTTGGCAGAAGTCAGATTTTTAGAACGCTTGCTTGTGTCATTCACTTTCTTCTATATGGCAGTAAAATTAAATCTACTACTAAGTCTATTATAATATGACAATGTGTTGGAATTGAAAATTTAGAATTACGGGGTTTAGAGAACCTCATCAAAAATTACAATATTATTTTTAGGCAATATTTACGGTGTCTAGCAAATTAAATCAATTACGCTCTTAGTCAATTTAGGACAAGGAATCCAATACTGGATTCAATGAAAATATGATAAACTGCAATGATTGTTTCTTTAAAGTTATGTAGTTCAAAATTCCACTAAATAGACCTAGGCAAAGCTATATAAAAACAGCAAGCGATGTTTTTTTTGCAGTATGAACAAATTAGGTGAAGCAATGTATCAAGGAGTATATAATCCTAACAATCGTAACATATGGCTGAGAACTGATACGAAATAACACGTTTGAATAGTTTAGTTAGTAAAATTACGCTTGAATTTATTGAATAATATATTTTGTAGAACAAGATCACTATTAGCATGGTATGTATGTTGACAATTAAGTTTTACAGGCACGATATATCAACGAAACAGACTATTCTGACGAACAAAAACAAAGGTACTCTCATACCTATATAAATATATGTATCTATTCCACAACATACATTTTTTTCCAAAATACTATTACTACATAATCAATCTTTATGTACTTATTATTATTATAAATATATATAACAATTATGCATTACGACACATCAAAGAAAATCTTCATATATAATATATATATATACCATTTTTCAGACATTTTTGAAAAAATATGTACAATCTTTCATGAGCGAACGTATTTATTTATTTCTATTCTTCATTTAAGCAGTTTATTATAATTTTATCCTTTCTTAAGCGTTTTTTTGAGTATCCGATCACAGAGTCCGCCATATCTTTTGCGCAAATGCAAGTTACGGCTATTGGTACAGAAAGCGGACGAGGAGAAAGTGCAGAGTCGAAACGTCTCATCATTTCTATCGCTATAGGCTTGTAGACTTCGATTCCCGGTCCAATCAATATTTTTTTCGTGATGGGATCCATGCAAACTTTCGCACATTGAACAGTGGAAAACATCGGTGGTGAAAGATTTTTGCACCAATAAACAATAGTCTGGAACGGAGCAAAACTTGAACAATTGAAAGAATTCATCATAACTCGGCAATCGTGTCTTTCAATGAAGGAGTTTCTGCATAATAAATAAAATAGTTATGTTACAGGAATAGCAAGCTCAAGGCAATTTTGATTGAATTATTTTTACATTATTTATATATATACATATATAAATATTAAATTAGAACAATTGTAATATATACCCATAATAACGTAATAAATGAATATTTTCAATTAGGTCATCGAAAAGTCCACCCTTGAAATGAATAAACCATACTATGTACATATAGCTGCCTACAGACACGGAGCAATTATCCCACGATGTCTGTCGATCAAACAAACGGCATTCTATATAGACAACGGCGTTCATACCATGTGAGAAGGCTTTGCGGGTCGGCCATTGATCCCTGTGTTCAATACAATTTTTACGAGCCAAAGAATTTTGATGCTCATGTTGCGAAAATTTTCGCTAATTGGATTTTTGGAACTGACTGCCCAATTTAAAATCGCTGGCCGTTTTCAATTATTGCATCTAAATTGAAGCTTCTCTGGAGACAAATTGAAAATTCCATGTTAACGAAAAATATTCCTGAGTAACAGACTAGCTTTTGTAAATTACATCACGGTTAACCTTTTACACTGAACTTTGATTCCGGGACAGGGTATATATTATACGCTATTGTTGTTTGATCTGGTGTGAGTCATAGTTGCCTAATGTAATTTAATCAAATTTGGAGGTGTTAATATGTATCATCTTATCAATATGCATGAAGGTATTAAATAAAAATCGTATGTTATAGGTTCATGTTCAGCTGTTTTGGGCAATCTATACTATGCTATTTTAAGATGAAGATGTTAAACGTTGCGTAAATCAGCGACCGACATTGTACGACACGAAACCTGGCGGCTTGATTACAATTTTTAGTTTAAATTTGCGCGTTTTATTTCTATTTCTACTAAGATGATTTACCACTGTCGCCATATGTAGTATGTAACAATTTCTAAATTTAAATTTTTTTAGCGATTTCGCCACACTTTGCGACATATTTTTCGTGCTTTCAATACCGTCGACGTCTTTTTTTATCACTATTTTGCACTATTAGTGAGCGATTCACTGATAAGCTGACGTTTTTTAGCTAACTACCAATCCTTCCTCAACTACTGAAATAGCGTTCCCAGATGACCTCGACGGCGAAATAAGTCTATATGGAACTTCTTTAAGATATTGTTATATAACAGTTGTATTTGGCTTTCTTCGGAGCGAAAAACGCGAGTAAGCGTCATACTACATACCCCCCTGGGCTGGTCGGTTCTCAATCGTTGCATCTGCAACAATTAACTGATGATCAATTGTTTATTTTCATCTCTGTAATAGAGATGTACCGATGTATCGGTATCTGCAAAATCGGCCAATTTTTCGGTATTGTATCGGCTAAATGAAGACCGAGTTTTTCCGATTTCCGATATATTTACCTTTTTGATATGATGTCTAGATTATAGAATGTTCTAAAAAATAAATTGGATCTGATGTTTAAATTATTTTTTGCTTGAAGGAATCGTTGACTATGAGCCATGCACGTTCACACCCCCGCGAGTAGAAACGGGAATAGGATTCTGACCTGTTCTTAGTTATTTATCAGCCAAACGCTCAACTAATTTGGCTATTTTACCGCCATATTTTTATATTGTATTTTTATATTACATAGTAATTATGAAAAAATATATCAATCGAATATTAGTGGAATTTGGGACAAAATCTTGCTCACGTGACTCAATGTATCAATTTGATAGGATGAGTGGGCTAAAAATTCATTTGTTTTACCACTCTTGTAGCCAAAGCTTACGAGTATGGATATCCATACCTCTCGACTATTTCGAATACATTCTAAAAAATATTTTCAATACTGAAATTCCGAATACATTGTAAAATCCGCCACATAAATACTATTTACTTTTCCAAAATCCAGGGACTAAGAAATTCGGCTTTGATATTGTTAATATTGTAAAGCAGTCATAAGGCATGTGTGATATAAATGAAATTGTGATTTTCTTGCTTCTAAGAAAAGAGACTTAATAAGCATTACAGTATCTATATCTATAAATTGTGGTGTTAACCGAAAGCACAGAAATAAGAGCAACTAAGCTCCCAGTTTTAAATCATAGAGTAGAATCGGAGTCTTTATTAACAGCATACGCACATTTTGGCACGGTTATAAATTCTGTCTGTGTATAGCCAAGCGCGAGTGTCATTTAGTCCATCGACATCGTTAAGCTAAATTTCGACATCATTATCTGTCTTCACAGGTATTAAATGTTGTGATTCCATTAATTTCAATTTTGTTTAACAAAGCTATTTCCTCATAGATTTATTGCTGTGGCCGCCTTTCATCAATCCTTTCATGTCGGCTGTAATTTATTGTCGTGATGCACGATTACGATAAAACACAAAACAAAATACATGTGAAATGTTTTCAATTAAAACGTGAACGGCGGCGCTACGATGTGTGGGCGATATCCGATATTCTTTTAAACACGAAAAACGATATTCGAAGGTCGCGTTATCAATATTAAATCCGAATTGGACATCCCTGCTGCCTATGAGTTTTCTAATTGAACATCGAGCTTACTAGCTTCAGTACACAATGCATCTAAATTAAGTAACGCAACGTATCCCAAACTTCAATTTCTTAGGATGTATTATATGCCTTTTTCAATCTGAAATAATGTGCACTATGAACAATGCTCAAAGACTAGTGTTTTAACCCGTCTGCCCTTCACACTTAATAGTATCGGTATTGGAATATCGGCCGTTTTGCAATATCGGTATCGGCGTTTTTAGTTGGTATCGCATCGGTATCGGCGACAAAATTGGTATCGGTACATATGTTACAGAGTTTGTAATGCAAATCGGACCGACGGACGGGGTTCATTATGAGACGGATCCACCTTATAGGCTTCACTCTATGACGAATAGGATGGTAAACTCTCACCATTTTCACGCTAACATTGCCAAGTCTAAAGCGGGCATTACTTACTTCTAAGTCAGGGATGGCGAACCACTGATCCGCAGGTCACATAGGGACGCTAAGCCATGAATTAATAAAAAAAAGTACTAACATTCAAGTAATAAAAATTAATAATAAAACTGGTCTCGATAATATCTGCCAACTAGTGAGCTACAATATCGTACCGACAGTCACGATTACATTCATTGTAATGTATATTCGATAAAGGCAGTGGTTGGATTCAGCCGATTCGAACCGGTTCTATAGAATCGTCTCACGGAATTCAATGTGATCAGCGAACCGGTTAGCATTACTGGTTACTGTCAATGTTCTGTTTGTAACAGAACCGGCTGAAAAATATGACTTTTGTGGAGATTGTGTTAAAGCCGCTGCCAGAGAATTTCCCTGTCGTGCTATGGTAATTTTCGAACCTCCCATTTGAACGACCTGTCGGCGTTACATCGCTATGACATAACAATACAATTGATCGGTTTGTTTCTCCCTACGTCTTTCGGAGGTGCGCAAATATAAATCTCCACGAGTGGAAAACTCCTCTGTACTCTTTCGAAACAAATAAGACATTGCATCATAAATGTTTTTCGGTTATTCATACACATGCAAAAGTGTGTTTTTGAACTTCAATAAATCGAGTACCAGAAATCGCCTCGGTCCAGATATGATATTCCATGTGTAAATGCGCAACACAACCCTAAGTTTATAAAATTGCGGAGAAGATGCAGAAGTTACTTTCTCATTGATGTCGACATTGATTAAACATGTATGGCTCACGGAATTCTTTTCCATATAACAAAAGTTAAATTTTTGACCCACTCGTTCAAAAAGGTTTTTAATTATAACACGAGAGGGTCGTTGCCACCCACAACGCAACCCAACCCATATAATAAATGGATCCCTGGATAAAATAATAAATAGCAGAATAGATTTACTTACAAAGTTACAGAAGTTTCTCCCCGTCGATGGGCCTCTGCGCAACCAAGTATATTATCCATCAATGTTGCTTTTATAAGGCAGACCTAAATACAAAAGTATATGACTTAATTTAGAATGATTATATAATTTATCAAACAATGTTGAATAAATAGAAAAATGCATATCGCTTTTGAAGTGTACAATGTACTTGTATCATCAGTTACATAAGGATATTGGTTCCATTACATTTGAACCCACGTACATTTGAACCCATGACAATTGCACCTGTATGCTATTGCACCTATGGATTTTTTTTTGTTTCACGGATAGTTAAACCCATACTAACCCTAACCCATGGGTTTTAGCACCCGCATATAGATTGAACCCGTGGATATACGCATGGGTTCAAATGTACATGGGTTCAAATGTACGGTCACCAAGGATATTACATCATTCCACATAAAATTGAGGTGTAATAACTGAATAAGAATTAGGTTAGGTAAGACCGTTAGGTTTTCAACAGAAACGAAAAAGCATACCACTAAGTTTTCGTGGTAAGTATTCAATTGGATTCAGTGGGATAAAACTTGTTTGACTGATTTTATAATTATAATCGCGAGCCTCATAGGCGGCGTTTGACAAATTAAAAGCATTCAATTTTGTTGAAAATAAAAGATGACGTACGATTGTTTCCAGAAAATGCTGCCGCATAACCATTATATAATGCCTTTTTAAAACAAAATATTCAATAGAAATCATTTATTCAAATTCTGTCTAAATTTAGCACTTTTGTGACAGTGGTAAATATATACAGTATACTACATAGCCCAACATTGGAAATTATGCACGATTTTAATAATTTATTTTGTTTAATATAATTAAAAACCACGATGAACTGTGTGGAATTAAAATAAACCTTTTAATAAGATCGTTTTGCTCATTAAATTATAAAAGATATCATTTTAGCGCTTGTTTTTGTGCTGTTAGGCAAAATGGAATAATTTTCTCTCAAAAGAAAAAATACTGGGAACTGACTTTATTTTTGCTTACTTCAAGCAAATTTCGAATATATATGAATTTTATATAAATATGAAATTTATGGCCACTGTCCCTTTTTCACAAAATTTCAGTTCTTTTGAACGTAAGAATTAGAAATATAGAAAACCATTCTCGTTTACTCACTCTGGCTACTTAGTTATATGATAAGTCCATAAAAGTAAAATTTTACAAAAACTTCAGTGTCAAGATCTAACCTTCGCTACAGTAATATTATGTTGTGCTATTAGTGTTTCCATAATAATATTTAACGAATTGTGGAGATAGAAATGAGTACCCACCAGCGAGGTACCAAAGCGATAGGGTAATTGACAGGCTTGTCAATGGAAAACGTCCAAGAGGCTGGGGTGAGACAGCACACTATTATATTTCCCATGAGACACGAAATACCGTATGATTTCCGGGGAAATGATAGTAAAACATTTCGTTATGGACTTCGTGTCCACATATTTGAGCATAGCTCTCTTGTTAGTTATAATGAGCAAAATATATTCATCATTAACGTTATACTTTGTGAAGAGGCTAATGGACACATGTATAATAGTTATAAATTTAAAGTTAACAATGTCGGTAAATGTTGTTGTTTTGCGTGTCTCTTCGTGCACGTAGTTCTTTTTAGTAGACGCTAAACCTAAATTTAACAATTTTTATTGAATTGTTTTCCAATGGGAATCCTATAGGATGGGATGGGACAGAAAAATATGTCCTATGGACAAACCTGATAATGCGCGTGCGAGAGAGAAGCATACCCTCCGAATGTGTTAACAACGTTTATTTTGTTAATATTTACGAGAGTTATGCTTTAATAGCGTATTTAACGATTGGTACGTTGTAATTTCAAATCTAAATCGGCGAATACAAACTAAAATATTATTATTTGAAAGCCGAGCAAGCATGTGAAATGATATATATTCTACAATTGCAATTTTGACAGAAAAAAAAACGAAGTTTCAAGACAATAAATTGTGTCTTTGATTTTTCTTACGCAATGCATCAAGTTAAGTAACCTAACCCTTTGTTATACGTTAGTAACTCAAAATAAATATATCACAAAAATTATAGAAAAAATCAACTTAGATCAGTTATCATCTTACCATAAGTATGACCATAGTCTTCTTTCGATTCGCTCTTAAGTACATTTTTTCGGAGATGTCTTCTTTCGAATTTAGGTTGTTTCTTCAAATACTTCGAGATCTTTATACCTAAAATTCAAAAACGATATGATCTGTATGCCAAATTGTGAGCTGGTTTTATCAACGTCTGAGTAACAAAGTAACAAGAAAAAAAAAATTAAACCCGAGGAAAAAACAAATGAAAAATCTAATTTAACAGTAATTTATATTGGGAATCATTTTACAATTCCGCACAGTATGCCTTGTCAGTTTTTTTTTTATAGGATTTATATGATAACCAAAAATTTTTGGGCGTCCTCAGCTCCCAGGATCACCTGTTCCTCTAACTCTCAAAAGGCCCAAGAGTTTGACATGACCATAAACTCTCTTCAACTACTTGGATACTGAGTTAGGCTATTAAAACAGACAAATAAACAAGTTCTATCATAAGATAAGTAGTCAAATATTGCAACAAAAAACTTACTGGAAGCTCCAAAGTCACAGCACTCATTTGTGTTATTGAATACATTTCAGTAGAAACTGTGAAATATATATATCTTCATTTTTTTTCTTTTCATACATCTGGGTTTACGTCTAACAAATGTAATTATATAAAGTAAGGTTTTGACGTGAGCTTTGTGTCAACATACATTAGAGTAACACAAACTGTCGTGTATTTGGGGTAGAGATTTAAAATGAATGCAAATTTTCAATATGATGTTTAATTAATTTTTTTTCTTCTGCGAATTTCCACTAGTTTCTTTTTCTGTATATAAATTTTTGGCGCATTCATTAGCCGTTAATTTGGTTTTTCGCAATTTTTTAAATGGTTTTTGTAAGTAGATTGCACGACACACGAATTCGACGTGTTTCTGCTGAGATAACATGGCAGACAAATGTTAAAGGGTCACCTGCTACTTTCGTTTACAGCTACAAAACAGCAAAAATATTTTTGCCATTTTCGTTAGATTCAAATAGCCATGTCTCAGTATTTTATGAATTTCTAGTATTCTAGGCTAAATATCAATTAAATAAATAAGTTAATACATGCAAGCTAGTCGTTGAATTAGAACAGAAATCTTGGCAAATTTATCCTGTAGAGGAGTTTGCTCACACATGATCGTGAACAACGAAAAAATACCAGTTGAAATTGTTCCCGAGTATTCATGCAAGTAGATCACCTCTTCGCAACAAACATTGATTTAAATAACTATCGAGGTATTTGTTTTTGACTCGTCGTGTAGTTTTTTACTCTTTCCCACTTATAGGTTCTCATTTTTAAACTCAAACACAAACTAGAGAGGAAAGGTCACCGTAGGAAATCTAATATTTTATGGCTGAACAGTTTAATCAAGATTAAATCCATCTATATTACAATACATACCATTACCTCATTATTGTTTTCACCGAGATGAATATGTGGACGTGTTCACCTTGGTTAAAAAGGTGGGTGCCATAATGCCAACAATATTAGTAATTAATCGTAAATTACTTATGTCTGTGACTGTATTTACAAACATACAGAATTGAAGAATTTGATACTAATGAGCTTTATCGTGGTGAAGTCATGTTTCTGCAGTTCGTGTAACCTTATATATATATCAAAAATGCATGCGAGTAATGTGTTTCTGTGGTGATAATTGAATCCACGAACGAGAATATCTTGATGAAATTAGGAATTACGAGACATTAGAAGAAATTTGAGCAACCTAAAATATATACTGTCAAAAATGTTGTTCTCTCATCATTTAGGATTTATTTGTAACAAAGTGTTATATTTTCCATTATTAAGATAGACAGTGTTTCACTGCCAGTATGCTCCCTAGCTTTTCATTTTAGGGGAGTGTTTTTCAAATATAGGGATTGGTAGATATTTTGCTGTTGAAACTATTTGTGATTTTTAAAAATGTATTTATCCGACAACATACACGCCCCTTTCTGAATATTTAAATACTTTTATATCAAAGTTGGGAACTGAACCGTGGTGTCACACCTTGAAATTAAGGGGGTATTTAAAATTTTAGGGTTTGGGAAGTAGGGAAATCACTGTTCACTACTACTATTATGATTTCTGAACAGTCACATTTTAATGAATAGATGTAAGTTTTGGAAGATTTCGTGACGTTTGCAACAAATAGGGTCTGGGCCATAAAAATCCTGGACAAAAGGTTTAGATATGCGGACCAGTACACAATGAGTCACTTGTTACAGCGTTTACTTATTGTTTCAGAATTTACTCACTTTTCGATTTGTCGTCGTTGGAATTGACCGTCGGAGTTCTGATTGGTAAATTAATACTTATTTGATGAACGCGAGCTCTGTCTTCATACAAACACGAAATAAATATTAAATGTATGTCTCGGTGTTATATTTTAACCATGCATGGCTTAAATAATATCGGGTATCTGTGACATGAAACAGATATAATTATTTTTACATATGATCCATTCGTGCTGTTATAATTATTGGTTTAATCTTGAAAATGCGAAACGGATAAATATAGTAGGCGTCTGACTTTGCGTGCATGAAATCCTAATTACTTTCCCCCTCAATTTCTTTCATTTACATGATTTTGTCTAGACGTTTTAAAATTTGCATCATGACGCAGAGCACCTAAGAGGGTTACCAGATCTGTCATTGAAATATTTATAGTTTTAACATTTAAGAAAACTGTATGTGACTTCTAAGGGCAGTTAATGAATTATAAAATATGTAACACGTTTTGATTTTAGGGTATTGGTGTTCAACACGGGGCATAACAAAAACTTTTATCTAATATTCTAGGGAATATAACTAGGGATTGAAAATGGTAACGATATTGTCACCTAAACAACATTGTCACCTATGCGCACCGCTAGTTGTGCGTTACCGGCAGTTTTATGCAAAATATTTCGCGAGATCTGGCTATGACAGACTAGACAAGTACGCACAATTCAAACTGTCTGTCAGTTTTAACATCTATAATATGTTTATCCCCCGAATTATTTTTAAAGTTAAGTATAAGGGTTAGGGTTAGGGTTAGGGTTATAGCACAAATGGTTGTTAAATGAATGTCATTTATGGCATAAAGGGTTGTTAAATGAATGCGATGTTACCGTATATTGCTATTTCGTAGATTGTCTCTGACTTGTAAGTCACCCGTTCACCCTTCAGCTTCAACGCCCACGTGAATGAAGATGCGTTAAAAATCTCTATATGTTTTTATTCGTAAATTTCCACAACACACAGAATATAAATCTTATAACATTAATCCAGACTAGCTTAGAATGGTTTACATCGACTTCTCTCCATATCGAAAGATATCGGAGTCGTATTTATACGTTGATCATAAATCCAATTAAATGCTGTAAACGTGAGCTCGTGATTCACGTTATAAACAGAAATTCCTATTATCTCAACAAGGGTAATTAGGTACATCGTACGGATGGGAACTTAGATATAATTATTTCAATCAGTGCCAAAGGTCTTGAGAATATAGATTTTAATTTGATAATGACTGGATGGAACCTGTTATGTTCTTAAACCTGGTGTAATTTGATTCCTACGAAAGTCTTTGTTCGAATTTTGGGAAAAATTAACTTTGTTTTGATGATTTCAACATGAAATGAGGTACATTTGGGGATTAGTTGCTATATTAAAATTTATAGCACAAATGGTTGTTAAATGAATGTCATTTATGGCATAAAGGGTTGTTAAATGAATGCGATGTTACCGTATATTGCTATTTCGTAGATTGTCTCTGACTTGTAAGTCACCCGTTCACCCTTCAGCTTCAACGCCCACGTGAATGAAGATGCGTTAAAAATCTCTATATGTTTTTATTCGTAAATTTCCACAACACACAGAATATAAATCTTATAACATTAATCCAGACTAGCTTAGAATGGTTTACATCGACTTCTCTCCATATCGAAAGATATCGGAGTCGTATTTATACGTTGATCATAAATCCAATTAAATGCTGTAAACGTGAGCTCGTGATTCACGTTATAAACAGAAATTCCTATTATCTCAACAAGGGTAATTAGGTACATCGTACGGATGGGAACTTAGATATAATTATTTCAATCAGTGCCAAAGGTCTTGAGAATATAGATTTTAATTTGATAATGACTGGATGGAACCTGTTATGTTCTTAAACCTGGTGTAATTTGATTCCTACGAAAGTCTTTGTTCGAATTTTGGGAAAAATTAACTTTGTTTTGATGATTTCAACATGAAATGAGGTACATTTGGGGATTAGTTGCTATAGGGTTACTCGCCCTTGGCGGCAAGAAAAATTGTCACTGCCCTTGCCGACATTTAATTGCAAAAACAACCTTGCTTTCCACGCCAAAGTTTAAGCTTGTAATATCTGCAGTTCTCAGTTGTGACGTGGGATATATTTCTTTGGTAAACGGTGCAATATATTATTCTTTTATGTATCTCTGCAGTCTGCTTATATCTAACATGAATGTAATTAGATAAAGTGTGTGGTATTTCGGCGCGAGTACTACGCAAACGTGCATTAGAGCAACACAAACTGTCGTGTTTTAGGTTACAATACAATACGAAGGTAAGTTTTTATATTTAATAAATTTTCTAGTAGAGTTTCTATTAGTTTTCCATTTTTTTTTATAATATTTTCTGCTGCGTGCTGGAGCCAAGTTGACTTTTCGCAATTGACTTGACTTTTCGCAAATGGTCCTTGAAAATAGATACACGCGACTTGAACATATTCCTGCTGAGGTAACATGACAGACTGATGTAGAAAGTCAACTGTTACATCTTTTTTGCAGCTACAAAACAAACAAAAAAAAAACATTTTCTGGCCGAACACGAATTGCGTAACTTAGTTCCCATATGTCGGGTGTTGTCAAAAACTGAATATGACTGAATACAACTGAAAACAACTGAATATAAAAACTGAACACAGCTGAATACTACCGAACACAACTGAATAGACGGCGCGAGATACGTGGCATAAGTCTTGAAAATGAATACAACTGGATATAACTGAACACAGCCGAATACAACTGAACAAAACTGAATACGACTGAACAGAACTGGATATAACTAAACACCACTGAATACAACGCGACAATGGCGCGGAATGCATAAGATTCGTGACGTCATCACTGATTACGTCATAATCGATAATGTGAACTTTGGAGATAGCCTTTCGAGCAATACGTTAAGATTAAATGTTTCAGGAATATGAGGCGGTTTCAATAGGGTTATTCTTGGCGTGCTTAGTGACGTCATTGCTGATTACGTCATATTCGATAATGCGAATTTTGGAGATAGCCCGTTCCAGAAATATGAGGCGGTTTTAATAGGGTTGTTTTTGGCTTGCTTAGTGGCGTCATTGCTGATTACGTCATAATCGATAATGCGAATTTTGGAGATAGCCCCTCGAGCAATACATCCAACGTTTCAGAAAGATGAGGCGGTTTCAATACGACTATTCCTGGCATGATTGGTGACGTCATTTCTGATTGCGTCACAATCACAAATTTGAATATTCGAAATATACTGGCGTGCAGTATATTGCACCCTTGAGAAAAACGAGATGGTTTGAATGCGGCGTCTTTCGACTAAATCTATGATGTCCTTACTGGTTATGCCATAGTATCCAATGCAAAATTTCAACATATAATCGAGACTAGTACATTTAAACGTTTTTGAAAATGAGACCATATTATTCGGCGTGTTTAGATAGTAGAGGCGTCATCACTAACTGCTTTATTGATGCTCATGCAAATTTTTGAGATTGAGGTAACACCAAATGACTGCCAATGTTTTATGATGCCTACTCAGTTTTGTCTACGAAGCAAAACATACGCGTGACTTGTTACTTATCGATTTTAATCGGTAAGTATGTTGATAGGTATTTGTCTGTCTCTCTGTATGTGTGTTTGTCTGTTAGATGCACGCGATATCTCACGGAAGCGAGATTGAATCTGCTCCAGATTTTGCATGTGCATTTATCTTATCTC